TCTGAAGCTGCAGATGGCGAGATGAACGCTGGGGACGGCGTCACGGACGGCGGTGACATGAGATTGACTCGAGAAAACTGCGAATCGGTAGAAACGACGCTGGGGCTGCGCGAACGGGACACGGCCCCAGTGTCCAGGAAGTCGGGTGCTTTGGTGGATTGCATTGTGTACCCCAGGTATGTGTAGCTCGAGGGCTCGAGTACTCGAGAGCTTTGATTTGCCTCTTTTTCTGTGTTCCTTCGCAGACCTCGATTTGGACGGGAAGGCGCTGGGTAGAAATCGAAATTCCTAAATCATCCTGTACTCCCAGGAACGTCAGTCTGACTTGAATGAAATTGGGGGCTTGTACGACTGCATGCGCACCTCGCCCCGATGGGCCCCGTGACAATGGGTGAATTTCCAACTTACCCGTTTGAATGAAAGAATCAGTGCTCATACCGCATTTGCATAGGGAAAGTAGAAGGAAGCAAAAGGATGTGAAGGCCAGGAGAGAGAGTCAGGAGTAATTATTCCATCCGAGTCAGTGGAGCCTAGAAACACATTCGGGGTCGACTACCGAATAATTTATGGAGCACCTGCGATTGTATACAAATCTTACAATCTTACCTGATTACGCTTTTCTTTTGGGGTTGCATTGTAAAGACCCCTGTACCTTATTTAGGTTATTCCTATTTTAAACGCCATAACCTATTCACATATAGATATACATAAGTTGATTATAGGCAGCTACTACAACATATACTGCGTATGTCTTATTGAAGAGCTATTCAAAAACGGTTTTCCCCCCTATTCCAGAAAGAAAAAAAGAGCCCCCGATCGCAATCGCGCCCCATGGGAAAAAAAACAGAACAATGTTCCAGCGATCGGCACGCTAAAGTGCCCCGCTCGCACCTCGTTTCAGGCCTCATTGGTTGTGGCCAGCCAATCACTGAATGAGGTTCCATGGATTGGGGGGGGACTCAGTTAGCCTTTAGCGCCATTCCTTTCTGGTAAGATTATTGACTTTTGCCTCGAGTTATTCCTAAAAAGAAGTTTACCCAGGTGCTCAGTTGCCCAGGTGCACGCAGGGTATATGGGGTTTCAAGGTGTCGGAAAGTATTTGTAATTATGATATCTTATGGATATCTGCCCAGGTGAATATCTCATTTCAGTATGACCCGCTAATACTATGGGGCACATTCGGTAGTACAGCTCTTAGCGCATAACATCCTTTTTCCACACGTTCCTCAGCCGTTCCACAGGTCCCAGGGGCACACGAGGATAAGCCTGTGGCGCAGAGATGCCATGCCACGGGTACGCGGTCCCCATTTTCCAGTTTCTAGAAACTTTATGTATACCTAGGTACATTGTTATTGCACAATTTGAAACCTTGGAAACACTTTAGCAGCTGAGACAAATATCCCAAATTATATCAATCTCCCCAATCAGCATCTGCTTAGGGTGGCCCCCGATGTGACGCGCACCGTACCTGATCTGAACCATTCCAAGGTTTATCTGTCAACACTGGATCATCCAATCAATTCCTTTGCCGACCTCTCACCGTGGAAGAGCACTCTATTCATTTTTCAGAGGAACCTCCCGAGGTCCTACCTAAGCGAATGAGAAGCTGAGAACGCCATCTCATTACTATTTATGTATAGAAAAATCCTTTATACGGTTTATTATTTTTACATCCTTCGTATACATCTAAAGAGACCTTTGAAGAGACATCAAAAAAGACGAACATCAAAAAAGAACATCAAAAAAGAACAGCTGAAAACACGTCGGTATGCTCTTACATATAACCTCCTTAATATCACCTTGGCCAAAGAGATCAGATTATTATATATTGGGCTGTAGCTGAAAACGTGATAATACGAAATGCATAATGTACGGAATGTACGGAGTACTCCGATACTCCGTGTCCACCTAAGCATTCAACATCGGAGATGACAGGACTTTGGGTCAAGTGGGCCCATGTGGCAATGAACAATAGGGTTATCGCGACTATTGCCAGATGCTCCAGTACGTAGCGCGCACTAGCAGTAACTAACGATCACAATGGATATTGTCACAATAAGACCAGAATCATGCAAGAGTATCAAGTTTCCTGGAGAGACCTCGGAAAAAGCAAAGAATAAATGTACAGCGCACAAATTGTTCTTGCACCTTGCAGGGCTGCTTCATAGATCCAGTGATATATCATATCCTATCCCCATGCATATTCCCTGACCTGTACTCTGTACCACTCCTCAGCCCTAGAATCAGCTTACTATGTACCCAACACCCCAGGACCTCGTCCAAGTACCAGTTTCAGCCTATCTCACGCAGGAGTCACCCGTATCGCACAAAGAAACATAACACGTTGTAGCCAGCGTTGAAATATCGTTGTTCTCACTGATTCCTCGAATAAGCCGTCCCAACGGCCCTGTCTACATTTCCATCCCCGACAACCCCATCGCACCATAGCACGCGTGGCTATGAGTACAATTCGTAATCGTCGTGGGAAAAAAAAATTGGTTCCCCCACGACTCCTGGCCCTAGAACCAGCGTATGTACATACGTATCCCATTCCCAAACTCCATTGTTGGAGCCAAATTACCCCATACGGAAAGAAAGACGCTCCACTCTGGTCCCTAGCTGCCACACCCTTCATGACAATCCCTCGGGGCTCCGCAGTCTAGCGTGTACGGGGACTTCAATAAGGGTAAGGATCCTGCCGTGATCGACAGAAGACTGATTATTCGGATTGATGGATTGGCCGAATATCTCCGCGATTTCTTCTTCATCTGTCTATTTCTCTATGGGACTCTTCACGTTTGAGACCCATACAACGTGAATGACACAGTATGTTGTACGGAGTATATTGTATGCACTGCTCTACACATGATTTCTTATTGGCTCATTGATCCTCGACCCGCACGCTATACAGCAGAATATCTTCCGAATGAGGAAAGTCGTGATCGTCAATGATCGACAGCGAGTACCAAGGACGAGAAAAACGACAGAGAAAAGAGGAATCAAAAGCCTGTTTCGGCCAGGTCATAACTATTCACCGCAACGTTCTAAAAGTCTAAACGAAAGCCATACTCCGTATGATATGCCTTAGTGGACGTTTTACCTTTCCAAGGTTCCTCCCCGTGCTGTCTGTGCTCTATGCCGTTGTGATCGACAAATTTAATTAAAAACGGCGAGTTGACACTTCGACTTTGAATATGCACGAGTCATCTTTATATGATAGGTTACGCCGTTGTGGTCGACAGGAAATTTAATTAAAAACGGCCAGTCGACACTTCGACTTTGGATATGCACGAGTCATGTTTATATGATATGTCACTCCGAAACGGTCACATTTTTTTTTCCGAAAGCACAGGTGCATAGTGGATAGGTCTAAGTGTATGGAGTACATACATTCGAATTTCTTCGCTTCTATTGGATTTACTGTCGTCGTATGCCAAAACCCGAAACCCCGGGGTGATCTTCACTGCATGAAGTTATACGTTATACCCGTCATAGCACTAACTCCCTACTAACACATACCGAGTATGTTGTACACGCATGAAACTTGTAACCTGTGGAGCTTGGCACCATCTAATCCATTATTTCATGTCACTCATCATCTAAGTACCAAGCTAGCACCCAGCTGCATTTTTGCCCCCTTAAATGAAACTACCGATAATCCCCGCTGACCTTAATGGAGCTAAGTGGATAATTACCCGCTGCATGAAGTCTGCTGCATGAAGTCTGCTGCATGAAGTCCCACCGGATGAAAGATGGAGAACAAAACAAAAAGCGAAAAAGAAAAGGTCTCCTATAGGATAGTTCAGTATGTTGTATGTTGTAGTAATCGACCTTATTGAGCCGTACCTATCGATCGGTATCCATAATAGTGCTTCTTCACCAGACCCCCCTACGGAGTACACGGAGTACAACGCTGGTCCAAAAATACATCAGCCCATCCCTGCCCTGCAGGGAAGGAAACGAGTAATTCCCCGGGCCGGAACGCCCACTAGTGTCTGGGCCCTTTACTGACTGGGATATAAGTGATGAAGGGGCTTGCCAAGCGTATCAGACGTGTTAGAGTGTCAGGAGATTTCTAGAAGAAGAATGGCGTGGTATAACCCCTGTGTTGGTGCACCCCAGTCAACGATAATTCACACTAAGCAATAAATGTTGAAATGATGTACCTTTTGTATGGAAGGATACAAATCACAATACCTATTTTTCTCAAAACACAGTGTAGGTGTAGGTGTAGGTGTGTTGGGCGCTCAGTATGATTACGTGTATGTTGTATTTGTAGGTATGAGGGGGATGAAGGTGTGCCAGAGGTTAGTAGGGATCTCTAAAACATCCGACTCGGGGCTGGTGGTCCGGTTTGAGTACGATGTATATATATATTATGCGTAATAGTACCACGAATATCTACTTACAATATAAGCACGGAGTACAATGTAGGCGATTAAGTACCTACAGGTATATATGTGTACAGTTTGACCTTGAATGTTGAGTACCTGAGACTCGGAATGTTTGTAGGAGGTTGAACAGTCGTTACATCCATAGCTGGGCTGATGTGATACCGGAGGGTTATGCTTCGAGGATGAGCTATTTCGAGTGAAGAGGGGCCGGCCTGTTTTTACTGTACTCGCTTTGTCTGAGATCCGGGTAGTAGGTGGGTTTTAGGGCGGGAAGGGGGCGAACAAGAGTGATTGGTTGGGCACTCAAGGCCGGAGTCATACGAGACGACGATGGCAGGAAAAACAGACTAAGCTACATCTAAATCATTAACTTGGGAATATTTGAAGTTTTGAAACTGTTTTTGAATATCAAGTGCTAGTTCGGGAAAATACATGACCACTGTCAAATCCTAGCCCGAAAGCGACTCGTGAGAAATTTGAATGCTTTTCCTGGCTAAAGAGCCGTCTCATTGTGTGCCCCTCGCCAGATAGTTGGCGAATCCGAAAGAAAACGTTTTCTCATAATCGTAAAGTCGTGGTATTTGTTTGCCGATGTACAAGCAGATCCTAGACCTGTGTAGGCAAGGTTTTGGTTCCGAGTTCGTGCGCAATGCCGCCAGCGAAGAAGCTCAGCTCATCAGGACCAATGTCGACCCGACCATTCGCCAATCTGTCCAGCAGGAATTTCTCGATCTTGTTCAAGAGGGCTTGGTGGTGATCCAAGTCTAGGGTGATCGAGCTTGTATTGTTTTGGTTTCCGGTTTGCTCTTCTGCACGGAGTCTGATCAACTCGTTGAGCTCGTCTTCAGCGAGGAGGTTGCAGAAGGTGCCAGTGACGTGGTTGGAGACTAGGTCGAGGTACAATGAAGGCACACCCTCTGGATCCACGAATTCGGTGTCCTTGCCCAAGCGGATGTGGTCAACCTGAACTCGAAGGTACGTTTGGTACTTCGGGGTGGCAATTCCATGGATTCCATTCATGTAAGCGACAAAGAGACTGCAGTCCAAGTCCACGGCATCACGCGAAAACTCTTCTGGCTGGTTGGTAGATTTGCGAACAAACTCTGGGTGGCAATCTTCATTTTCATGGGACCCGGCGATGTCCATTTTGTCGAGTTGATCCAGAAGGGTTTGGGTACCTTTGGAGTCCCGAGCAAGCATCATCATTTCATGGCAGGTCATTTGGTGATCAGGAGCTTCATCTTCCGATACTTCCATGCTGTCAATGTACTCCACCTGCGGGTCAAAGCGCACAGAATTCTCCTCGAAGGAGATGAAGGCATCGTCAAACGACTCTGTGTGATCCTCATGCGTCTCAGGGACGTCCCCGTTTGTGTCATCCCAGATTGAGAAGTCCGAATCATCGCCGTCGTCCTCTTCGTCAGATTCATCGGAGAGTGCATCATACTCCGAATCAATTCCATCCGAGCTATAGCCCGATTCCGAATCGGACTCTTCATCAGAGTCAAAGGTAATGGTTGAGTTCTTAAGGATCGATTTCAAGAAAGGACGCAAAGTCGGTTTGGTAGTAGAAGTCGATGCACCTGATTGAGCTGGGGTGCAACCATTCGATGTGACTGAAACTTCATCTGAGCCATAGCAGCTGTCGTGGGAGAAAGACATCTCGAGGTTGGAGAAGGTAGACGAGACAGAGCCCCACGAGCCTCGATGGAGGGTTGAGTTGCTCATTTGCTCAGTAATTGGTTTGTCCATGCTTTCAGCGGGACGGTTTCTTTTGTTGATTTGTCGAACTGCCCAAACTTAAGAGGGCTCCGGGACCGTAACCGGGCACTCCTAGGCAGGAGAGATAGGGTTTGTGTGGAAGAACGAAGTTGGAAAAGGTGCGATCAGTGAGTCAAAAGTGAATCAAGAGAATAGCAAGGGCATCGAAAGCCTGCAAAGCACAGTGAAAAGTGCATAGTGAAGGCACACGGGAATCGTGTAAAAGTTTAAGGAAACTTGTCCCCAGCACAAATGTTGGAAGACATGATTTTCCGATAGACGCTTTGTGATTAGATGTAGAAGGGTGCTTTCTTGCCAGTCTGGTGTGCGGAACAAGACGGTCGAGACTGGTTGCTGTGGTGATTCGAAATAAGTTGATGTTGGTAACGGATAACACGGAGGCGAAAGGTTTTGTCGAGATGCATGTAGGGTACAAGAAGGTGGCAAGACGAGAAGTTGTGGTGTTCGCGTGACGCAATGAAAGCGGCGTTGGGATGTCGCGAGAGCAGCAAGGGTCGCAACGGGTATTGCTAAACAAAAAGGCTTATCGCAGACTAAGGATGCGACAAGAGGAGAAGAGCGGAGATGAAAGTAGACAAGAGAATAGTGGCCCACGTTTCGCGGGGTGTGACGGAGGGGCAAAAGCCGGGTTGAGTCACGTCGGCTTTGGAGTAAAGGCGACGATACAAAGTGCAGATGAGGAAAGTGCGAAAGGAAAAAACGGTGACTGCAGATGAGCAGTAACAGTAATAGATAGTTAAGAATCCAAGGTCACGGTTTGAAGTGGCCTGAAGAAAAAGAGAGAGAAAGAGGAGGGTTCCGTTCCTTGGGAAGATCGGGTCGCCCCAATTTCTCGTCATCTGACTCAGCCCGAACTTGACCTTTTTCGGAATTTTGCCCATTGGGCTCTTCCACGATTTGTTTCTTTGTTTCTTTGTCACAATACAGTCATCTGCACTATTTTCTAGATCATTCGAACAATGAATTTGATTGTCTATTGTTATGAATACCTAATTATATCCCATGACCAAGTACGGAGTACTCCGTACGCAATATCAGCCTTTGAGAATAGCCTCGGGAGTACCGGAATACCGAGTGCAGAGTACGTCTCAGCCGGGAATTGCTTTTTCAGTGTCACGCTCAGGATTTTATCGCGATCTTTCCTTCTAGGCATATGATATTATTGAATGACCACATCTTCTAGGGGCATCTATGACTTATTACCAAGCCCTTGCTGATTGCATACACAATAAATATGGTTGAACGGGGCCACCCGCTTATACGGCCTCTGTCCTTGACGACCTAAGACTTTAATAGTCTGATCTATTAGGACCAAGATGGTATGGATGTTATATGTAAGAACCCTTGAAAGTGCTTTTTTTATTCCTTTTTTGATGTCTTCTTGGGTGTATACGAAGGCGGTAAAAAGCATAACTACTTTGTGCAGACGACTTTTTCTATGTATAACCTTCGATATCACAGAGAGGTATTGGTTTTTGACTCTTCCAATGCCCCTTTCCATTTTTGCCTCTTTTTTAAAATTTTTTGTTTAGGTCCGTAGTCAGGCTGCATTCCGCATTGGCGCCTTGGACTCCGTTTGAAGAAACAGCGTGACGGGTTGCAGGCCTATCAGGCTGATCCAGAGCGCCTTCGAACTTCAGCTATACCAAATCTTGGTCTCAAATCCACCTGATGACTCTCAACCCCGGTTCATTAATCCTGCAGTCTCGCCTGAATCTATGTTCGTTGTTTGGCTATTGGCCGCCTTGGTTGTGATGCCTGAACTCAACCCAAAGACGGCATGGATGTCAAAGGAAGTAACATACACATTGACATGTCACCAACGCATTATACTGCATTGTCCGATTCAAAAATCACCTAAACACAATTTGGCTGATGATATCAATTGAGATACAAGAAACACCTGCAACCTCCAGCGCCACCGAAGGACGCTGCACTTTGACAAGTAAATGGCACCCGGATTATTTCGAAGGGGAAAGGAGGCGTCAGACCCTTATCTCATGCTGAGGAAAAGGTTTGGTCTTTGCTGCATTCAAACATGGCCTTATTTTGATCAACTTCATGCAGTCCAAATATAGAACATGGGGTCGAAGCAAACACTCCCAAATAAGGGCCCTGGACGGCGATCTCCTGCAGGTCAAGGTTTTCTAAACTTCCGAGCAGGGGGGACACATCCATGGGGCTCCCAGGAAAATCTGTCCTTCTCGAATACCTAAAACTCTTCTGTGCATTGTTCGGGGAGGGAGGGGTGACATTCCGCCCAGCCTCTACGTTCCAACCCACATTCCTGACCGTCTATCACCAACAGGACATTGACCAATCGACAACATCACCCCACCCCTAATTGGATCCATTGGCTAATCATGATGAAGCAAATGAAAGAAGTATGTAGCCAGAGTGCGCGGCCGATCATACTGTCACCCAAGTCGAGTCTTCTTCGGGCGGTTGATGATGGGATAACAGGTATCATGACGCTTACACTGCAAGTACCAACCTTGGAACTTGATAGGTGATCATCCTTCTGCCCCAGCTGTATGGTTGGTCCTGGTTCCTTGGATAATCCTGAACGGCTCGGAGAGCGTTCCGACCCATTTCCTTTTATAACGGCCGTGCTCTTACTCCGTACAAGTTATGCCGATCTCCAATCAAAAGTATCGGGTCAACATGCCTAAGTTTTCCAGACCCGCTTCACCAGCTCATTTGATGACTGTTCCACTGCTTCTGGCTTAGTGAAGGAGGGTTACATTCCCGTGGGTGGCTATCCGGAACGAAACCTCTTCGGGAGCTGGCGAAGATTGACAGCTCGGCCAGCCATTCATATTTCCTGCAACTACGATTGGCTTGGAGAGTCTTCAATCATTCTTCCGGGAGGTTGGTAAGGCCGGCCAGGAGCCAACCGGGCCCTCTATAGCACATTCCTTGTCCATCTTTAGAGCACTTGGAATGTGTCCAGAAATTCCGAGGCTGGTGTCCCTGGCAGCCATTCAAATAGGGCTTGCATCTGTTTGTTTGCTTTGCTTTCTTTGCATCATCTGCAGTGTTTTCTTTGATTGACAAACTATCAAACATTCAAACATCCAAACATCCAAACACCTTCTCTTTCTTTATTTGCATACTTTGCACTTCTCGGATATCCGGGTCGATCCTCCCGAACTATCCCCAAACCTTCCAAAGCCCTATTTCAAGACCAAATCCTTGGTTGTCCAATCAAATCCAGTCTTCGTGACCTTTCAGTCGCTGACTACACAATCGCCCCGTTCTTTTACTTTGTCGCCGCAAACGGAAATCCGACAAGATGTTCGCCCAACCATACGATCATTCGTTCAATGACTTGTTCAACCAATACGTCAATATGGAGACTAGTGCCGCTGATGGAAAAGATTCGGCTTTGTCCGATTTTGATCAGCTCTTTCCTCTTGACTCGCTATCCAATGACTGTGGCGATCTTCCACCCACGGTCTCCACTCCCAAACGCCATCAATCACCGCAACCCTGGAGTAATGAGTGGTCCCTGCAGGATGACGGGGCCGCTGCCGATCATTTTGCTTTCCATGACACCGTCCACCCGTCTGCTATTTCAGATGTCAGTCTGAACAACTTTGAAGTTCCCTCTCGCCCTACAACAACTCACGGTTTATCTACCTCGCCATCCACTCCTCCAGCTACTCCTAGACGGAAGCCTGCCCAGAGTGCTCTCATCACTCCCAAATCTATCCGCCACCGCAGCCCGAATGAGCGTCGCTCTCATTTGCGCAAACAAAGTTTCTCCCCCAGCTTAATGCGCTCTTCCAACCTATCCAAAGCAAGAATGGCATATCCCGAGGCTTGGGCCCAGCGAATTCAGAACTTCAGTCTTCACGGTTCCGAAGATCGTCTGCCGCTGTCGCCTCCTCCATCGGATGTCCTCATTCAGCATGAAAACATGCCTACCGAACAAATCATGAACCAACCTAGAGACTCAGCAGAGATGCCTCCTCAGTACGACGCAAGACTATACCACCAGTCTCCCTCAGTTTCAATGCCATCGCCGAATATCGCAATGTCAGCACGGCAGCAACAGCACTACATTGCTCACCCAAGCTCTTCCACCTTGACCAACTCCAGCCCTTCTTCTGCAGATGATTTGTTCTCCTCATCTCACTCATCCGACCCCCAATCTCTCTCCTCTTGGCAATCCGACCCTCTTCATGCCTCATCTATCTCTTTCACTCCAGACCTCCAAGGCCAAGATTCTCAATGGTGGTCCCCCATGCCTTCTCGGGTCTCTCAACAACAGGCCTCGTACCTCACCTCTCCCACACCTGTCCGCAACATGCCAAGCGTTGGAAGCCAAAATGACATGATGCAAGGAGGACTAATGATCCAATTCAATCCCTCCTATGATATGTCGGCGGACCACTCATTCTCATCATCTAATATGCTCCCCGCTACCCCTCAAAAATTCGACACCTACACCACCTCCCAAGTGCACAACGTCTCCCATTCACCATCTCTCTCTCCCAAGGCCGGCACATCACCCAGGGATACCTGCAATGGATCCATTTCCAAGCCTATCCACCGCCGCACTCACAGCCGCAAGCTCTCAGGCCAGAGCATGAATGCCCCCAAGCCCGCCAAGGCATCTGGCTCCTCGTCCCGAGGCTCAAACAAGTCTGTCAGCGTATCATTCGTCAACTTTACCGCCCACGACAGCAAGAAGATCTTGACCGGAGTTGCTCCCTCCGGCAGTTCTAAGACCAAGGCTCGCCGCGAGCAAGAAGCCCGCGATAGACGTCGCAAGCTGAGCGAAGCCGCATTGAGGGCTGTGCGCAGCGCTGGCGGCGACGTCGAAGCTCTCGAAGCTGTTCTCTGTTAAGTTTGTTTTTGATTTGGTTTTTTTTTTTTCCTTCTGCTTCTTTGTCTCTGTTTCTTTCAGCCGGTGTTTTAGGGTTATATCATTGGGAATATCTGGTTTGCTTTCGGAGTTTACGGTTTTGCTTTCAGGCCTGGGCCCGGGTGGTTACACCCTCAAAATGTTAGACTATTCTAATATCTAGACTCTTCTGTGGATATCTAATCTCATAATATTTTGTGACTATTCAGCTTCCGCTGTAGATTCTTCTTTTTATTTTTTTTGCGCTTGAGGAATTTCAAGGTATGCGTCTTTCTTTGCCAAACTGGTGAGCTTCTCTTTTTTCGACTCTGCTACTATCATTACTACTATGACTTTCTGCGGCTAACTTTCTTTTTTATCCTGAGTCCTTCATACTGAGTCCTCCACACACAAAGTCCTCCATACACCAAGTCCTCCATACACCAAGTCCTCCATACACCAAGTCCTCCATACACCAAGTCCTCCATACACCAAGTCCTCCATACACCAAGTCCTCCATACACCAAGTCCCATACCTCATGTCCCATACCCTAAGTCCTACATATCTATGATCCTCAAGTCTACCAACGCGCGTTTCATGCTCCGGTGTCGACTATAAATACCACCCCGAGCAACTTCTTCTTCTTTCTTCTTTCCTCTCCACGATACATACAAAGAGCTTTGGTGAGTATGCACTCTGCTTCTTTACACTGAAATACCCCTTATACCTTTCAATTGCATGCTAGTACCTCTGATACTGGCAAAGTGAGCCAGTCCAGTTCTCTCTGCATCTCTCACTCTCATTGCATATGCATTTACTTCACTTTGATCTTCACCAATTTTTCACTTACCTTTCATTTGCTCTCAATTGCATATCATTTGTTGCTCTCACGGTTTCTCACTTGCTGCTCTTTGATTGCTACATATCTTTTACCCCAAGTCCTAACCTGCAAAATATTTTACCTCCGCTTGCCATCTCACTGAGATCAGGTATTTTGCATGCCCCTCAGCCTTTATTTGCTGTTCCTGGTTCATTCTGATATTTTTATTTGCTGCTGCACATTTGCTTCTTACTGGTCTACCTTGATTTCCATTTTTCTTCCCTCGAAGACTTTTCCTTGCACCATCATCCATCTCTATCCACATCCCTACCTGCGTGAGATATTCTATCACTGCGTTCATCCTGCATCTTCATTGCATCACCATCTACATTGCCATTGCATTGCCATTCTCATTGGCATCGCTCTTGGCTGTGGGTTGGGCTACTTGCCTTATCGCATTGCGTGCCCTACATTGCCCATTGCTCTGCTGCATCGGTCCGTCTTCACATCACTATCTTCATGCATCTCAACAATCTAATGTTTCATTGTTATTAACGCATTTTTACAGATCAACAAATCCAAACTTGACGTTTTTTCTTCCTTTTTCTGAAAAAGAAAAACTGCGGTGGGCAAGATAGCGCTTGTCCTGTACTGAAATTTGTTCTTTCGTTCTTCTTGTCCTCGATTCCTCTCCGAAAATACCCAAGCAACCGGGGTTTTCGAGTCCTTGTCGTCGCCTATCCTACTTTCTCGAACACGCGCAAAGTTCGCGGTCTGACTACATCGTTTTCTATTTTTTCGACTACCTTTTTTCTCTAACCGGCATTCGCTAAAATGTCCGGCCGTGCGCACGGTGATCTGCCCATTCGAGGCGGCCGTGGTGGTGGTGATCGTGGCGGCTCCCGTGGCCGCGGCGATGGAGGCTCGAGTAGCCGTGGCAGTGACCGTGGCGGGGGTCGTGGTGGACGTGGTGGGTCCGAACCGCCCTCCGGGTAAGTTTATTTGATATACATCAGAGGAAATTATATCTAACATGTGCACAGAATGTTGACAGACCCGGTTGAAGCTCCCAGCGCCCGAGTCCAGGCCTTCGAGGACAAGTACGTCGCAGAGTCAGCTAAGGCTCGTCCAGATCCCGGCTCTTTGGCCCGGCGTCCTGGCTACGGTACTCAAGGTCGTTCTACTGTACTTCGTGCCAATTTCTTCCCCATGGAGTTCAAGCCGAACATCAAGTTCCATTCCTACCGGCTTAAGATCAGACCCGAGGCAAAGAAAGGGCAGCAAAAGTTCATTCTTGACAGTATGTTCCGAAAGTACCCTCTCTTCAACAAAGGAATCGGCATTGCCACTGATGGGGCCACTGAGATTGTTACGACCGAGCTACTTCCCAATAATCGAGAGCCATTCATTTGTTCCATGGGCAACGGAAGTGGGCATGGAAATGGAACATCGAAAGCCTACACCGGCCCTTGGGAGGCCACCTTGACCCTTGACAGCTCATACTCCCCAGCTGATCTGATTGCGCGCCTTGAGGATGTCAATCACCGAGGGGAAATTGAGAATGAAGCTCCCTGTCTCCGAGTAATGAACATCCTTATGAGTGCTTACCCCTACAAAGATGGCGGTATCGCCATCATCGGCAAGGGACGAAACAAATTCTTCCGGATGGACAAGCGAAAGCAGTCTATGGACATGAAGGGTGGTGCTGAAGCCGCTCGTGGTTACTACTCAAGTGTCCGTTGTGGTCCTGGACGAATCCTGCTCAATTTGAATGTCAGTCACAGTGCATTCTACTGTCCAGTTCTGTTGTCCGATATACTCCTTGGCTTTGTCCAAGTGCACGGAACCAACCGGGAAATTATGCACCGGTATCTGAAGGGTGTAAAAATCCACGCCTTGCACCTGGAAGCTCGAGAGAACGGATTAGGAGTGAAGGAAAAACCCGTCAGAACGATCCTCGGAGCTGCCACTCCTATGGACGGATGCAATGACCTCCACCCCCCAAAAGTTGAACGCCTCGCATCTAGTGCGGACAATGTGCAGTTCTGGATGGGAGATGAGAAGAAGGGGAAATACGTGACAGTTACTGAGTACTTCTTCAAAAGTAGGTTTGCTACGTATCAGTCGATATTTGAGGTGCATTGTGCTAACAAGAAATAACAGCTTACAACAAGGAACTCAAACATCACGGTGATATGCCGATCGTGAACGTTGGAACTCGTGATCGTCCAATTTACCTTCCTGCAGAGGTTTGCGAAGTCCTCCCCGGGCAACCCTTCAAGCCAGAGCCATCCATGATCCAACGACAGAACATGATCAAGTTCAGTTGCCGTCGGCCTCCTCAAAACTATGACTCCATTATGACCGAGGGATTGAACATCATGGGAATCGCTGAAGGACATACCAAGGCGGTAGGGATCAAGCCTGGCAAGGAGATGATCACTGTACCTGGTCGGATTTTGAATCCCCCAAATCTGCTTTATGGCGGCAAGAAGACCACTAACCCTCGAAATGGCTCGTGGAATTTGGTCGGCACCAAATTCGCCCAGTGCGCCAGCATCGGCAAATGGACCTGTCTTTGGCTTCGGAAGCGCGGTGCTACTGACAAAGAGCGCCTCAAAAATCCTGATTCTGAGATGGACGCATTCTACAGGAAATTGCGTGACCACGGCCTGTCGCTTCCGCCGCCCTCTAAACCGTATCTCCAAGTCCTTCTCGGTGTGGATGATAGAGAAAATCGAGGTTTGATCAAGGATGCATTCAAAAAGATCATGAAAGAGTTTCCCTTCTTGGTTGTTTTGCTTCCTAGCACAGAAGGAAAAATCTTTGATTATGTCAAGTATGCCGGAGATCTCAAGACTGGCGTCCTTACGCACTGCATGCTATCCGATAAGTTCGCAGGTGCTAATGAGCAGTATTTGAGCAACAATGCCATGAAGGTCAATCTCAAGATGGGAGGATGCAATCAACTCCTGCAGCCGGCGAACGCACGCTTCATTGCCGCAGCGAAGAACACCATGGTCGTTGGCTTGGATGTCACTCATCCGTCGAGCACAGACCCCGAAGTCTTCCCCAGTGTTGCTGCCATCGTTGCCTCCACTGATTATCGCATGGGACAATGGCCTGGTGAGGTTCGAGCCCAGACGCGCCGTCAGGAACACATCGAATTCCTCAAGGAGATGATGCTTACCCGGCTGGCCTTGTGGCAAAAGAACAACAATGGAAGCTTGCCCCAGAACATTCTCGTGTACCGCGACGGTGTTAGCGACGGCCAATTCAACATGGTCCTTACTGAGGAACTTCCAAAGGTTCAAGCTGCTGCCAAAGCGGTATACCGTGGAACCATGCCCAACATCAGTATCATTGTTTGTGGAAAGCGCCACAATGTACGCTTCTACCCTACCAATGCCAAGGACCAAGATCGAACATCTAACCCACTCAACGGATGTGTTGTTGACCGCGGAGTAACCCGCCCTATCTATTGGGATTTCTACCTGCAGGCTCAAGCTCCTCTACAGGGTTCCGCTCGACCGGCTCACTACATTGTCATTCACGATGAGATTTTCACCAACCCGAAGGTCAATACGGACCGCAAGCCTGCTGACGTGCTGCAAGAACTTACTCACAACATCTGCTACGTGATGGGCCGGGCTACTCGCTCGATCAGTTACAGCACTCCTGCCTTCTTGGCTGATAAGTTCTGTGATCGTGCCCGGAAGTATCTGTTGGCTCACTACCATGAGAACAATCAGCAGATCCATGACGATGACAAATTCCGAGGTACTACTCTGTCGATGGCGAGCGCATGCCTGAACAGTATGGTCTACATCTAATTTGACCATTGTCATTTTCTATTTTCTTGTTGATTTGACGGTTTTGCCGATCTTTCCGGAACCTGGAGTGATACCCTATTGCTATGCTCATTGTTCTTTGAAATTGTTTTTGACCTTCGATGTTTGCAATGACTCTTCTTGTTGAGCTCCAAGATTGCTCATGATGCGAAAGCTATGAAAACCACAAAACGACCAAAAAAGGGTGCAATGTCCTTGCTTTTCTTGCAAGCTTGAGATGTGCCTATGCTGCAACAGGTGAAAAATTGAAAAACACAAAAAAAGGGGATGGAAGGTTTATTTTTTTGATTTACTGCGATATCTTTGTTTGTCTTGGAATGACACTTGCGCTGCATCATGGAAAATACAGAAAAACCAAAAAAAGGGGTTGTTTTATATGTTAGAGTAGGAAAATTGAAAATATATAAAAAAAACAGCTGTGCCTGTGTAGCCACTAGATTTACTGTTAGTATAGTTGCAAGGATAGAGAAGATCTTAGTAGTAAGATTGAGTGGAAAACGCTGGGTACTGAAGAAGTATAGTATACAAGTGCCAATCTATATGGCTCTGATTATTTTGAAACCCCCGAGACAGCTTGGGCCACACCTGTATGACCTATGAGGTTGAACACGGTGCACAGTAACCTCTATCCTATACAACAAGGAGCGCGGGTGGAGTTCAAAGACTCTTCGGCATGAGATAGCCTCGATACCATCTATGACCGGGGGTTCCTTGCAAGATGTTTCTGCTGATGAATGGACCAATGGTACAGGGCGACAGCCTTCTCTGACTTCCAGCACATATCGCTGAAAGTCAAGCTTATATAGCATTGCGAAGTAATGATCAAAATAAGCCGATATCACCGCTTAGAACTAGGAGACCACGCTTCAGGCTGCCACTCCTCGCCTGGGTTGGCTTTGTTCGCCTTGCTCCATGGGTTCTCCTCCTTTGTTGTCTTCGGTTCTGCGGGTGCGGGTTTGGCCTTCGGTGCTGTTTCGGGGGATGTGGCTGAAGCCGGTGCTTTTTGTGCAGGGGCAGCGTTGACCGGCTGATTCAAAGTCGTCTCATTGATTTGGGTCGTTGGTGGTTGCTGTTGAGTCTTGGGCTTATCAAGGAAGGAGGCCTTGCTGGCCCAGCGTTCATCGGCGAGTCGAGCGAGTTGTTTGATTTGCGCCTGCCGGACCAGATCCTGCTGCTGCTCCTGGATGCTCGGGGGTGTTCTCGGACATGTCGCAGCCACTGGTGCCATTGCGCTGTGTTGAAATAACATGTTAGTTATGGTTCAATAGTCTCGTTCCCCTTTGCCCCCGGAATAGAGGCATGTGGTCCAAGCCCGAGCCTGCATCCTCCGACGGGACTCACGTGTCACTTGAACATCACTAAAATGTGTTTTGGGATCGAATCGAACAATGCGCCGGAATCGAGCTGCATTCATCACATCTTTGAACTCCCAGAAGGTATTGCCGGCGAGATCCTCACCTAGGTCACGGTTAGCGGTACTGAGACGCCACACGAAAAACAAAATGCAGATACTGACCGACCAAGAAGGACTTCCGCCAGGGCAGGCGAAGCTTCTTCCATTTGAACCACAAGCTGTTAACCATTGTTGATTGTAAAGAATAGAAAGAGGCAAAAAAAAGAGATCGAGCGGGACTATCAGGAACGTCATCGGGGATAAACACAGCCCGGACATTCCACTCCTCTTGTCTCTATCTCTCGACTTTTTTCTCTCCTTTTTTTAATTTCTACAACTTTACTAGAAAACTTCTGCGCTTCTAGTAAGTGAAGCATATTTTTCATCTCGTCATTTCCAATTGTATCACGGAACACCCTCCTTCTGCTACCCAATACCCGCCACCGTAAGGGCCGATCAGGCACCCGCAAAGGGATACATACCACCCAAGTGGCAACAACGGTCCAACTACACTTCAACAACTCGAGCATCGATCATTCGACACATCATGGCTTCAGTGACTTCGTTGGACAAGGACTTGCGCAATATGCGCCTATCCCGCTATACCCCGCAGGCAGCCGCGGAGGTACGCGACTGGATTGAGGAAGTGCTGCATGAGAAACTGGCATCGCCAGACTTGCTCGAAGGCCTGAAAGATGGCGTTGCACTTTGCAAGTGAGTCGTATCTGTGTTTTATACTACCATTAATGCGTCTGAATCCCTGGCTAACTCCTTTAATTACAAGGCTGGTAAACCTTGCTGTGTCACCGGGCGTGAAGTATAAGCAGTTGTCCGCGCCATTCGTACAGATGGAGAATATTTCGCATTTCTTGCGCGCATGTCAATTGCCACCGCTCAACCTTCCCCCGCACGATGTCTTCCTGACAGTTGATCTCTACGAAGCAAAGGATCCGGCGCAGGTTCTCCAGTGTCTGGCAGCGTTCAGTCGGCGGGCCAATACCCTTGCGCCCAACAAGTTCCCCCGAACTGTTGGCCCACAGAGTAAGCGCGGTGTGGTCAGCCCAAATGCGACGGGTTCCTCGAGCACCGGGGCATACGCACCCCGGTCAACACGCTCCTCTAGCAACGTCGGGGATGCAAGAGCCACCTTTCCCTCTCGAACAGACAGCCCTACGAAACCTTCCGGGTCATACAGTACTTGGGCCAAGAAGGGAGATGAGCAGGATACCACGCCGGCTTGGAACATTCACCAATATGGCTACATTGGGGGAGCTAGCCAAGGGAATCAAGGGATTGCATTTGGTGCTCGCCGACAGATCACCACTCCTGGGCCTGCTGTACCAAGCCTTGCAGAGAAAGAGAAGCGTAAGCGCGAAGAGGATGAACGGATCCGTCAACAGAACGCAGAAAAGGAAGAGGCAGAGCGGACACTCCAGCAACAGGTTGCAGAAGTGGAAGCTCATGCCAAGGCAGAAGAGGAGCGCCGGTGGGAAGAAGAGACTGCTCGTGTAAGGGAACAGGAACGTCTCAAGGTTGAAGCAGAAAAGAAGCGCTGGGACGATGAAAAGCGTCAATGGGAAGCAGAAGAGCAGCGACGTATGGCGGAAGAAAAGGAAGCCGAGGACCGGTTTGAGCAGGAGCGACAACAGAGACGAAGCTTGAACGATAACCGTCTCAATGGTCAGTTCCTAAGCCAGTACCAGGCCTCTAACTCCCAGGTTGGTGATGTCGCCGGAGCAAGGCCGGACGAGGAAACGGCCCAAAGCCGTCGCATCAAAGAGCTCGAGCGTGAGCTACAGCTGGCAAAGGACCGGGAGCGCCAGTACGAAACTGAACGTCAGGAAGTCCAGCCTGGAAAGACTGGCGATCAGCCTCAGGCTCCCAGTCAAAGTCGCCCTCGTCCCGTGCCCCCAAAACCTAGCTACGATCTCTCTTCTCTCGAACAAGAACGGCGACTCCTCCGTACGGAGTGGCAGAATACGCAGGATATGCCCGCTACTTCCGAGGCAGAGGAACCGGAACCCACCGAGGAGCAAGCACTAGCCCCGCCCCCTCGTCCCCTCCCAGTGCCAAAGCCATCATCTTCCTCTGCCACGCCGACGCTCCCTCCTAGGGACGTACCCGCCGCGCCCCGGCCCCTCCCAGACCCAGTAGCCTACAACGCCAACCGGGGCCACGCAAGCCGCGTGGACAATTTCCTCTCCTCGAACCCAGCACCCGCATCCCCAGCCCCAGCCGCCCACCGATTCCAAGACTACACCTCGACCTCCGAAGTCGACGCCGAGAACAGCCGCCGCGCAGCCTCGCAGCAGAAGACCAAGGCCGGCGGCTGGGCATCCAAGTCTCTTCTGGAACGAGAGATGGAGCGTGAACGCGCGCGCCAGGAGGAGTGGGCAGAGAACCAGAAGCAGACGGCGGCTGCGGCAGGGCGTGGCGGCCAAGATGGTACTCAGGGTTCGGGACCGGGCCAGTCTTGGGATGTTCATCAGTATGGCTATATGGGTGGTGATAATCAGAACCGTGGCGGTGTTGGCCTTGGTGTTGGCGGTGCTAGGCGCCAGATTATTGGGCCCCGGCCGCCGCGGTAAGCTGTTGACTTGTGTTGACAACCTGTTCAATTTTGAGTTCTTATTTTTTTTGATTCTTTGCCCCTTCTATTTTCTTACCATTATTTCTTCCTCCTTCTTTTCGGCTCTATTTCCCCTACCTCTATTGGCGGATATCATATCTCTGCGTTGGTGGATTATTCTGTTATTTGCGTGCTATGATTCCCGGCCCAAGCCGTTGCTTTGTTTTTGACGCGATGTGGTTGTAGATAGCAATTATACTCAAGGTCCTATAAAACACATTCTAAAAAATACCGAGCTTTATAAGTAGATTACACATCTGTAGGATACTCCTTTCACGGCAAGTGAAAATAATTGGCATTTAATAGATAGAACAGGTACTCCCTAAGTATATATCACAACCATTATATTCAAACCGAAGAAACATGCAAAGGACATCTAAACGCTCCATAAAAAACGCCCATAGACGCCGAAAATTGATCATTATCATTATTGTCATCATGAAAATCATTACCACTACACTGGTCTTTTCTGATCCCACAGAAAGGCTTCATGGTAAGATATGCTCTACCATAAACTTCATCCTGAACCCACTCTCCTGCAAGTAGGCCCATTCAACCGAGCCCCGATCACGACTAGCCTTCTCACGACGCGCAATCCCAGACCGGACAGCTTCCGCCAGCGACGGGGTCACAGAGAGCATTTTGGTCTTATGCAGGAGTGTCATCAACGCCTCGAGCAGAATGGAGACCTTGGCATTGTTGCCGACGTTCGGGGTAGCCGCTGCGTAGGGGAGGAAACATTTCTCCAGCTTGGCCTGGGTAAGGTAGTTATCATCGGAGCTGGGGGCGGAGCTCTCGCGGAGGACGAAGAGGAGGAGTTCGCAGAGAGTGGAGTGCGCTTCGGGTTGGAGGTGCGGGAGGTTGGAGGGGCTGATGAAGTGTTGGAAGATCGGGAGGGAGAGGTCGCGGATGTTCTCGACGAACATGTCGTAGAGATCGTCTAGGGGCATGAAGTCCCGGGGCAGTTTTTCCGATACGCTAGAGAGGATACTGAGGAGTTGCTGGCGGAGCGCGAGGGAGATATATCCGCCTAGCAGAGATAGATTGTTTGCGTGGGAAGGTGGTTGGTTTGCGTTCGGCATCTTGACAGGATCCGCGGCTTCGTCCATGGCGTTTCGTGTTCCGCGTCGGGTTCGCTTGCTGCGCCGTGGCTTACTAGCGTTCGATTCCTTGGCTGGAGGTGATACCGATGTTGAGGTTTGATCAGATTCGAAATCCTCGCCTGAATTGTTCAGGTAGTCGCCATAGTCATCCTTGTCGAGATTGATATCACCCGCCCTCTTCTTGGTATTAAGCGAGTCTTGTTCAGGGACAGGAATTCTCAGCTCGTCTTTGAATACCTCCTTGAACTCGCCGATATTTGATTTGCCATTGGCAAAGATTGCCCGCATGATTCTGCGGTCCCGTCCAGGTGTGGTGTTTGAGGCGATGTAACGGAAGATCAGACTTTCCCGAAAGATTGCAAGGTCATCATGCACCTCCACCTTAGTTTTTCTGCCCCTGCGTCTTTCTTTCTTGCCCGGTTCAGCGCCTTGCGAGGCCTCCCTCTCAGATCTTTCCGATCTCTCAGACCTCTCCGACCAAACTGATGTATCTCTTTGGTTTTGTTTTGCCTCTTGATACTTTTTTTCGCGCTCTTTCCAATCATCTTCCAGTACGTTGCACATAAACTGAAGCCATATTTGCCAGCGCTCCCACCGAGCCGGGTGAAGTACCGAACAATTGAATGCCCAGCCAACGGCGTGCCAAAAGTCCTCTGCACAGGTCCACACTGAAGAAGCTTGGTTGAATTTCGTATTCAGAGGCCTGGTATCAGGATTGTCATGCTCAACGAGCATCGGGCTTTCCGCACGCCGCCTACCCTGTCGAGAAGATGCAAACGGGGTGAACCCAAAAGCGAGATTAAACCTTGCATCCGTGGGACCAACAAGGGAATTAGTCAATCGAAGAAATCGCAAAGCTGCGTTGGGTGCTTCTTTTTCGTACTCCGACTCGGCGCGCGTTGTGGTTCTTGGATGCACGAGCATCGTAGCTGCGACGGCCAGATGCTGCGGCAGTGGAACCACTGCTTTTGTTGATGAGATAGTGCCCGATGCAAGGACATTGAAGAGAAGGCTATATGCTTGCGGCCCTAGTTGAGAAAGCGGAGATTATTAGCAGCGTCTCATTGAGGTTTTCCCTGCACGCGTCAACACCCGGGAAAAGGGAACATACATAGGCTATCCTCGAGGAAAATTTCTGTCTGTCGAGCCAGTTCCCATTGAAGGGGTACGGGTGACCGATATGGTACCTCGTCCATGGTCGCCATGGCCAGAGGGTGGTTTTTGAAAAGCCAGCTGAAAAGGTACATTTTGAGCTGGCGCGGGCAGTAACGCGCTTATCGATAAGGAGTCGCGGCGGAAAATGGCCGGGTGTTAGGCGCGTCGAAAGAGGTATATGTCCAGCAGAAGAGTAGACAGTTGGATGCTGATATATGTGACATTATTCAAGAGCATGAGAAAGAAATCCAAAGTAGGTCCTAGAGATATGTTAGGCTAATACTGTAGTCAACAAACTAAGAGTGTTGTTGATAATCAATTCTATAAAAAGTTTGAACTTCTTTGTTTCGAGGGCGGAGACAAAGGCGGTGGAAAGTATAGTATACAAACAATGAACTTGGCTCTTTCTTCCTGTAGGGACCTGGGGCACATCTTGACGAGGAATTGACGAGGTTACTTTATGATGAGTCCCGTGGTCGGCTTAATTGAAGAACTAAAGGTGTTGGTTTTGGTGAAAGCTTGAAATCTCGAAGCCCTAGGTTAGATACATAGCCCTGGAGATGTCAGTCCATATTAATAACATACATATAGAAACAAGAATAGTCGGCTGCTTATGCGGCCTCTGTCCTTGACGACCTAAGACTTTAATAGTTTGATATATTTGGACCAAGATGATACCCATTAGGGATGTTATATGTAAGCACCCTCCGATGTGTTGTTTGGACGATATTTTTAGAAGTATTTTTAGAAGTATTTTTTAATGTCCATTTTATTGTCTTCTTAGGTGTACATACGAAAGCGGGTAAAGAGCATACATTGTGCAGACGACTTTTCTATGTATAACCCTTCGAATATTCGGTCAAGGGGGGCTCTAAGAAGTGACAGTTGTTTTAGTCGAATTCTAGCCATGATGCAATAGGCTCCCCGCATGGGCCCCAGCCAAGAGATTGACCTGCATTACCCGATCGAAGCTCTACATATTCTTACTTCCATGTGCATAGGTTGCAAAGATACGTCGATCCCTTACATTACACAGCCCAGGATCTCAGAGAGAGCAGCAGGGACACGAAAAAAATGGAAGCTTGCAAGGTAAAAAAATGCATGGCTTGAATACTTGGAAATCTAAACAAGGATAAGCTGCCTAGGGCAGACCGAAAGGATGGGAATTTGAACTGGTTCGCAGTGACTTCTGCGTCTTCATATTTGCTGACGAAAAAAAAAGAAAAAGAGAAACAGGATGCCCGGTGACCAAGAACGGTTCAAACCCCCGTCAATCAATTTCGCAATGCAAAAGCCTTTTATGGAGAAAAGGAGGGGAAGGTGAGAAAGCTCGGGAAATCAACGAGGCCGTGGATACGCCAACATGGATAGTGGAGAGAAAGAAAAAAGGAAAGATTAAATGGGAGCCACTATGACTCCTCGGGTATATCGGAGAATAGACCTATTCGCAACCGATGCGACTGCAATCAAAAAAGTTAGCAAATGAGTTTCGTAAGTCTAGTTCTGAGCAGATATAACATACGAAAGGCAGCTTGGGAATGACCACCCCCAATGTGGCCAGGAAGTTGATAGTGAAGTGGGTCAAATCGAAATGGGTGTAGTGAGTGCTGAGGAGGAAGAGCACGATAGGCACGCAGAGCAAGAACTTCTTAGCGGGTGTGTATTGGTCGCCGTTGTCGATCTGCTCCCACATGTTGAGATTGTCGTAGGCACCGGCGTTGAATTCAAACGGAATGCCCCGCACCCAGTGGAACATGAGGAAGGATCCAAACATGTAGCTGATATTGGTGAGGGTCCACGAAGTTTCCTGCGAGACGCCCGGGATGATGTCGTAGAAAATCTTGAGAGCGGCGATACACACGAAATGGATGGTCCAGGCACCTAAAATCAAGACGAAGTTCCGCGTTAGTCCTCTCTCTATCTTGTGATATGTGGTCTCCAAGATCGGCTTTTTATCACTCACCCTTGGCATTCACCCAGTTTGCATTCAGATTTGGCAATGCGGCCTGATCACTGGTATGCTCGATAGACTCGGCTGGCTCCTGGTAGATAAGACTGCTGGACCGCCTCCGGCGGCCTTGTTTTGAGGTCATGCTTGGAGATAGCCGCTGCGGCCCTGTGTCAACATCCGGAGGGAAGGAGATGCCACGGGGGGCCAACAGGGAAGACGCTTTTGAATTATCGGACGCCAGCTTGACGGTTGGATCCAAAAAGCAAAAGAATAAGTTGGACGGAGAGAAGGAGAGAAGAGTGAAAAGGAGCGTGGGGATGAGGTGGCACGGCCCAGACTGGAGTTTGCCGGTCGGATCGGCTTAAGGTCACGGGGTGCGGAAGAGCTCTCTGATTCATGTATTTTTTTCTTTCTTTTTGGCTTAGGCTATCTTTTTTCTTTCCATTGAAGGTCTATAATTAGATTAATATTTTTCTCCCTAATCTATTTCCTACCCTTTAGATTGGCCTAGCAACTACGTAGAGGCAAATGCATAGCCCTACATTGATGTACGAACGTATGCATGTGCGGAATCTAGCCCGAAAGGACTAAAACTAAACATATAATTTATATTAAGGATTCAATAAAGGGGAAGATTCATAAATAGCTGAATATATATCCTTTCTCTTCTGGTTAAAATATCTCTTATCGTTGATATTTCCTTTTATGGGGCAAATATCCAATGTCCGAGACATCCACGGCTGCCAAAACAAGGCTAAATGGACTTGGCCACCTTTGCTCAACTATGACACCAAAACTATTATGCTTTTTACTGCCTTTGAATACATCTAAAAAAGACCTTCTAGAAAGACCATCTGAAAAGACGTCTGAAAAGACATCTGAGAAGACTCTGAAAAGAAAATCTTGAAAAACCATCTAAGAAGAACTCCAAAAGCACGTCGGAGTGTTCCTACATGAAACATCCCTAATATCACCTTAGGCCAAATATATTGTAGATGGATCGAGCTATTAAAGTCTTACGCCGCCAATGACAGAGGCGCATATTCTTGTGTAATTATACCTTCAAACCTCAAGGCCATGCGTGTTTGCATAGTAAGAAGTTTCCAACATCATTATAGCAACAAGTGCATAGGGATAGATCCCGAGCGAAAAGCCTGCAGACACAATATCTGCCGTGTCTAGAGCACGGACTTCTTCAGCCACCGGGCCTTTCCGTTCGTATTGATGGTGCTAATCCAGCAGTCCTTTTGGGGCAACATTGAAACTAAGTCATGGCGATGGGATCCGGGGCATGGTTGTTGTCCTAGCGGTAGTGATTGTATCTGAAAGGCTCAATCGAGCCCCGAGAGAATTATACCAGAGGAACTGAAAGTAAATGTCGCGAGTTTGCCGTCCGATGTCTTTCTAGGTGTCTTTTCAAAACCTCCTAAAACATGGCGTCCACCTCGGCACTGTTGGGGGCTTGGCCCTGGGAGGTTCGGCGAGAGTGGCCGGGGAGGGTGAGGCGGGGGCCCCGAAAGGGGTGTGGACGGGCCGAAGATTGAGAAAGTTCAACTGAACACTGGACTTGATCCTAGTGGCAATTCACACATTCTGAATTGCCGGCGTTATAGTCCACAACGACGCAAAGGGGGAAAATGCCCCTTTCACGTTGGCACGAGATGCATTCAACCTCCACACGACGACCAACCATGAACATATGAATCGCCTCGGTGTGGGTGCATCGAAGGTCCTCTGCTGTCGTAGAAAACCACAAATCCTGCCGGAATTGACAGATGCCTTCATCCTACATGACGAGTCCAGTACTCGGTCGGTATAAACAGAGGCAGTTGATGGCGGGAGCCTTGGTTAGGATTCCGTCCAACATTCGGTATGGCCGTGCTTCCACATAGCCTTGTCTGTCATCGATAAATGAGAGTAGACGGGTCTCTGGTTTATCAACTAAGAGTTGGTACTGGCTAGGTAGTTCTGCAACACTGCCAGATCAAGTTTATAATCAACTTGTGGTTAATTTGGGAAATGGGAAAGCTCTAACTTGGTAGATCCAAGAAAGCACATTCTTTGACTGCAGGTTGTGAGCGTCCATCTAGCCGCGGCTGAATAGCCAACAGTACTTTGAATATTCAGCCTAATGATCCATAAGATCCATAATAACATTTGGCACTTGGGATTATGTACGAAGACGGCATCAACCCCACTCTTGGCGTCGATCGCCTCGATTTGCTATACTTCACGGGTAGATCTTGCGCCTAAGACAACGCCCAGTCTGAAGAGTTTTTAATGACTCGCTCTTTGGGGTTGGGGTCTTGAATCATAATCCAAGCTATTATTAACACCCAGATAAATCTATATACATATGATGTTGAGTGTGGATCCGGGGTCAAAGAGACTTATTGGTTACGCTTGTCTGCCCGCTGTCTAGATCACGTCGAGATCATGTTGATATTGCTTAGCTGACCTGTTGGCTTAACCTTAAAATGATTAATCTTATATTTTTATGTCTTTTTACGCTTGTATGCTTCCGATGAGTACCTCGTATGCATCCTCGGTTGTATACAGCATCAATGAGGTCTGATAGTGCGCTCTATAATGATTTATTGGGAGAAAGAATCAATGTAAATAGAACCAAACTACAGTTCCATCTCTATGTACTATATGACAAGCATACAAAATCTTATCGGAGTGAAAATCAGGGGGCTCTACGGCTTATCGCCTCACTGCCGTATAGTTAACTTCGGTTTAGGAATTGCGCAAGTGGTCGACCTCGTCTACCGTGAAATTTTCTGGGGACCCGAATTCTACTGTTGATCCTTCTAGACACTTACTTGATCTGTATTCCAATATTTTTATCCAAACTTATCCAAATCCATAATGGCCAATTCCTCAGATGAAGAAGCCGATTCACGCACAGCCCTTGTGGGCGCACCGCGCACTCGATCGAATCCGCGTTCCACCTCGCGCTCCGCATCGCACGACAGCACCCGCCCAGCCAAGAGACAGCGCCGCAACAGAAATAAGAAGGACTCAGATCTAGCTGACTTTGTTCCGAAAGGTGTTGCATTTAGTGCCACCTCACTGCCAGTGGATAATGCAGACAACACATCTAGCTCAGGATCTAGTTCAACCTCAAGTGAAGATTCCGATTCCGATACCGATCCAACCACTGTCGCAAACCCACACGCTGGCAACACCGCGCCTGCAATTAGCTGGAACCAGGGTCGGAAGGCTGCAGTGCGCACAACTCTTGGAAAACGATCGGCACCAACAAACGAGAAGCCCAGTCAATTTGAAGCGGTGAATGACAAGTATTGGCGCAGTCGCAGTGCATCTGTTTCGGCCAATGGTGAAGTCAAGCCCACAACAAACGACCAATCTCAAAACGACGATGAGCTGGAAGATGGAGAAATTGACTCCAAGAGTGACACAGATGATTCAGATTCTCTTGGTTCTGAAGCCGATGACTCTATCCTGCTGAACATAGGGGACAAGATAGGAATGGATGGTGCCAATGACTATGACCCTGCCACTCTGGCTCATCAGCATGGTTCCAACGCTGGAAGCTCAAATCTGAAAGGCGCATCTACACAATCCGGACCTGGGTCGAAAGAGGAAGCGTTCCGGCTTTTCTCAAGCAAGTATCCGAATGCGCCTGTTGCTTTGGTGGACCTAAGCCAGGCGGACCTTGAGATTATTGCGAAATACGTCTACTTCGACCGTAACATCCATGATCTAGACCTCAAACTTCCTATCTCTTGCCTCGAATGCCAACGTGAGGGCCATCTGGCCGATGTCTGCCCAGCAAAAGAGGTACGTTCTATTTTGCATCCATTTACTTTTTTTTCACCTCATTAACCTCAAATATAAAGTGTGAACACTGCGGTGCCTGGAATCAGCACCAAAGCAGTACTTGTCCCGACTGGCGACGATGCCAACGATGCCGCGAACGTGGCCACGACGAGCCGCAATGCAGTGCAAAGCTACGCAATTTCGCATACGAAGTGCCCTGTGACTACTGTGGCAATGAACACCTGGAAGCCGAATGTGATTATCTATGGAAGTTCCCAATCAGAGATCTTCACTCCGATCAAGTCACAGTATCAATCTGCTGTTCGAATTGCTGCAGTGCGAAGCATCTTGTAGGGGACTGCCCAGCTGGTTACTTGCGCGCACAAACCACAACGTCATCGTCATTTACCCTGAAGGGTATCGACCCAGACATGATCACGAACCTCAACACCGTCATTCCACCGCGAGAGACCCGCCCACCAAGCCGATCTCGATCCCGCGGAAGAGAAAGAGAATGGTCTCGAGCTCCATCCCCAGACGACGATGACATGATGTCCCGCGTATCCCGAGGCCGAGGACGCCCCACCCCTGCCCCTCGTGGCAATACCCGTGGCAGTATCAAGTTCGCAAGCGGAGTCGGAGCTAAACGTGGTGGTGGTGATGCACCATCCAGAGGGCCTTTGCGTGGTCGAGCAACATTCTCTGGAAACAACAATCGCTCGCGCTCCCCGAACCCGCCCCTTCCACGGGGTCCTCCCCCAAGAGGCGGTGGCCGAGGCCGTGGACCACAACGAGGAGGATTCTCACGCGGACCACGTGGCGGCGGCGGCAGAGGCCGCGGGTGGTAAGAAGGGGGTGAGATGAGAATCGAGCAGCAGATCTCGGCGAAAGCCATGTACATAGCAAGCACAGTGTCCACCATTCCGCTCAGCCTCGGCTGAGAATATATGTACGATTAAATGACACTTTATTCTAACATCTCTCACTTCACCGAGTATATCTCTCACATGGTACGTAGTACATGCCCATGCTGCGTAAGCGGACTATCTAGCATATCCATAACCGGTGGGCTCTAGGCAGATGCCATCATGAGATGACACAGCACCAGAATCCCATCACGCGCCATGCTCATCATTCTTTCTAGTCCCGAGGAATCCCTCCTCCAGAATACCAACCAGGTCATCCAGCTGCTTAATACAAAGATCCGTATGCGGATGTTCCTTCAAATGCGCATTCAGCTCATTCAAAAGCAACACCGTCGCAGCGCCAGCCATATGCCCAGCTGTCATATCATCAATGCTATCACCAACCATGATCAAATTCTGACCATCAGCAAGACCCCATTCACTCGCAATATACAGAATGCCCGCGGGATCAGGCTTGGGCAGGAGATTGGGCGTGTCACGAGTGATGATTGGTAGGAAGATATGTCCGTCGAGATGGTTGTCAATTAGGTTCTGGACTGGTGCTCTAAGAGACGTGAATATGGATGTTAGCGTTCTGTGTACTTTATATAACCGGAATATTTATCCATGGAAGGTGTGTCCTGGTTGCGATGGGTTAATTGCTATAACGTACTCGAAGTTCCGGGTGCAGAGCGCCCGTCGTAACCCACGGGATTTAAGGTAGTCCATTAGGCGAACCAGGCCGGGCTGTGGCTGTTGGTCGGCCATGGCTCGGCGCTCTACTGCTTGCACTTTGGATACGGCTGTGGCTTGTTCTCCGGCTGGGAGTTCGCGGATGTGCTGGAGGATGTCGATGGAGCGATCGATTCCTAGTGCTGCTCTATAGTGGGAGATTTGTTAGAGAGGTTTGAAGATGGGTTTGGTTTTAAATAGCTCTCAGGCAGTAGATCATACCTCATTTCACTGAACATGTGGTGCTGTGGTAAACTGGTCAAGGTTAGCTAGGTTTTTGTCAATATAAAGTTGACTTGGTCACAACGATCAGAGCGGTATCATTAGAATCCTCGAACATGCTCAATTTCTCCGTGATTGAGCATGCCAGGCAACAAAAGAACAAGGCAGAAAGCCTGGAATATAATACAAAACTAAAGAGCATGAAAACGCCCTGCACTCAACTACTACGTCCCAGACCCCAGGCCGCAGTACTTATCGTCTAACGTGGAGCAGGTCACCAAGCGAATGTAGGGCTAATCCAGGTTATCCGCTCAAGCATTGTTAAAGCCAGGGATCTGAATCCAACACAAGGCATACTTTCCCGAATAGGAAAGTATGTTTCTGCCTGAATCTCATATTGATGCCTTAATCTTCATTTCCTGTCCACTTCCAACAATAGCACCAAGATGTATATATCAATTCCCCAAGATGCATGCAACATAGCGAATATCCAACGGGGAAAAGAACTACATCGCATAACTCATATAAAGCATCACGAAGAGAAAAAGTGACTCACCACAAAGTCCCGTCCACATCAAACACAATTCCCTTCAAGAGAGGGGCAGTCGACGTCTCGGCAGAGCCGAGAGGTGCAAACTTTCGCGGACGAAGATGTTTGCAGGCGATAGCAGACATGATGGAACGAGCAGCGTGCCTTATATTCGACATGAACAGAGAGAGAGGAGGTTGAAGAGGTGGAGTTCGCCAAGTGGAGCCGCGGGAGGTTCCCGAAGAGCCGACCTCGGGAGTTTCCAAGGTTGTTCCTATTTTTATAATGATGCTTCACTGCACTTGTTAATAATATAGCAAAGAAGACAAACGCTCTCCTAAACTATAGGTCATTGACTAGTTAGATAATATCTGGCTTAGGAATGGGAATTGATAGGGACACCCCAACTTTTGTTAAGAACACCCCAAATTATGTAATCTGATTGATTATATAATGTATAATATCATGTGATCTGTATTAGAATTACCATAGCAACATCATTCTAAATGCCTATACTATAGTCTAGTATAAATCCCCTAGCTCTGCCCCCTAATTCTCTCAGCTCTTTAGATCTCTACCTCTCAGATTTATCAGATATGGAGCCCCCTAAAGAGCAGATCTTTGATAGTAGAGAGCTACTAATGGCCTCTGTACGTCAGCATGCTCTCTCCCACGGCTATGCTATCACTACTATACGATCAAATGCGAATCGAAATATATGCCTAGGTTGTGATCGTGGTGGCACCTACTATGATCGAATCAATGCGCCAGATGGGGCAAATCGACGATTAACAACTACACGTCGAATTAGTTGTCCATTTAGACTATATGGAAGAAGAATTCCAAATAGTGAGACGTGGGAATTGAAGGTACGTAACCCTAGTCATAATCATACCACTAATAATATGATAGGTCACCCTATAGCTCGCAAATTCACAGAGGAGCAGCTTCAAATTATCCTTCATATGTCTGAGGTTGGATCGAAGCCCCGTGATATCCTTGCTCTAATTAAAAGAGAGCATCCTAATACCCTAGTTACCCCTAGGGATATCTATAATGCACGAAGTGCTTTACGAAGACAAAAGCTTGGTAATAGTACTCCCCTTGAGCTTCTAATCAAAACTCTACAGGAAGATTATTGGAAATATGCTATTAAGCAGGATCACGAAGGCCATATCCTCTTTTTTATGTTTGCGCATCCAGAATCAATTAAGTATGCTAATAAGTATAATAGGGTTTTCGTACTAGATTGCACTTATAAAACGAATCGATATCACATGCCTTTATTACATATTATTGGCATATCACCCTCAAATTCGACATTTAGTATTGCATTCTGCTTTATGCAGAATGAGAAGGAAGAGAGCTATATTTGGGCTTTAAAGACCTTTTTCTCCTTCCTAAATCCCCTACCCTTTAAACCAGTTCTTTGTACTGATCGAGATCTCGCTCTATTAGGTGCACTTAGGGTTGTATGCCCTAGATATCCGCATTTACTTTGTATATGGCATATTAATAAAAATGTGACACAAAATACAAAGCAGTATTTCGATACGAATAATAAGCATCAAGAATTTCTCAAATCGTGGATTCAGCTAATCTATTCTAGTACCGAGGATATCTATAATATAAGGCTTTTAGAATTTGAAAAGCAATATCAATCCTCCCCCCTACCCCTTCGATATATTAAAGATACATGGCTAATTTATAAAGAGAAATTTATAGTTGCGTGGACACAACAATACCTACACCTAGGTAATTCTGCGACATCCCGAGTTGAAGGCTCGCATGCCTTTTTAAAAAAGCATATAGGAGCTTCAACAGGGGATATGTTACTTGTATTTGAAAGGATTTCACAAGCTTTACAAGCGCAACATGCTACGCTTGAATATGACCTTATAAGAGATCAAATTGAAAAGGTAATAGTACCATCACAAGAGCTTTATACTAATATCATGACTAGGACCTCTCGATATTCAATCCGACGAATTAGTGAGCAAGTTTCAAAGGCTAAAAGAGCTACAGAAATAGCTCCTATACCTCCCTGTACAAATACATTCTCAAGAACGATGGGTCTACCTTGCGCACATCAGATTGCTACTTTACTAGAGGGTAATGCAGCTATTCCATTATCAGATATCCACCCGTTCTGGCGAATTGGCCTTAGTGATACAGAGGACATATTAGAGCATCTTCCACTCTTAGAGCCCCTGGTTCCATTGCCGAAGCCTAAGAAGCGTAAGCGGGATGAGATAGAGCAAAAGAAAGTTGAAGAGCCTATACAGAAGAGGAAAAAAGCACCATCAAAATGTACTGCATGCGGTATAGTTGGGCATACACGAAGGTCGTGTACTGGGTAAATAATGGAGAGAATAAGGATATTTCAGATACATATCACATGATATTTTATATTATCTAATAATTCAAATTACATAATATGGGGTGTCCTTAACAAAAGTTGGGGTGTCCCTATCAATTCCCCTTAGGAATGTGTAAGCTGGGTGTATGCATCAATCCCAATGATACCACACCCAGTGTAGTTTCGGAGGTCTCCGTGAGACGCGGCCGCACAGATTTGGCGTCAAACCGAGGGCACCGAAGTCAAAGGTACTGAGCAGATCGGCCAGATGCAGATCGAGCTTGGCTTGACTGCCACCGACCACCATGCCACTGAGTCCGAGAAGGTTGAGATGGCTACTAGCAGCGGCGAGAGCGAGGATAAGCATGATAGGTGAAATGTAAAGCAAAGGGATGTGGGAGGGGAGCGTCGGAAATATCGGTGTAAACAGCCATCGTCATGTGACATAGTTGTCCCGGCTGGCTTGTAGTGCCCTGCCGGCAAATCACAGATCCGCGAATGAAATTTACTTACTTCCTAGAATCACCGTCTCGTTGATAAGTGTTGAAGTGCTTCAACGGACTTTGAAATGGTGTTTTGTAGACTTTGTGGCCGGCAGAGTCAAGCCTCAAGAGTATGTACTCGTAGAATCATTCATGTCGAGCTCCTGTGTTGACTGTGGTGAAATACTTTCAAGTGTTGAGAAGAGAGTAATACCGCGCAGACAAGATTTCCACCCATCATCAAAATTGCAATTAAATCGCTCAACGCGCCTGAACTGTTATTCTGACTTGATTTGACTGAGGGAGACTATTTTCATCAACTCTCCCAGAAGACGTCTACTTCTTTTCTTCCCCTCGTGAAATTGACAGAACAAAGTCCTTTTGCATCAGTCGGCGGTTTGCACCAAAAGGGGATTTATGAAGCATGGACGTAGTGAATTACTTGGAGCTAATCAATGTATGAGAGGGGAAAGCTTTTCAGTAGTAGGATCGCATATTTGAAACACGTGCAATAATATTATTCTTCGTCTCTTAACTTTCCCCCTCTATTCCATTCGCCCTTTCTTAATAACCACCCTTCATTCTATATGCACGCTTTTACTTCATCGCCTCCTCTTTGTCGACCTGGGAAGCGTTTCCTCTCCTATATAATGATAATAGCCAAACGATCCTACCAGCTAGGCACTAACGATCTTATTTTGTCGGGCGGCCTAAAATCCGGTGTATATGTAGTCATATATACGAAGCGACTACGTATACTTATAGAGCCCTTAAGAGACATTTATTTCATCTTTTGCCCTTTCTACTGTTCTTTATCTTAATCCTCAGGAAAATTTTTAAAAAAATTCCATATCAAGAATCATTATAATAATGGCTTGTTTCGACGAGACATCTCAGCTCAGCTTTTACATTTTCATCGGTTGGCTCTCTGCGGTGCTTGGTTGGATCATAGGCCATGTTACCGTCGCAATTTCGCATCGATACCGACTCCGACACCGAAATTCTCTTCCTGATACCGATTCAAGCACGAGGAGTGATCCGGCTTCCCTGGAAAAAGGTATCGGCAGTGTTCCTCGCATCAACAAGATATCTACCACTACGACACAATTTGGGCATGCAAAATCAGACATGGACCGAAATATCGGACACACAACCACATATGTCTAGAGCATACGGGACCTTGAAAACTCGAATGCCCAACCGCTGGGCACAAGGTTACTTGTGCGCGAGAGTAGTAACCTTCCCCACGAGACTATGGGACGTACCAGGAAATGTGAAAGCATTGGAAGCCTTTGACTTGGGCATAGTTCTATCACATAGTCATATATACGTAGTCAGTGCGTATATAGAGCCCTCAAGAGACATTTTCTTTCACTATTCTTTACCTTGATCCTCAGCAAAATTTTCAAAACTTCCATATTAAGAATCCTATAATAATGGCTTCTTGTTCCGAGACTTCTTGTTCTGAGATATGTCGGCCCCTCTTGTACATTAACTTGGGCCTGTGCATTGGGGTATGTCAATGTACCTTCGTCGTTCTTCTCTTCGAATTTTTCTTGAGACGCCTAATACGGCTTAATCAAGCTTCACGGTACGAAAATACCGACGATGCTCCTACCAATAAGACATCTACCACCTCGACACAGTTTGGAAATTCAAGATCAGACATGAATCGATATATCATCTAGAGCATACGAGACCTCGAAGCCTCGAATGCTTAACCGCTGGGCACAAGGTTGCTTGTGTCTGATCACGAGATATACTTGTAGCTAGAATGAGTTTCCGTCTTTTTTCTTCCATGTCAACTGTTAGCCTGGCGTTGGGTTTGGCTTTTGTTCGCTTCTTTGCCTTAGTTTTGATACAATCAGGTCCCGAAAATACAATTGACTTCTTTGCTTTTTTGGAATCTAAGCGAACTTCTTTAGCTCCGACACTTCTCAGTTTCTGTTTAGTTATATATAGAAAACCCCTTTATAAGGTTTATTGTTTTTACACCCTTCGTATACATCTAAAGAGACATTTGAAGAGACATTTGAAGAGACATTTAAAAAGACCTCAAAAAAGACCTCTGGAAAGACATCGAAAAAGAATAGCTAAAAACACGTCGGTATGTTCTTACATATAACCACCTTAATATCATCTTGGCCAAATAGATTTGATATAATCATGTCCTGCAAATCCAATTTGTTGAATCTGGGAAACCTCTGGTTCTTTCCCTCTTACTACCCGAGTAGTTGTAGCTTCCTTGACTGTACATAGTAGTCAACACTCCCTACACGCTTTGGCGCCAAATCCCAAACGAACCACCAATATCTTCACCAGCTGATTCGCAAGTGGCATTCCTCCGCTATGGATCAAAAACCCTTCGCAGTGTTTCCCATATCTCTCCTAAACACAATATTCCTCATCAGTTCTCTCTCCTGGCTTCAACTGCTCTACGCAGTATCCTATCTCGCACGACCATTCTGGAACACAAGACGCGAGTTTCCGCCCTTCAACAAAGCCATCTACCGCACAGAAACAAGCATTATCAACGCTATTCTCGGCCCTATGCCATTCTCAGCCTATACTTCTGCAACAGAAACAGAGCGCCCGTGGTATCTTTCATCAGGAAATGGCAACCTGAACCACGAGAACAATATCCGCACCACCTCCCTGGCCACCTCACCCTGGCCACAGCAGGGACAGCAAGACTCGGATTCCTCATCAGAGCAAGAAAGTCCCACCTCACAGCCGGGCACCGAACATCCCCGAGAAAACTCCCCCATCTACGAAACCGTGCGTAAGCTCCGATCCAGCACACGAGGCAGCATTTCAAAGATCGCCAACTCGGCAAAATCCATCTTCCGACAGCCCCTGACCGTTCTCCCACGGAATATGGACGGGGAACGGACCGAAGCAGACCCGGTTCCAGTTCCAGTTCCAGTGCGCACTTCCCAGCCTCACTTCGTCCAAAACGTGTCTTTCCCCGTGCCCATGTCTGCTTCTGCACGTGTCGCAGATCACTTCAGTGACCCTGGTCCGTCGACTGGAATCAAGGTGCAGCAGCCGATCTCGTCGTTTGGGGAAACCATTGATGCGGCGGTGGATTCTGAGACGGTGCAGATGAATCGCGCCCGCAAGTATCACTCTGTCGAGAGTTATCCCGGGAAGTTCCCTGTTAGTGATACGTTGGATTATAGCTCGCTTGCTACCGCGTATGCTGTTAGAGGGAGGGGGACTACCCCTGTTCGACCTTTCTCGGACTACTAGGGCTTTTTCTTTTTTGGTGATGGGGCATTCTGATTGGCATGACTGGTTTCTTGAGATGATATTCCCATGACGATGATGGTTGTCGTTTGTGTGAAGTCTTTGAATTGGGTGCTTTTTTTGTTTGTTTCTTGGGACATGGTATCAGAGTCAGTGTTGTACTTGGGATTCTACCGTTCATTATAGTCATTACCAAAGATCAGGTCTGTCGTTCTTGTCATTCAATGGGATCTCTATATTTCGCAGCATTGACTACCTTGTTTTGTACTTTAGGTGACGGTAAAACCACCTCCCTGAGCAGCTCCCTGAGTAAACTGATCGCTCACCCCCAATGCCCAGGCTGATCGGCCTATTCACTGCCTGGTAGCCACAGGATAGAAAATTAATTCTGGATATTAGCTATACTATCCACCAGTGGATGTAATTATTTCAATGACTCATTATCAACCCTAAACTTGCTAGCACTAAGGCCCATACTTAATGAGGGGGGTAGAAAACTGATGCTGGCGAAAAGCGCTGTAAATTTTGAATGCAAAGCCGAAATCTATTTGATAATGCACCAGTATTGCAGTGCATAGCGACTACTGGGACTTTAGTCCTATTGGCTTTTATTGCTAGCAGAAAACTGGCCGTCTATGGTCATTATAGCGTAATAATTGATTAAACATGCACTACTAGTCATCCATGGATGTAGATATTATATATCAGAAAGCCGTTTTGTTAGAATTGTGCTTTTTATCCCATTCTATAGGTTGTAACTGATTATCCTAAAAGGAGGTCTAAAAAGACTTCTAAAAAGGTACCTTAAGCAACATTAAAAGAGTATATTAAAAAGATATTACAAAGATATCGTAGTGGAATCGTACGTAATTATAAGGTCTATAATATCATTGTAAATAACTTGATTACGCGTTATATTCCAAGGTTGTCAAGTATAGAGGCCGTATAAGCGGCCGGCTTTTCTACTTCTACCTAAATGTACCTCACTATAAATCTACATAAAATTCTCATTAGGTCGATATATCAATTGAAGTATAAAAGTTATTCCGAAGAGACATAAGCGGTGAATTCTAAAAGCCAATCTCAACGCCAACAAATGCTAGACAAAACGAATCAACCCAACTCTGACCCTTTATTTCTCAGTCTGCCATCCTTCCCATCTCGCAAAGTCCCCCGTATCCAAATCAAACAGGTCCAGCATACGCCCCACGCTCTGATCAACCAAGTCATCCACCGACGCAGCCCGGATATAGTACGCCGGCACCGGCGGAAAGATGACCGCGCCAGCACGGGAAACCTCCAACATATTACGCAGATGAATATCGCTCAGCGGTGTTTCCCTCGCAACAAGCACAAGCTTCCGTCTCTCTTTCAACATGACATCCGCAGTGCGTGAAATCAAATCATCACAGAAACCACTGTGGATAGCAGCGAGTGTCTTCATACTGCATGGAACAACGATCATGCCATCAGCCTTGAAAGAACCGCTAGAGATTGGCGCAGCCATGTCGTTGATGTTGTGGACATGGTCTGCTAATGCTTTGACATTCGATGGGTGGTAGTCGGTTTCGTATTTGATCGTCGCCTCGGCCCATTTGCTCATGACCAGGTGGGTTTCCACGTTTAGGCGACGGAGGGCGATGAGAGCTTTGATCCCGAGAATTGCACCTGTTGCGCCGGTCATTGCGACCACGATGCGACGGCGGCGGGTTTGTGCAGGGGCATGGTCGATGGTTGGCATTGTTGTTTCGATTGGGCTGTCTTCGGGAGAATGGCGGCTGGAAGATGGGGTGTGGGTTCCAGAGAGAAGAGAAAGCATTGACTGGAGGCTTATTGAAGGTGTTGCTTTTTGGTCTTGTTGTGATGGTTTGGCCTGTATCCCGTGGAGCTGCTGTGAAGACTGGTGTGATGAATGAACTGAGCCTGGCAACCCTGGCTCGTTTTATATCAATGTGTGGCAAGATGCCGAGTACCCAGGTCTCACGGGGTTTTCTCTTACTGGAAGTTACTGCATGGCCCGAGAAACTGGAGAATACTGTCATCGGACCGATTTTGGAGACCCGAATGGAGCCCTCCGAGGCCCCGATGCCGAGATCCGACGGTTGCGCATATGGCCGAGACACAGTGGCGTAACGGGAAAATTGTTTAGAAATTTGCATAAAAGCCTGAATGGATGCATTACTGTGTGATTTGTGAAAGTATAATTGATTGAAGTCTATGACTGGCCGTTACGACCGCACGCAGGGTATCAGCTTGGAAGTTTTCACAGAAATCCATTTTCCTGTGTATAATCAAACATCGGAACTGTGATAGATAGGTCAGCTTTTATTTGTCGAAACTAGCAAAACTGTGCTTACGGTTCATGATCGAGTCCAGATACGTGATGGGTGATACGTCGAATGGGTTGGGCATGTCCACGGACCCAGCGGGCCTATTCAGATGTGAGCAAATATCTTCACCATAGACAAGGAACTTACCCAGGGCCAAATTGCGGTACCACATTCGGGGCCATTCCCGCCCAGTTCTCCGTTTCGGTAGCGCCCGTCTCCTGCTCTCGTTCCAAGGCACTTCGTAAGGTCACCAAGGCTCGGATGTGACGAGCCGACAACCACTGACTATCACTTTCGGGTAAGGAAGCGCCCTCATCGTTGGTTCTTGAATTAGACGATGAGAAGACATCAATGACTTTCTGTTGAAGATTGCGACATTCAGGGTCGTTGCGCGTCTCTTCCCAGATGCAGAGAAGCAGGGTCGAGCTCAACACTGTATGCACCATTGACCAGCTCCGCATTGGAACAGTACTCAGAGCCTGAAAATCAAGAAATGCCTTGGAAGCATCGATCAAACTCCCTTTGGCACGATCCCGAAGAATACCAGCGCTGTGGAGAAAAGGCTGTGGGGTGGGTTGCTTCATTGCCGGTCGGCAGAGGACTGATACACAGAAGGAGGTGTGCATCCTAAGAGCTAAATGCTCGAGATGTTGTTGTAGTGTTGTGCAATTTTCCCGTGATCGAAGATATGGTAGGCCGCGTTGGTGAGCATAATCCAGCCGCTGCAGCCCTTCTAATGCTTGATCAAATTCAGCGACGCTGAGGGTTTCCGGTTGCATAGTATCTAGACCGATGCGACAGAGCAAGTGCATTACTTCTGCGAAGGACAAGTCTTGTCTCTCGAAAAACGAGTTAGCGAGAGACCATCCCGTCACGGAGACAATAGGCGGTCTGTCATAGCAAAGGCACAATAAACTATCCTGCCAGACAATTGTTGACCTGTGGAAAGTCAGCTATGATGCGAGAATATATGCCCATAGTAGTTCGATCTTCATACCAAAGAGTCCTGGCCTTTGTTCTCACATTCTCGGGCCAGTGAACAGTACTTCTTTCAGTGTGCAGGCCTATGGTCTGAGCTAGTCGGATTGTCGTGCCCAGTAATGCCCAGGCAGCATCTGACTGTCCCATATTCTGCAACGTGTTCCCTAATATAAGCAGCGCTTGTATAATATCTAGTGAGGGCCGAAACAGGAAATTAGCCAAGCGAAGAGCATGAAATGATCGACGGGCTGATATATCGTTAGCCAAGCTTGATGAGCGTGCAATGAAGCTTACCAAAGTCAGTTGACAGTTCAAATCGTTCCGGACACTCAATATCGGAGTAATGTGCTCCTGCTGACAATGCTGCCAGTAAAAGGCTGATACGACCAATGGACTTGTCGTTTGCCCAGCGATCAGTGATCTTTTCCGGGTCGCGGAATTCACCAGATGCATGGGCATTTAGATAGGTGCACAAGTCAGATTCAAAGCGGTCTATGTCAGCGAGTATTGGATTGAATGGATATGCCGTGACACGATAGAAATGGAAAAATCTAACCAGTTAGCCGTATTCCTTCTTAGTTGTTTGAAACTTACTTCAAGACCTCGGCTCTCTGAGGCATTACAGTCAGCAGTGACTTCCACCTGTCAAGCGGCGTTTTCGAGTCCATGAAAGTATAATTGCTGAAGGTATTCTGCAGACCAAGAACAGATCCAACCTCGCGGGCCACCGATTCATTGACGTCCGATGCTCGCATGCGCAGGATTGAAACAACCGAATTGTCACCAGAATAGACATAATTCTTCGAACTGTCATCAGGCCGTGATTGTTCATTGCTTGCTACGGCCGGTGATTTGGGCGAAGCCGAGCGAGCGACACTATGGCGAGAAGCCGATCTGCGCCTTGAATGCGTAAGGGTGTAGGTGCAGATCTCGGGGTGTTTTCGCTTCTGACAGGTACGACATGGTTGGCCCCCATCACATTTGACCTTTCGCTTTTTGCATGGGTAGCATGCATGGGCCTCTCGCTCTCGACTCTTGAGTTGTAGCACCCGGTCTGCTTGGTCTTGACTGACAGCGCTCATGCTGCCGAGGACTCCGAAGTACCGGAACTAGCAGGGGTTGTTGTCTTGGCCAAGAAGTTGTGTAGGTTGAAAGTGCGAGGCTCTCTCAATATAATAACATGCATCCGAGCTCGGTACAGGGTGATATGGACGCTGTCGAGACTGAGCAATGTAGGTAGGCCTTGCCAAAACGCAGGTCGGGTTGGGTTTCCGCCTTGACAGAACTGCCTCGGGTTACGCGGGTACCATTACAAACCCGCCCACGGGTTCTTGGCGGGTACCTAGGTATCCATCGCCAAAGCTTATATTTTATCAAGATAAGAGTGAACATTTATCAAAATTCCAATCTATATTTGAAATAACAAAGCACCATACAAGCTTAATTTACTCCTCCCGGAATCCCATCTTCGTCCAGTTGGCCAAAACCTTCTGCTTGAGCTCCTCAGGATACGAGCTCTCAAAATCGGCGGCCTCCCAATCTTTCCCGGTAGTATACTCACAGGGGAGAAGAGCATCAGAAACAACCTTTCCACCCTGCACTGGCGATCCGTTTCCATGCGACATGTATGGAATAAGGGGGAAACCGCGCACATCCTCGAAGAAGGTCTCGTCGAGGTTAGGACGGCAGCGAGTCGAGAAAGCCCACATAACATCCTTTCCATTATAGACATCAATGTCGTCGCCACAAAGCACCAGTCGGTGAATGGTGTAGCCGGGCTTGCAGTTGAAGATCAGGTCGCCGACCTTCTTGGAGAACTCTTTCGGGGTGGTCTTCATTTCCCGCAGCTTTGCGGTGTCGATTCTCAGAGCGACCCAGGTCACTTGGGACTCGAACGGCGCGAAGGCGTCGGTTACCGGGAGACCGGCTTGTTGGCAGAGCTTGCGGATCTCGGCAGCGGCCAGTGAGCCGATCATGGTATGCTATTACTTGTTAGTAGGGAACCGGAAAGATGGGGGTGGGTGGCTTACAGTCTCATCGGTCAGTCGACCACAAGATGACATGGGCATAATGGGGTTGTTGCGGTAGGTGATGCGGTTGACCTTGTACTTGGGCCAAGGGTGGGTATCTCCAGGGAAGACATAGCCGTGCATCTCACCGAAAGGACCCTCGGGACCCTTGTCCGTGATGGAAAGAGTACCTTCGAAGACAATCTCAGAGGTGGCAGGCACGTAGAGATCGTTGGTATCGCACTTGACCAGGTCCAAGGCGGTACCAGTCATGGCACCGACGTATCCAGCCTCGGTCACACCATCTGGGATGGGCATGCTCGAGGCCATGATGGCGGCAGGGGGAACGCCGAATGCCAGAGCCCACGGGGCGTCGCGGCCTTCCTTCTTCCACATCTGGTGGATTTGCCAGAGGTGCTGAGGCTCAATGACTAGACCGGTCAGGTGTTTATCGTCGGAGATCATAGCGCGGGCAATAGACCAGTTGGTCCAGGACCCATCGGGAGACTGAACAATGTGCATTCCGTAGGTCTGGATGTACTTTCCTCCATCAGCCTGATGGATCATGGGTGCAGGCAGCTTAGTCAAATCAATCTGGCTTTCTTCGAGGAAATTCTCTTTGCAAGGACCGGTAGACACAATGTTGGGTGGGATCGGGGCCATGGTGCTGGCCGAGAGCATCTTGTCGAGGATATCACGCATAGATGCGGTCGGTGGCAGGGCCAAGTGTCGTGCAAGTCGGCCATAGCGATCCTTTGAGGACTTCCTGAGAGATGCAGGTGCACCCAGGATGCGGAAGAGACCGTTTTCAGCACCAATGAGGTTGTTGAAGAGCGGGGCCTTGTCGTCCGTTTCACAGACAAGGCGAGTAATGGCGGCCGCTTCGAGGTTGGGGTCGATTGGAGTGTCAATCTCAACCAGATCATTGTCTGCCTTCAAGGCCTCGACAAATGACCGGAAGCAGAGGTGAGGCTCAGTGTTGGTCATTGTGAATCTGTCTTTGTAGTTGGAGGTTGTTTATGTGTTGAGTTGGAGTTGGACTTGTGAACCAGGGCAGCCCTTGACAATCCAGCCAGCTTAAATATCCCTGTGAGAGTCTTTGCACGGCAGTCTCGGATCGCCACACAACCAATTCGAGCAAGACAGCCCGATTCATCCATGAGAGTTCTCGGGATGCCGCACACTTCGGCACTTCGGATGGTGTGGAGAGACCCCACTCCGAGCCCCCGAGCCCCGAGATACCGAAGAACATTCCATGGAACTCGAGCTATTCTTTCTGTATCAAAGGTTATACAGGGAAAAGTCGATTTCACAAATTAAGCCTTTTTCCGCCTTGCGCTGCTGTGTACCTATGAAACTCAAAAGGGTGACGAAATATCTATAAAAAAAAAGACACTAAAAAGACTAACCAAAAAAAACGTCACAAGGCCGCATAAGCGGCCGGCTATTCTTCTTATTTATTCAAGGGAAGTCGATACTCGGAATCAGATGTCGAAATTGTCGTCACGATGCAGATGAATCATTGCCGCCGGGGTCAGCTGTTGCCCCAAAAGGATGCTCATATAGCGTCGGCACTTCGATCGGCAGTGGGGAATACATAAATATAATGAGGGGTCGACTCCAAGAAAGCACAGAAACAGAAACAAGACACGTCATGTTCTATCAACCCGGAGTGACGGAGCACAATCTTCCCCACGACCCGTTCAAGGTGAGGCTCCAAGATGGACACCGAACGACATAGCTAACGCTGACAGGCGTGCGTGGTGCCTCGTCCGATCGGATGGATCTCCACCCAGAACAAAGAAGGCCAAGCCAACCTGGCGCCTTACTCCCAATTCAACAATCTGACATTCGACCCGCCGTACGTGATGTTCTCTTCCAACCAAACTGTGAACGGCACGCGAAAGGACACGGTGGTCAACGCGGAGCAGACTGGACGCTTCGTCTGGAATCTGGCAACGTGGGACCTTCGCGAGGCCGTCAACATCTCGGCGGAGCAAGTTCCCTATGGGGTAGACGAGTTTGAGCGTGCCAAGGTGACTAAAGAGCCGGCAACGCTGATGGATGTCCCCATGGTGCGGGAGTCGCCGGTGAAATTCGAGTGCGAATATCATTCCACCGTGCGGCTACCGGGAAATCCTCCGATGGGCACCGTGGATGTGGTGATCGGCCGGGTAATCGCTGTGCATATCAAGGACGAGGTGTTGACGGATGGAATCCTGGATATCAAGAAGACGAAGCCGATCGCGCGCTGTGGGTACTATCAGTACACGGTGGTGACGGAGACGTTCGACATGGTGATCCCCGGCATGTCTGAGGATGTCCTATACGGGTTAGAGGGGAGTACGAAGAGCAATCGCGAGGCCGAATCGCGGAATACATGACCAGGGGTCCACCGCGATGTCAAGCTAGGACTGATTCTAGAATTACTAGCTGCTATCCGCCTCCTCTGTTCAGCGAGCGTAGTATAGCTCCTTCTAAAAACCCACAAAGTGATCGAGCGATGGTCGGATCCCTTAGGTAGAAAAGAGCTGGATGAACCTTTTATGACACGGCCGGGATTGCATGTGATGGTAGTACAATCTGAAGAACAGACGGCTATTTACGTAATTCTGCTTGCACCCACTCATCTTGTTCAAGTTCCATAGCAGAACTTCGCTTTTCCGGTTCCCATTGTAACATTTTCCGCACTAGGCGTAGAAACTTCTCTTTTTCCTCTCCTTCGAGACTAGTCTCTCTTTGCTCGAGCGGGATGTGTTCTCCCACTAATTCTCTGGCGCAGAGGTCACCTAGAATAGCAGAAACAGTCAATAATTGACACCTTTTATTCATAGATAGGAAAAGGTTAGATGGGTGAATTACCTTCCTCTGAAAAGAACTTTTGCGTCAGAACCCCCCGGGCAAGGAAACTTGGCGGTGGCGGACCGAGTAGGCGTATCATTTCGGCAAGATGAGCCCGACTCCTGTAAGTCTGATACTCTGGGTCCTGGCCGCTAAACAGTGACTCCCCTTCGAAAAGGTTCCAAATCTGACAACGTAAGCTAAGGAACTTTTAAATCAGAAGTATCAGTTTTCTTACCACGCATCCAACATTCCATACATCAACGCTATATGACCATGGAACTTGCAAGATCACTTCCGGTGCTCGATATATATCCGGCTGAATGTCTTCCGAGTGCTGTTCGTCACCCATCACAGCCGAGCCAAAATCGCAGAGGACAGGCGCGCCTAAGTTTTTCGGCATTCTGAGCTCGCGGGAGGTATAGATTGTCCTTCCATCTAACTCCTTCCTAGGACAGGGATCTTGGAGCTCATTGTTCTCAAAGTCACTGAAAACAGAATCATCGGCAATGCCGAACATAATGTTATCTGCTTTGATATCTGATATATTGATAAGCAAATGATCGAGCTCGAGATCGGGAAGGGAAGACCGCACCGGTATGGATGATCTTGCATTCAGTATGCAGGTAGTCTAATGCAAGAAATAGACGATGAAGCGTTACTGCCAAGATTGGTGTAGGTAGTCTCTGTACTGGGTTGCGGAATAGAAAATCCAACACACTCTCCCACAATGGAGGATGCACGAGACATTGATGTTTGTCTTCAGGTCCGCTGATGTCAAAGGAGTCCAGCAAAGATCTGACGTACTTGCGACCTGGATGTTTCCGAGGAGCCCCTTCGATACGTTGGTATATCTTCAGCTCGTTGTCTAGTTGCTGCCCCATCGATGTGGACTTGATGAAAATCTTAAGAGTGACATAGCGACGATAGCTGTATTTTTGGTTAGCGAAGGAGTTGTGAGAAGATAATGAAAATGTGAAGGTGCCAGTGTCTTCTTACTCCATATCACGTGCGAGCCACACGGTTGAGCTGGCTCCAAATCCCAGTTTTCCCACAACTTGGTACCGGTCCTTGAGTATTTCTCCTATTCGAGTAGGATAATACCGACCCGCAACATAGCCCGGGATGGTTTCCTCCTCAATTGCTTGGGTTGTTGATATCCGAGTGAAATTTGGATTGGTGAAGTTGAGAGGTGTCCATCTTCGTCCGAGCCGGGGCAAGGACTGAAGCAAAGACGTCAACATTTCTAAGATAAAGAGGGCCAGTTTTTTTTGCAGTGCGCTGGATTTACGTTCGAAATACGGTTGACGGGCGGGAAAATCAAGACAACAATGGGCTTATGGGTGATAGAAAATGGCCAGCTCCTTGATCTCAGACGGAGATCGACAGGTCAGGTGATCAATTTCCACGTTCGAATTCGAGATACAGAGCCACCAACAAGCGCTAGCTCGGCGCTTATGGATTATTATTTTTAGAATGAGGTACATGGGTTTTTTTTCATAGCAAGGCAGGAACGACCAGTTAATGTTTTCGAGTGATAGCTAAGCGCTCGGTTCGCACATCATGGCCTTCAAACAGCCCCACATCAGAACTAGGCCAAAAGAGTGAGAGAGTCAGAATATAGAGTAGAAAAGAGTCAAAAAAAAGGCTGGGTTAGGCTGCAGTTGAGCTTCAATCAAGCTACGGGTATGAACCAGAACGTTCAAATCCAACAGGGACTCAATGGAGTATTTCAGTTGACGATTTAAAATAGAAATGGGGGCCGTGATGAAATTAGACAAATACATCCAGCGCATATCCTACCCTAGTCAGCTCCACTTTTGAGTGCTATCACAATCGCTGATCTCCAATTAACTAAAATCTCAAACAATGGCTGGCCATATCACTGCGCTAGGCTAAGAAGATGGCAAGCTAGACGCTGAAAATGATCCCTGGTATATCGCCCGCCCCAGGGCAAACTCAAAGGACCCTTCCTGTAACAATTTACCGCCGGAAAGTCTCATTAACCGGTGAAAGCTCCGGTCTCTGACGCACCAGTAGCAAATGAAATGGTCTCGGGGACTCCATGGAGAACCTTCGTGTTAGATTTTCGAGATATCGGAAACACTAGCATTTGCATGTGGCCAGAAATAAACCCCTCTAGCCCATATTCTCCTAGATCGGCCTGCAATCCACGTCACAAACCATGATGAGCCAGCGCTAATTGAACTCCAGTACACAATGTGCATCCTTGATTGGCAGGATGAAGATGATATGAGCGAAAACTGATACACTTCGCAAGGTCCCAGTCCTTGGCTAAGGGGAAGATGGTAGCATAAATACTCGCCATTCTCCCGGTGTATGTTCATAGCTGCATCGTTCCCATTCATTCTTCTGTGTTTATCTACTCTTTTCCAATTAAACCCTGCTACAGGTTGTCCTTGGATCCCATCAAAAGCCACCATGTCTAGAGCTTTCTCTACTGCTCGTCAACACTTGACGAGATGGTTAGGGTACAGCAAGGATTTACTCCCTGCGGAGTGGAAGGCGGCCGCAGAGCGCTATGAGACAGGAGGTGCGGTAAAGGTATGTATTTCTTGAAGTTGCTCTTCCCAGAGAGCTTTTACTAAGAACATTACAGAAAGTTGGAGAAATCGAGTCCATCGAAATTCTGTAAATGCACCAGTGATTCTTTTTTGGGTTGGTTCCTAGCTTACAAACAATTCTCAAGGCATCGCAACGATGGCAGTAGCCCCATTCACCAGTCTCATTTCAACCGGGCTGATAAGGCCAAGATCCTTAGTGTTAGAGTCACGCCTGTCGGCGGTCGACCTCGCACCCATCATATTTATATAGATGGTACAGGCACCTTGAGGCAAGGTGATATTCGCCAGTATTCAACTTCCACACGAAGAGCTTGAACAAAGCGCGGAACCTGAGATCCAAGCTATATGCGGCCTGTTGCTCATGGGCAATATACTGGCGTGCTATGAGAGTAATTGGACTGGCATGGACTGGCATGGACGGCTACTTGTTGTGAAAACCGTGAAAGGCAACCATACGGCAATTCTGGGCAGTCCTTGTATATATCTATCATGTGTTCTAGCCGCTTTCCCAGTTACCTTAAAGTCAAGAAATTTTTCACCTCCTGATCATATGAAAACGGCCAATTACTTACTGGGGTCCAGTTGCTGAGTGAGTGCACAGCCGAAGTATGTGCCAAACGCGATAATAGCGCTCTACTCCCAAGGCTGAGGCAAAATATTGATATCTCCTCCACGTCGGATGATTCAAAAAGAAAAGGAGAAAATACCCTTGCCAGCAGCGGTATGGACCCGGGTCTCGAGTAATAGCAACGTTTGTAGCCCAGCCATCAGCAACACACCGGCCCGACCCGTGAACTGACCTCAATTTGGCTTACATGGGCCTGTTTGGGAACCTCTGCCCATAAATCGTTTAGAAAGACCTTTTGAGTCAGGTTGCAAAGAACCTAGGGTTTCTGAATTTCCCGTCATAGGTACATTTGCGTCAAAGACATGCACGAGTGGGATATGCCCTGAGAGATCCACGACATACATCCTCCAAAACGAACAAGAGTTTGCAGATAAAAGAATTGGTCATTTGAAACAAGTTGACGGCAAGTAGAGGTCTAGAAATTCTTCCCGGGCGAGACATCTAAGGAGCGCACCAGGCAAAAGATGTCAGCCCACGTATTGAAGAACTTGATAACATCGGGGGAGATAGGGTTAGGTCGTCCAGCACCTCGTGGCACTGGGAGTAAGAGATGTTATAATGTCGCTGCTTCCACCGGGTAGCGTGTTGAGCATCGACCAATGCCATGTCGGTGATAGCGGTAAGTAATATCAAGGATGATATTTCCGCCGTGGACGGCCACATTTCGTTCGGGTCGGTCGTGTGGGATATCGGCCCACTCATCCAGGACGGCGCCAGGTGTGAGAGTGTTGTGGTAGTAGCTGGCTTGGATGAAAGTTTCATGTCGATTTAAACGTGTTTGGATTTCTGCAAATTGACTATTTTGTTGTTGAATCTTATCCCTCAGTGCGCGTAATTCCTTGACCATTTCGGCCCCGATTGCGTTGATGAGTCCGCCCACTCCACGTCGTGGCGACGAAGTTCAACGACCGTGGAAGGGGGGGGTCGCCTTCAAATTGGTATGAGTATAATCACGCTTGACGTGAAAGACCATTGCGCCGTGACCGCCTTCTTGCGATGCGTCGATGTCAAAGTACAAGCGGCGAGTGCGGTCCTAGTGCGCTAGCCACCGGGGATCTAGAAAGACTGCCGGTATGGCGTCGAACGAGGCCAACTCGCGCTCCGTCGGATGTGCGTACCGTGTGCGGGCAGACCACTCTCGACGCGGACGGCCCTTGACTGGGCTTCCACGCAAGAGCTCAGTCTTGCGGATCTGTAGTGCTTCTGACTTTTTCGCGTAGAGCGGAACGTACTGGCGTAATGCGCCGGTCATACCTAGGTATGTCTCCAACTGACGCAGCGTACAGGGAAATTCCAGACCGGCGATGGCCTTGATCTTGTCTTCGGGCGTGGTCATACCTAGCGCGTCCACCCGCTGGCCCAAAAGCGAGACCTCGGGGAAAGCAATGTATGCTTTCTTGGGTTCCAGAGATACCGAGTGTTTCTCGAGTACCCCTAAGACAAGGGTCAGATGCTCGATATAGAGGTCAAAGGTGTCTGACGCCACGACGATATCGTCGAGGTATGCACGGCAGAAGTCGGTGAACTCCTTCAAGAGCAGATCCATCTGGCGTTGGACGTAGGGTACGCTATTACAGAAGCCCATGATGGCAACATGAAACATCTCCTGGCCTCGATGCGAGACGACGCATATACCGTCACGATGGTCACGTCGACGCGCCATTGGTAGAAGAATTTAGCTGCGTCCAACACTGAGATATACGGCTTGCCCTGGGACGATAACGAAGCTTGAAGATCGTCCATGGATGGGTTTCGCGATAAGGGAACGTTCCACCAGGGCAACTGATGTCCACCGGTGCCAACACCCAACACAGGGAAGGTACACCCCAGTCGGAAGGTGCGCCTACCTGGTTATATATAGAGAAGACATCTAAAGAGACTATCTGAGAAGTCTAATAAAAAACACAACTTGAGGAGACTACCAAAAAGACCACCAAAAAGACCACCAAAAAGACGTCTGAAAAGACGTCTGAAAAGACTAGTTGAGAAGCCCACCAAAAAAGACTACCAAAAAAAATACTTGAGAAGGCCGCATAAGCGGCCGACTATTCTTGTGGATATTTCCCTTGACATCTACATAAAGTACACTAAAGACCGGGGAACATCATTTCACATCTCGAAACTGGAATAGATTATGTCTTCCTCTGTACCACTATCAACAACACAACACAAAAGCTACAAAGAAGAGGCTTAAACCCCCGCACGCTCACTAGATGCAGAGAGCAGCAGCATGCCCGAAAGCAAGACCATGAAAAAAAAAAATAAGCAGAGAAATTTAGCGTAGAAAAAGCTAGGGAGGCGAAGAGAAGACATAACTTCCCGCTCATCTCATGACCATTGACATAAAACATGAAGGGCAGGAAATATTGTAGACATTTAAACACGCACACGCACACATTGCTCATAGATTTGGGGATAAAGGAACTGAAACCAGAGTCTCATTGAACGGTCATAACTGTCGTAAGGAGAAGAGAAAGAAAAGGCAAAAGCGCTAGAGGGAAACGGAGATTGAAAATATCAACCCAGGGGTATCACAGTGCAAGTCTCAATATTGCTCATCTTCATAGTCGATTTGCGCGGGACTGCCTCGGTAGCGGGTTCGCTTGATATTGCCTGGGCTGTAGGAGCCGGCAGATGTGAGGGGACGCGGGCCAGTTGGCTTGCGTGTGGGGGGAGAGCGGATGGCAGAGCTCTGGAGAGGGAGGAGTGTTAGAATTTTTTCAACTGAAACGGTAGGGATGGAGTCTCTGGAATACGTACTCTGGAAACAACACGGTCTCCGCTGTAAGCTGCTTCCTCGTCATCAGCCACCTTGGCTGGACGCTCGGGAATGAGAGGGCCCGCGTCCTTCACCTTGGGAGGACGGGGTGGGCCTGGTGTACGGTTTGCGCGGGAGCTGGTCTCCGAGTAGCCTGCATCGGAGATCGGGGACAGACGCGTGGCACCGCTGACACCGCTGTTGCGGTTTTGGGGAGGGTTGACCGCAGACAGGCTGGGGTTGGATTCCCACTGTTCTGAGCCAGTGGGAGAAACCGGACCTCCGTAGATCTGGGCCTCGGTTTCGAGGCGGGACTGATAACGTCCGGTTGGGCCTTGTCGAGGCTGGGGGTGCTGCAGCTCGAGACTACCACGGTGGCCGCGGTACTTGGGCGCCTCGGACACCTGGGAAGGAACCAATGGCGAAGGGGGTCTGTTCTCATCTTGCTCGTCGCCTAGGGTATAGGTGGATCGGAGTCTGTCGTCCCCCTGGGGATCATAATATTCGCCTTTGTAGGGGCCATGAGGTGCGAGATCAGATCCAGACCGAGACTCGTCCGAAGTCGGACGTTCTTTGCGGGAAGGCTGGATGCTGTTGCGAATGCCGTCGCCCATGGAGGTGGCCGTGGACTTAGACCAGCGGGAGATCTTCGGGAAAATGGACGAGCTGCTGGACTTGTGCTTGCGGGCCTTGGGGGTTGTCTCAGTGCTGCGAGCTGATGTGGCCACCGGCTTGCGTGGAGGTGTGTCAAGCGGCAATGAACCCGATCGCTCGTGTCGGGGCCCATCACGAACAGGGAGATGTGAAGTCAGGAACTGGTCACCATCGTCAAGCTCAAGGTCTTCGTCAACTTCATGGACGGTGCTGACTCGCTGGTCCGAATCTCTGCGCTGTCCATTGGCCGGACGAGAAGAGCTGGACCCGTAGGGAGAGCGGCTCGTCTCGGCAGGTACTCCATTTGGACCGGGAGTCTCGTACCCACTTGGCTCCATGCTTCCCATTCTGGTGACACTGTGAGGGCTCAAGCCATCTTGACCGGATCGCAGGGCCTCAACCTCACCAAGCAGCTGCTCGAGCATGCCTTCAATCTTGGTCAAATCACTGCCCGACTTGAGACTCAATCCCTTCAGCGCACGCTTAAAGATGCTCTTCCGCTTATCTTCCTCATCAGCGGTGTTGAGCTGTCGATTCCGAGAAGTACTGGGGGGCAATGGCCGGGGACCACCAAGCGCCTTGTGAGTCCGCTCATGTCCCCTGTCGCTAGTGTCCATGATGAGATCGTCTTGGTCGGCGATGAATCTCTTCATCTGCTCGAAGGAGGTGCGCATCTCAGCAGCACTTCGAACCAAAGTAACCAGAATCTCGGTATCTCTGGCATTCCGCTGGGCATCCCGAACAGTCAAATGATCCATGAGAGCCACAATATCCTGGGACTGAATCCTCTCAATGCCTCGGCCGGTGGCACTGTCGTAGAGTGGTGAGCCAACGCCGTGAGAGTAGCCACTGAAGTGGCGTTCATGACCAGAGGCAAAAGGATCGTCTGCCCCAGCGGGACTATCGAAACTGGCCATTCCAGCGGCATCCGCGCCCGCAAGACCTCGACTAGCTTGCTTCGGAGTCCCGATGCTGGGAGACATGGGGTTGGCAGCCGAGACATAGCCTTCATCCTTGGCACCAGGAGGGGTACCGAACAATTGGCGGGGTTGGTTGTCGCCAGAGGGGGCAGAGTAGTCATCGCCCCCAAATATATTCTGGGCAGTCTGGTAGTATTCTGCATCAAGTCCCATCTGCTGCTCGGCATTGAGGCCCTTAGATCCACCGATCTGTGTATCGTAGTAGTGATCCGCCGGCGGAGACCTTGAATCATATCCCCAGTGATCTTCCTGCGCGACACCACCAATGGGACCCTGTATAATGGACGGATTGGTGTTGATTTCAGACTCCGATTCTTGGCTTTCAGCATCCTCGCGAGGACTCTCCATGCCACGCGGGACATTGGTAGCCATCATACCAGAGTCGTCCATGTCCTCAAAAGACTGGGTAACGCTCTGAGGGGGCGATGTGGCACCCATGCGTCGAGGGAACGAGGTCTCATCGGCATTGAAAGCATCCTGACGTTGCTTTAGGGGACTTCCACGGTAGACTTCGCTTCCTGGCTTTTCAGGGCTTCGGCTGCCTGATCGTTGGCCCAGGTCGGTTTGGGAGCGGTTCGTGGATGAGATCTGAGATTCAAGGACAGAGGGATCCATCAAGGAAGCGACCGCAGATTCGACGGCCATCGGGTGCATAAATTGGGGGTTAGCAGCAACGCCAGTAGCCACATGGTGGCCTTCTTTGACTTTATCCATGAAGTCAACATCGCTATCTCCATCGTCGACAGAGCGCCTGCTCTCCTCGTCATAGCCATAGAAGCCATTGTCTTGGGAGCCCTGGCGCGAATGTTCGTATCCGAGCCCAGGTGATTCATGGCTGTGCTGCTTGAAGATTCCACTCTGGCTGTGTGAGCTGGTGCCCTGGCGGGTGGATCTCGCGAGGTTTGTACTGGGGGCAGATGACAGAGAGTCAATGGAGAGTCGAGGCTCAACCTCATGTTTGCCGTCAACGTGCTGCTCGCCGTGAGCCGAGTAATGGTCGTGGTGAGTCTCAGTATGATCACTTGCAATACTCTGAATGGGGCTCAATCCGCGGCCGGTGGTCTCATTGTGATAGTCATCTTCCGTTTCGTGATGTCCGGGGTGAGCGGCATCAAGGAGGTTAGCTGCGGCTGCGGCTGCGATTTCCCAGTTACCACCGTCGGTTCCAGGAGATTGGCTCTGGTGATGCAGGTCACGCTCCGAAGCACTGTGCACCGAGAGATTATGGTGCGACTGATTGCCATGGCGCATTCCAAGCTCATAACGTGAGTCGACGGAATTTCTCGTAGGAGTGCGAGAAGCTGGTGACATGGCCTGTCTCGGCGATCCGCGAGCAACGTCGAAGTAGGAGGGCTGCTTTTCGGGAGTGGGACTTGCCGTTCGCTCAGAGAGCAACGAGTTTCTGGTCAACTCGGAGTCCATCTCACTGTACATTGGCATTGGCGCAACATTGTGCTTCTGGAAAACAAGTTCGGTTTCGTTGTAGTTCATACTCTCAGTGCTCTTGCGTGAGCCACTTTTCCGGGAGCCACTATTTCGGCGGCGCTCCTTCTTGCCGAGACTAGAGTTGGAGTCGTGGTGTTTCAAAGAAGCCGCTGTGAGAGCAGAACCGACTCGGGCAGCAGCATGGGCATCGCGAAGACCCTTGCTCTTCTGCCTGCGGATCTTGTCTTGTTCGGTGTAGTCGGGTCGATTAGCCCATCTCACTGCCATATCAGAGCTTTCGCTGCTTTTACTTGATTTGCGCTCCTTGTTGTGTGGAGCTGTCTCGGGAGAAAGAACAATGCCTTCGTCTTTGCTATCCTTGTTCAGAACCACTTTGGGCTTCATAACATCCGGCGCACTGGCGTGCTTGGAGAGACGTCGACCTAGCTCATCTCTGGAGCTCGTGCCGGACGAATAAGATGTAGCCATGTCCCGATCGAATTTTTTGCTGTTGGTCATGACTTTTTGATCCTTCTTGAGCTCCTTTAGCTCCGGTAGGATTAATCTTCTGATCGCATCTTCAACCGTCTCGAGTAATTTTGGGTTGTTGATAGAGGACTTGGATGCACCGGAGCGAATTGAGTACTGGTCGGACTTGCGGTTTGAAGAAACTGCAGATGTGCTGAGAAGACTAGATTCAGGACTGATGATATCTTCTTCCGCATACCTGTGCTTTCGGCGACGGGATGGTTTTGCTTCGGCTTCAAGGTAATCCTTGCCGCCCTTGCTTTTGTGTTTGCCGCTCGAAGCTTCTTGCGGTGATTCAGTGAGCTTTTCTGCCACGCGATGCGCAATTCGCTCATGACTCAAACTGCGACTTCTTTGTCGGTGAGGGGTCTTGAGCAATCCCTTGTCTTCAGGGGGCGAACCACGCTCCATACTCTGGCTGCGTTTCCGCCTGGGACCCGCCGACGAAGCGTTAATCATGCTCTCCGGCGGCATAGACGAAACCTCCGATGTGTTCATGTATCGGGTGTCTTGCGAGAGGGAAGACATCTCGCTATCCTGTCCGCGGTCCACAAATTCGATTTCTACCGGCTCGCGACGTGACGAATGATGGCCCTCTTCCTCGGCTGAATTCGAACCAACGCTGTGGTCATCCGTTGCGCCCGAGTCCAATTGCTTTTGTTTTGAGGACGGTGATGGTAGGGATATCCGGTGGGTATATGAGGGTTTGCGGCTCCCGCTTCCGCTTGATTCGGTGATTTGAAAGTGGTCTCTTTTTTCTCTTTTCTCCCGGGACTTTCTAGCCGACGATGGTGTAACACGTACTCGCACGCTAGGACGAGAGACGATGCCGCTTGAGCCTTTGCCGCCTTCGAAATACTCGATGAGTAATGAGGTATGAGAGTCGTGTTGAGATCGAGACAATTTCTCGTCGCGGTCCCGCTGTCGCCGAGTGGAGACAGTGACGGGGCTACCGTCGTCTGGGATAGAGTACGACGTTTTGTCTGTGCGGCGAGAAATGTCAGTTGCCAGATCTGTGCCCGTTGTGCTATCCCCCGTGGTATCGATGATGGATTCTGTGGGGGCGGGAAGGATCGGTCTGCGGGTGTTGACCCCCATGATGGTGAGGCGTGCTTCAACCCAATCGCATGCTCCGTGGTGCTCGACCGAGGTGATGAGAGGATGAGGGGAGTGTTGATGGGGTCACTGTTGCTCCGCGCTTGTTGGCAGGATAGTGGGGAAGGACAAATTGTAGGACCTCAAGAAGAGATCCCGATAATTATTTTGATAGGAGTTGAGAGCGTACCAGCGCAGACCACGGAATAGTGGGGAAGAATTAAGAATGTAGGATTAGGAAGGAGAGAGAGGGAACCTTGGAAAGCAACGGTGAGTGTGCCTAAAAGGTGTTGCTGTCGAAGCTCGCCGATCACATGAAAATGTGATGAGAGGAAAGGGGGAAAGAATTGCAAGATCTCTATGAGGAATGAAAGATGAAGCAAAGGATAGTAGTCAGGCGAATATCAGCCGGTACCCGAGTAATTAAGATGATTGCCCAGCCTCTCAAAAAAAAATTGAAGAGGCTGGATGTGTTGGCGATTGTACATCCCAGGTTCCGAGCCGCGTGGGCCACCATACAAAGAGTACCCGACAACTACCTTTGTACGAAGAGGGTACTGTAAACAAACGGAACCCTGGGATCCATTCGGGATCGTCTTTTGGTTCCTTGGTTCTTCATCCCCTCCATTTACTTTATTTATTTGATTTCCTTTTTTTCGATCTACCTTCGATGTTTCCAAGGCTGACTTATTGAATTCATCTCCCAAACGCTAATCTGTATAACCTTGGAACCTCTCCGTGCTTCGTGGCTGGGGTAATCTTGGCAAAATCCAACCTAGGTCAACTCTACTCCGTACTTCCCATCACAAACACTCATAAATTGAAGAAAAAAACACTTCGGTGTACCCGTCACACACGAACACACACGGTCCACCTGCAGTTCTCCGTGGGATCCGCAAAAGACAAGGCGAAAGAACCGGAGCAAGCACACCGTCGCCCAGACGACAGAAACCCTGGAGATCGGGTGATTGGGCCCAGCATCTGCCAACTCATCACACTCGTGTGCTCGGGCTTTCAACCTTGCCAACCTCTCCATGTTAGAATGATTGGAATGATTAGAATTTTATGAAATGGTTGGCCTACCGCCCGGATACAAAATACACTAACAATATTTCCCAACTTTTGGCACCAGGTTCACTATCCGTGATCTCACCCTATGACTGAACAGAACTATACGTAGCCCTTGCAAGGGGGTGCAAGCAATTCCCATCGAGGCTACTTACGCAGCTGGGGGGTTGAGGACTTGCTGCATCTCGTACATTAGTGGCAATCGAGCTGCTTGACTGTCATTGGCAAACGATCGCCTGGCCACAATACTGTGTAAGATTGGCATCTTCCAATTGGATCGCTTCGGCGGGTATGGGAGGGTTGGAGAACTGACTACATGTAGGTACCAATAGTTAACTAGTTAGTTATGTATTCCGTACTCCGTACTTCTGTAAGGGTACTCTTATATCGATTTTCATTGTACATACCTCTTCTGTCGTTCTCCTATTCTTGTTTGATCAAGCCCCTTCCACGTGGAAAAGGTCCGAAGCCCACATGGCTCAATGAATGCTGGCTGTGGCATTCCGCGAGGGAAGGAATAAGCCTTACGGCCATCACACAGTCAGAGATTGCATGATTGGCGTCTAGATATGTGAACTAACCAAACGGATCTTAGGCTGACCTCCTAGGCTGAGCGTATGCTTATCGTTTTTACGGTACGTACAAACCACCAATCAAGGCGCAAGGAGGTGTAAAGAAGAGATTGATCCATACAAAGAGCAAGATGCATTCGACTCTCCCACCACTAAGCCATACGAATATTCAACTCGGATGCCGTCTCTCTCATGATTACAGAATAAGGGGACAAAATTGAAACCCAAATAGATATATCCACATTGCTGAACTCCAATGTCCCTAAAATAAATATGCAGAGACAATCGATCGCTTTTGATGTTCATACAGATTGTTCTCAGTCATTGTGCTTCCGCTTGAACTTCAGTCCAGCACCGTGCTTGGGCTGGCTGCCGTACGTGCGGCGACCTTGCTGCTCCTGCTTCTTATCGCGGCTGAGGCTGGAGCCCAGCTGGATGTCAATGCGAGGCGGGGCATTGAAACCGAAGCCCTTGGCAACCTTGACGAGGTCAAGCTTGTTCACGTCGAACACAGTGCGAAGGGAGTGCGAGGCGTATGCTTGGAGATAAGAACGGTAACCATCCTTGGCAGACTGTACAAGTGCGTTAGTATACAAGTAACACAGATAAATGAGTCGATGGGGAAGATATCATACCTTGTTGAGGTAGTAGTTCTGGCCGATGAGCTTCTCCAGCTGAGACTGCACATTGACAATCTTGGAGGCCGGGAACTCGAACTCCACGACAGGCACACGCGCGTCCTTGAGGTGCTTCAAGAAACCAACCTCGGAAGGCTGGAGGAACATCAGACTGCGACCCTTGCCTTCGGCACCACGGGCGGTACGTCCGACACGGTGAATGTAGTCACGGGGATCATCAGGAGGGTCAAACTGGATAATCCAATCGACAGCGGGGATCTGGAATTTGAGTCAGTTATGGAATAAACGTGGTAATGGGGGTTAGGCGACATACATCCAAGCCACGAGCAGCAACATCAGTACAGATCAAGGTACCTTGTTTGGCATTGCAGAACTCGAAGAAAGTATTGGTCCGCTTCTGCTGCTTCTGCTTTCCGTGCAGCTCCAGAACGGGGAGATCGATGTAATTCAAAAGCTCGGCATGGTACTTGACGCAGTTGCAGCTGGAGAAGAAGACAATAATCTTCTTCTTCAGGTTGCGCTTGAGGAATGAAAAGAGAAGCAAGAAACGCTTGTCTGCCTCACACACCACATAGCCTTGTTCCAGACCCGCCACCGTACTGTGCTCCTTGCTGTGGTCGACGTTAATGTAAAGAGGTCCGGGGCGCAGGGATATCCGGGCCAGGTCCTCGACCTTAGTGGTCTGTGTGGCGGAGAAAAGCATAGTCTGACGTTCTTCTTTGGGCAGAATCCTCACGATCTGGCGCATCTCATCTTCGAAACCGACTTCGAGAATTCGGTCTGCCTCGTCAATGACCAACGTCTTCAGGTTCTTGAAGATGAATCCTTGGGTGTTCTGGAGGTGATCCAGCAAACGACCGGGGGTCGCAATGAGCAGGTTAACACCCTTCATCAGCTTCTCGGCCTCGGCACGACGGTTGGCACCTCCGATAACAATACCGTATGTCTGCGAGTGGTGGGCCATGAGTTCACGGGCGACTCCGAAGATTTGCAGTGCCAGTTCGCGGGTAGGGGACACGACGAGAACACCAGTACCTGCATCAAAAATTTAGCCACTAGTCTCAATGGCAAGTAAATATCAGATAAAGTTATGTAAAAAACTTACCGTTTCTGGGCTTGAAGCGCAGGGCGTGCAGCATCTCAATCGCGGGAAGCAGGAAGGCCAAAGTCTTTCCAGAACCAGTCTTCGCAGCACCGAGCACATCCCGTCCAGCAAGCAAAGGAGGAACGGTACGCTGTTGAATCTCAGTCATGGTTGTGAAGCCCATGTCATTGATACCCTGCATGGTCTTCTCGGAAAGGTTGAGCTCAGTGAACTTCTGCAGTTTGCCCTCAGTCTGGGGCAAACGGACATCTTCCATAGTAGGAAGATCCGTACCATTCACAGCCTCGGTGTCTTCGGCATCACTGCCCTCCTCCGCATCCACCTCCTCGACATCTTCAACGGCCTCAGCATCATCGGCGCTTTCCTCGGCGCTTTCCTCGGCACTTTCCTCCTCGGCACTTGGTGAAGGGCTGACCTTGCGCTTCTTGGTAGACTTCTCAGCTGAAGCCTTCGGGGTCGAAGCAACACTCTTTTTCGGGGTCACTGCAGGGCTGGATTTGGCTTCCACGGGCTTGGCGACATCGCTCTCTGCTTTCGAGCCGTGCTTTCTCTTGCGCTTGTTGATGGACTTTGCGGTGTCCACGGGGCCAGGCATTTTGTTGATTGGTCCTGCGACAGTGTAATATTTGACACTGGAACAAAGCAATCGGGGGTTTGTCTCGTATCACCTGGACCTTGTGATTTGCAGGTCTAGATTATTGATCTCTGCGGGCGGAAATCATTCTGCTACTTTTTTTTTCTGATCGGTAAAATGTGGCAGAACTCCACATCACGTGTTGATAGACTCGATCAGTTGGTGCCTTGGTACCTTAATTACTGGCGGATATCATTGACCTTGCTCACGAGGTTGGCTATCTCCTGTGAGTTTGATCATTACTTGGATGTAACCTTCAAGACTGAAACGGTCACATGTGTTTCAAGTTTAAGGCCCCCATATTTTAGATATTATCAGTCCTTTTTACACCCGAGAAGACATGATGCCGAGCAGGATACGCGCCTGGTGGGTTCCTGCTTTACCCAGTGAAACAAGGACGGAATGTTAGACTGAAGGCTGTGCAAGCGCCGCGATCTTGGCCTTAAGTTAGGCAGCTGAGATATTGCGGTATGTATGACATTTGTTCAGTGACTGCTCAGTTGTCGCGTACATATATGTCTCATGCCAAGGGCTGGGCTTCTTTGTCTTTGTCCAGGGGCATTGGTCTTCGATATGCTTGTAGAGTACTCTGTATGCATGAATAAGTTACCTTGGCTGAGATCTGGTGTAGTTTCCGGCCAAGTCGGCTTTCTATTCCTCAATGAAAGTTGATAAGACAGTGACTACCTGGCTTCACTGTCTACTAGTAGTGTCAGGTGCACACTCGTTTATGCTATAGGAAGCACTAGGGAAAGAAACCTGGGAAATCAAAGGTTATGCACAGGCAAGTCGTTTTTGCACATTTTAAGCCGTCTTCACTATATTCTAGCTACAACAGTAATGAGGGGGAAAAGACTATCAAAAAGACTACCAAAAAAGACGTCACAAGGCCGCATAAACGGCCGACTAAAATGAAAGAGAAAACCGAGGAGAGGCATAAATTACAAACAAGGTGATATAAGTATGTTGTACTACTATGTGCTCGGTATACCTTCAACAATCCAATTGGGCAACCTTGGAAGGCAGAGATTTCTGGCCAATGATATGCAATGATTAAACGGCGAATCAGACAATGTTGGTGGACCCAAAATTACGATGTAGCCAGACCAACCGTGGCTCAACTTGAAGTGCCTGACAGTTAGCTAAGAAAATAAATACTAGTACTGGGTCGTACAGGCGAATACGATGGCCCCGACATCTGGAGGTCCCTTCAATATCTAATTAAGCACATTGTAGCCACAAATTCTATAACAATTCTGCACTAGATGAGATCAGAGGCCGAGCGGGAAACCAAGACGTCATCACACGCAGATGAGAATACGTGATCATTCTGATCATCCCTTTCTGGTGATCAGGGGGTGACAGTAGAACACACTAAGCGAACTAAACAAATTCATAATAAAAAATAAAAGGGGGAGGGCATATGATTTGACAGAATCATACCAAGCTCACAAATGGTCCATGCATATGGAGGTTCCTTTATTCCTGAAACGTGTCTGATCCGATTAGAGGATGAAGATGATGGGGCCTATGCCAAACGAGGCTGTGCAATCGCGTGAACACTAATGTCAGTTGATTGGCATGCTGTGTCGATCCTTATGCCATGCCTATGCGGCATGTTGATGTTATTTTCTTTTATATTTTCTCAAAAGGAATAGAAAGAGTGTATTATATCATGTTGGCAGTGTTCTGGATCTATAAATGGAAAAATAGAGTCCAATGATCTTCCCGGCTCTAGAACCCTGGGATAGGCTAAAAAAATGTCTACAATGTACTCTGTACTCCGTTATGTAGCTTCCACTAGCATTAGATTAGTGCTCGGGAAGGTTTACCCCCGGATTCAAAACCATCAGAAACATAAAAAAAGAAGAGAAAGATATCAGCCAAGGACTCTTGGCTTATTATCGCACACATTCAGAGCAGGTTGTCGAAAATGGCTAAAAATGATGAAGCAGTCGATGTATGAAAGACCGCATTCAATTATCAAATCAAAATTAGATTTCGTACATATGTAGGCTGCGTCCTGTTTAGCTGTTTCTTCAGCATCGTCAATAGCTCCATCCTTGAAATCGACATTCGAATATCGAAGTCTTTTTATCTACCTTGGTATACCACGCAATTAACTCTCAACAGTGTGTATTGAACGCCGCACCGTTATGGCTTTGGCGCCAAAGCCCTAGATATTTAAGCTAGGAGATATTGTCTGCTGATATCTTGTAGGATGAAAATGCCTATACACACATGTATGTTGTAGTAGTCGGACAGTGCTCAATAGATCCATTTCTGATCACGTGCCATCGCTAAAGCAGCTCACTCTGGACTGAAATTTACCCAGTCTAATTTAGAAGCGCCCTCATAAAAGCGGCAGCTAAGATGGGGCCCCACCCGACAGAAGAAATTCACCACGGAGTACAACTCCATAGGCAGCGACTTATAAGTGTGGACCTAGTGAGTCTGAAATGTCAGTTTGATTAATTATTACTTAGCCAGGCAGACGAAATACTTACACAATGTGATGTTCCTACTCCGTACTTGGTAGATTAAGTTGATATTCAAAGTTACCATAGTCCGTACGTAAACGGTCCACTGTATGCGGCACACTCCACAGCTGGGGGCAACAGTTCCTTTGGTTCAGTGAATATTGGCACCTGATATCCCGACTTTGTCTCTGCTAATAATAATCCCAAGGGCCATGGACCCGCCTGATTCCGCCACGATCCATCAACCGCTTTCGGCAGCGTGAGTACGCGTATACGAAAAGAGAAAATGGTTGGTTTTCTTTAGAGAAGGAGAATAAAGTAAATCAAAGTGAATAGAATGAAACGAATAAAGGGAATAAAGGGAAGAAAGCAAGTGAAACATATATAGGTCGCCTTGAGGGTGGCATTCTGTAGAGTGATGAAGGGGGGGGAAAGGTGCTAGTGGGTGCTATACGGAACAAACCCAAACATCAATACCACCCAATACAGGGCTGTGATTCGTTCTCAGCTAGCCGCCTCTGTCATTTTACAATACATGACCACATACCTTGCCAGTGGAATAGCGACCACTTCAGGCAGTGTCTTTCCCACGGACCCTTGTCGACTGTCCCTGAGTGAACAACCCGTGGACTCTTCTTCTCACCCTCATTCTCTCATTGTCTCTCTTTTTTTTCTCTTCTCTTCTTGATTCTAGGGACGCTTGTGTTCACTCCAAACCACTTTCTTGCCCATTTCAAGCCTATTACTCCTTTACTCCTTTTTCGGCCATACTGTGTATCGCCAGTCCACTCACTCTCGACATTTCGCTTTTTCGCTTTACTCGACCTTACTCTCATTCAGGCTCGATATACTCTCGTTTATCTACAAATCCAGCTTCTTCCGATTCCATAAACCACCTTACGACTACTTCTACGCTCCGCTTATATTCAATGCCCCAGTGAAAGGCAAAACACACCCTGACTCAACCCTGACTTCTCTCTTCTCTACTTTCCTCCAACAATTTGCGCCAAACATACAGTACAGTAACAGTCCGAGGAGACATTGACAAATAACTCGGCCCCACGGCGATCAAACAATATTCGGCCACACAAAAACTTCCGCATCCGGCGGCTGGCAACGTGGTACTCTGGAGTACCACTGACACGGTTGCCGTCAGATCTCTTCCCCTCGCCCTGATCTACCACTGGAAACCTATCCAGTGCTTCGCAACCTCTTCCTGATATCGAATATACACCAAAATGCGGTTAATATCGCTTCTCACCTGCTTCGTCGCCTTTCTGGCGCCGCTAGCCTCCGCCGTTCAGCTCCTTGAATCCAATGCACTCAGCGTGTGCATGGAAAGTAGCAACTTCACGGCAACATATTTCAGCGTCGCCTTCTACCCGGGAAACAACACTCTTATGGTTGGCTTCGATGGCGTCTCATACATCGAGGGTAAGGTTGTTGCGGAGATGACCCTTACCGCGTATGGCTACGAGGCATACAAGAACACCCTCAATCCTTGTTCGATTGCTGGCATGGGTATGTGTCCCATGTCCGCTGGACCCATGGATTTGGGACCGCTTTCTCTCGACCTGCCAGCGGGCACTTCAGACAAGGTTCCTGGTATTGCGTACACTGTGCCTGATCTTGACGCAAATGTGCGGATTGTCATCAAGACAGCCGACACTAATGAAAAGATTGCTTGTGTCGAGGCCTCGCTTTCCAACGGCAAGACCGTTAATCAAGCTGGAGTCTCATGGACAACTGCGGTCATCTCCGGACTAGGTCTCGCAGCATCTGCCATTACCTCCGGACTAGGCCATTCCAACACCGCGGCTCACGTCGCGGCAAATGCGCTCTCTCTTTTCGGATTCATGCAGTCGCAAGCGATTATTGGCATGACCTCCGTTCATATGCCCCCGATTGTGGAAGCTTGGACCCAGAATTTCCAATGGAGCATGGGTATCATCCCCGTGGGATTCATCCAGAAGATTGCTACCTGGTATCAGCGGTCAACCGGTGGAACTCCGTCGACAATCCTGTCACAACTTGGGGATACTTCCGTGGAAGTCCTCAAGCGCCGCAAGCGTGACTTCGCTGACCCAGCAATGAACCTCTTGAAAAGGGCCACGGGACCAATGATAGTTAAGCGGGCAACTGGTATGGTCAAGAGAGCCGACCAGAAAAGCCAGAAACTTCTTGTCATTCGAGGAATTGATCGTGTTGGGTTCCGTGCGAACATGGAGGATACCAACATCTTCCTCACTGGCCTAATTTTCTTTTCGGTCTTCACCTGCATTGTCGTCATCATCGTCGCAGCCTTCAAGGGAGTTACTGAGCTGCTTGTCAAACATGGCAAAATGAAGAGCGAACGGTTCCAGGACTTCCGCAATGGATGGAAGATAGTTCTGCGTGGTATCTTGTTTCGACTGACTCTCATCGGTTTCCCCCAGATGACCGTTCTTTGCCTCTGGGAGTTCACTCAGCGCGACTCGCCGGCCGAGGTTGTTTTGGCAGCGGTTATGCTCCTTTCTATGCTCGTCTCTCTTGGGTGGGCCTCTCAGAAGGTCATTCGGCTGGCAAAGCGTTCAGTGACCATGCACAAGAACCCGGCATACATTCTTTACTCTGATCCGTCCTGTCTGAACAAGTGGGGCTTTTTGTACGTGCAGTACCGAGCGACGGCATACTACTTCGTCGTTCCGTTCCTCGTCTACACCTTGATCAAGGGTATGTTCATCGGTCTGAGCCAGCCTGCACCGGTCGTTCAAACAGTCGCTTTGGTGATTCTTGAGCTAGCCATGCTGGTTGCTGTTTGCGTTCTCCGTCCTTGGATGGATAAGAAGACTAACGTCTTCAACATCTCTATTGCTGTGATTAATTTCCTCAACTCCATCTTCCTGCTCGTTTTCTCAGATGTGTTCGACCCCCCCGGAATGATGATCGGTGTCATGGGTGTTGTCTTCTTCGTTTACAATGCCGTATTTTCTTTGGTCCTCTTGATCCTGGTTCTCATCGCCTCTGTTTATGCCGTTGTGTCCAAGAACCCCGATACTCGTTACCAGCCCATGCGCGACGATCGTGGCTCGTTCATCAAGTCCCAAACCCAGCTGACTACCGAATTGGATGCGTTGGGTGCTACAGCGCGTGGTGATACCAAGCCTGGGCAATATCACAACAACAACCCATTCGACGATGATACCGCTTCTATCTCCAGTGGAAACGGTGCTACCGTCGGCCGCCAAATGGAATCAACCTACCCACCGCACGGCTCTGCCGCCCAAGCGCCTCGGTCACCCGTTGACCCATCTGTGCCACTGTTCCCCAGTAACGTGTCAGGTCATCACAACCCTCCCCCCGGATACGACCATTACGGTCGGGCCCCTTCACCCGCCCCAAGGAGCTTTGATAACACCTCTCCTGTTGGCCAATCTGCTTTGTCGACAACCTATCGAGCGCAGAACAGTCCCAGTCCTTGGCAACGGGGCGCTGGCTATGACCATTAAAAAAATGCCAGTGGTGTCTTATTTTGTCGCTTCCGAGATGAAGATATGTGATTTTGTTTTAGCGCGGGATACCGATGGTCTATGATTTTTCCATTCGCCATTCCTCTGGGTTCGGGTTTCTTTTCTTTTTTGCTTCTGCACAAGTCTGCAGCATCCTTGTCGCCTCAGATAAACTTCTTTTCTTAATTCACTCCATTGCTTAATGGTGTGAGCTTTTGTCATCTATCCCTTCCTTTCCCTTTACTTCTTCTCCTCACTTCTTCTTTTCTCCTTTTTCTCTCCCTGGTCTAAATCCTTTTGCCGTGTATTTCCCTTGTTTTTACTTCTGCTCGGCGTTTTTGAGGCATTCTGGATATGGTGATTGGCCTTGGGGGTTCTTTTTTCTTTTTGTTAGCTTTGCAGTATGTCTGCTGCCGATGAAATATATTTCAAATTTCTCCGGTTTTCACCTGGGCAGCATTTCTCGCCCTATACACCAGTATTCTGGAGGTAATCTTAGTGTAAATATGAAAGCGATTCTACAAGTATGTCGATGTCGAGGCAATGGATCTCTCGTAAAGAATTCAATTCCATGAAACAGCCTGTCGAAACCGACCAGAACCCCAAGAGACCATCTTGTACGAAACACAACGTACGAAAAGTAAAGAGACATGAAAAAAAGAAACCGCTATTTTACACTAACAGTAAAGAGCAAAAAGATCCATGAGAGATGCCATGCCATGCCGACAGCACTACACATCCCCGCAGAGAAAAAAGGTATCAGAAAGTATCAGAAACAAACCATATATGAACCAACCCCAAGATCATGATCATGATCACCACCGTTGATCCATCCCACCGGGAGGCCCACCTCCAGGGGGAGGAGGATACCCCTCCAAGCCACGGGGGCCAGTAGGAATGGGCGACGGACCACCAGGCCCCATACCGGGCTGACCAGGCATAGGCGGGAAGCCCGCAGCGCCTGGAGGAGGGATGGGGAAGTTGGGGAAGCCACCTGGGGGCGGAATCGGCAGGTTTGCGCCCTGGGGCATGTTGGGGAGGGGCGGGGGGAAGCCGCCTGTTGGCGGGGTTCCGGTTGCGTTAGGGAATGGCGGTGGGAAGGGGAGGCCGTGGGCTCCTGGGGCTGTTGGGTGGAAGGGATATTGGTTAGCTTGATATGGTCTCGCGTAGGTTGGGGATCCTTGTCTCTGGTTCGCGGGGATGGAGGGTGGGATTGGAAGTGGAAGTGGGTGGGACATACGAGGTAGCATGCCTGGGGCACCGGGGGCGCCGGGTGGAGGGATTCCGAAGGGGGGAGGGGGCATGCCTGCTAATCCTAGTTGTGTTAGCTTGGTTCTTGGTTGAATTTTTGGAGATCATGGGAGGAACATCATACCCGGGAATCCGAAAGGAGGCGGGAAAGCGCCGGGGGGCATCATGTTGGGGGCTTGTTGGCCCTCTGCGGCGTAGGAGGAGGTAATGGAGTCGATGACGGACTGTGCCTTTTCTTGGCCAATCTCTGTACGGGATTCACATGGTTAGCTATCATTCAGCTGTTGGGTCTTGCTGCGCCATCGGTCAGACGTACGTTGGTAGTAGTCCACCACGTTTCTCAGGTGGTTTCGACCGGAGTTATGCGCCTTGCGCACGCTCATCGAGTCGTGCGTCAGATAGACATCACAGTAGTCACCTATAAGTTGAAGCGAGGAGTTAGTAATATGTCGATGGATGTGGGCTAAAGAGGCCGTAGTCAGGCGCATAGCATCGTGTCGCAATGTGCCCGGAACAGGCTATGACACGCTTGGTCTGTCTAGACCTGGATTTGAGGCAAAACCTACAGAAGAGTGCATAGGATATTAGTTTCCAGTTGCAAAGATATAAACTAGAGGGTACTTATATTTGGGCATCTTGCCGGTTTCTGCAGCAAGTACCTTGCTGTCGTCGCGCGAAAGAGGAAAATTCCCTTTCGGGATGCGTTTCGTTCAGGAGGCGGGGTTCTTGGCTAGCAACGTCTTCCCTGGTTTGCAATATCGTGGCCTCAGGTTGAATCTCGGAAGTAAAGCCTTGGTGATGCAGATAGGAGAGAAATTGAAGTAGCAGGACCGGCGAGTGGTTTCGGAGGTCGATGGCGAGGGTTGAGTAGGCGGTCGGGTGTGGCAGAATAGTGTCTTATCGTATCGGCTCTGTATAACCCGTGCACGGGTGGACAAAGACAGCATCCCTCTCGCTAAGGGGGTGAATGCTTGTACTGATTTCAATTTTAACTTCCTAGTATACATTGTCCCGCTAACTCGAACTAGCACCCGAAATCGAGGCACACACTCCTTTCAGCCAAAAGTATACGTGAGATATTCATTCACTCATTACTACCTAAGTACACATATACATCGGACACTCTGCTACTCTGGGCATCATAGTAAACCCCCAAATCTAGGACCGTGTCTACGTTACACTATTAAATAGCATCATGCACAGTCAATGTATGACACTTCTACTTTCTAGGGCCATCCTCGATGCCATAATTGCGAGTCTTGGTCATACTGACATAGAGCTTCGGAGTCAGTTGTCATAAGTGAAAACCATTGGATTTGTGTTGAATTGATTTACATCCCAGATCAATCCTCATACCAAGCATAGTAGCTTAAGCCGCCGTCCTCATGAGAGCCGGTTTACATATCCCACTTGCTTGCGACAGCCGGGGACAAGACGCCATTGACAACTCCACCTTGTTCTCTCAGGTTCAAAACCTGCTCACCCTCCTCATGCTCAATCTCAAGCTTTCCGTTTTCTACGCTCCGAGCGAATGCTACGATCATTTGGAGTAGGCTGGCAAACTTGCCCAAAGCCGGTTGCTGGGTCTCCTCCCACTGCTTCACATCATCGCGCACGTCCTGAACCTGAATATGCTTGAATCGACCAGCTGTATGATGGGCGAGAATGAAGTTGGGAGTCTGCGAGACCCACAACCGGGGCAATTCTCCATCAAGAACATTAACACTCCTTTTGCTGCGAGACCGAGTCTTTAGGTCAAAGACTGCACACTGTGGGATACGCTGGCCTTGCTTTGCGATTTCGAGCTGCTTCGGTGCCGTTTCAGTAGTGGCCGAGGTCACAACTGAGATTGTTGCTTCTTCGATGGACGACAAAGCTTCCTCTGGGTCGATACTATCCTCTGGGATAACAGGATCTTCTTCGGTTTCCTCGGTATCCGGATTCGGGACCAGGTCGGGCAAAAAGCCATCCGCTTCAAAACGCACCAAGCACTGCATGCCAGCAAACTCATACTCCATCACCCGTTGATGAGACTGGGATCCGCCCACATTTGCACTCCACGTGGTGTATGCTTCCGGGAAAGTATGTCCATACCCACGGACACCGGGAATCATGTCGGTGGGTGAGTTTTCCCTTCTGATAAAGAAGACCGTCTTGCCGAGTACCTCAACAAGCATCCTGAAGGGCTTATCCTGTTCAAATGCAAAACGTAGCAGGTTTCCCATCGTACTGTGGCATGCAATGATGTCCACACTGGTCACCGGGAATTCGGGCTTGTCTGTCAGAACTGCTTGCACCATTGGCTCCAGGGGATGGGTGGGATATCGCGCGGCATTTCGATCGCGATAATAATCACCCCTGTCTTGTGGAAGCGTGGGAGGATCAGACAAAGGCGTCCACTTCGGTGGTTCACCTGATAGAAATGTGTTAGTCAACGTATATATCCTTCTCATGAGACATTATCCTCTTACCTGGAACGATTATCCTGCTCTTTTCCCCACCGAGCCAGTTGTAGGATGTCAGATATTGACTGTTTGTGATTCGAGAGATGTCATCATCTTGATCAGGTGCCGGGCTTTCGATTTCATTATGATGGATTGTGACAATGATATCTCCTAGCGGAGGTGCTGGTGAACGGATCTGGGCCGCGTATGCTCCACCTCTTCCTCTCCATCGCCCTCTTCCTCTTCCCCGCGAAAACATAGTGTAGACTAGTCTCGTGGTTAGGAAGTGGCACCGACGAAGGTTGTCACGCAATCCAGCAATGTATGTGTAGATAGGCAGAAGAACAATTAGAAGTAGACTTGTGGGCCAAGGTCTCGAGTACCTTGTCGTTTGCTAGCTCCTGTGACTTTAACGCGTTGTATTATGTCGTTGTATTCCAAGTTCATGTCGCCGTATTATGTCGTTGTATTATCCATGGACGTCGGGGTATAGCCCCCTGTCGCCACGTCACATACTGTGCTTCGTGCATTGGCTTACTCCTGCGCATTTTTGCGTTTGTTGGTTTTTGCTGCGGATATGCCGGCTAGTTCATAAAGATACAAGCCTACAAGGCAGACAGCGTGGTGGTCTGCATGTTTAGTGTAACTGCGCTTTGCTTTGTTGTCAATGAGGCAGACCATACACTGTCTCTTAATCTCTTGACGCTGAAGTCTTTCTACACCTCAATTTTATTTTCTATCTTACTCCACCAACCTTGATCTTGCAACTATCTATGTTGAGTCTACTGTCATTTGAATTCCATTTTCTATCATGTCTGCAAACATTCGATCGGAGCGCCTGGCCAAGTATTTTGCAGAGGTTGTCCATGGAAAGCAAGAAGTCCAAGATTTGAACGGTTTCAAGCGATTTATTGAAGCAACCCTGGACCAGAGTGATCCCAGCATCGTTGTTCAGCGAATCATCTCAAGCCAAAGTGCTCTAAATGCGTTGCGAAATGGACTGAGGTTCAACCTCACCCCGGTCTTCATCAACGGGTACACCGCCAAGTTGATTCAATACCTGAACCACCGCGAAGTCAAGCTCCTTTGTAACGGCCAATTTCTCGAGCAGCTTCTTCTAATCATTTTGGAGCCCCGTACACTCTGGGGCGCATTTCTGGAGGCGTTCCGCACTCGGAAACTGGAAGATCATGCAATCCAGGCTCTATGCTGGCTGATGACAGAGTTGCTCTCATTGCCTCCCTCTTGCGGCGTGGATGTTAGAGCCGATGCTCAGACTGTTTTGGACGATGGATCGCTTTTCTCTTCCCCCTCGGTTGACATACGAAATTTGGCCCACAAGATCAAATATCGCCTGGAGATGAAATCACATGCAACCATCCTCCAGCACTCTGAGATCACTGCAGGTGGTCGGCATGATAATGATTTTGCTGATTTTCGCTTGACGGCCATCTTTCCTACGGCCGATGAGATGGGATGTACGGAGAAACCGTTTTATCGCCATGCCGAAGACATCGCGCAGCTGTCCAGGGACCAACGCATTGCGGGCCACGTTGACAATCAGTTTCGTCTTCTACGGGAAGATATGCTCTCGGAGCTCCGCGATGACTTTCAAGTTGCAAAAGGCACAAAGAAGGGCCGACGGTCGGCTTTCCACTTAAGGAATCTCTTTCTCGCTCATGTCCGCTGCACTTCTGGAACCTCAAGCCGCCTTCGACCATGTACTATTGGTGTTACTGCCCAATTTGGCCTTGAGAAACTCAAGAACCTCTCGGAAGCTGCCCGCAAGGACTTCTTAATGAACACGCCTCAGTTTGTTAAGCACCGTGCCTTTGGTTGCTTGATTAGAAACACAGAAATTGTGGCTTTCGCTACAATCGAAAAAGACATCGACGAACTGGTATCCGATCCCCCAGTGGTTATGCTGCGTATTGCAGGCGAAGAGGCGCTCAAAAAGTCTCTACTTTATCTGAAACTCTACCATGACGTAGAGTTCTTGCTTGTTGATACAGCAATGTTTGCATATGAGCCAATTTTGAAATGCTTGCAGGAGAGGATAGAGCTGCCTCTCACGGAAGAGTTGTTCCTTTACGAAAGAGACCAGCCGGTGAAGGATTCAAGTCTAGTTCCTTGGAATGTGGTCAACAAGCTGAAGGAAGAATACGGATGTAATATTCAGGGCACCCTTCAAACCTCAATGCCAGTGACTCTGGACTCGTCGCAACTAGATTCTCTGGTAGCCGGGTTGACACAGAGAGTGAGTCTTATTCAAGGACCGCCAGGTAAGATCATGCGAATCCTCTCATTGTCCTCTCACTATCCTCTCACTTCCATTGCCATGGACATTAAACTGACAGTATGAGCTCCAGGTACCGGCAAGTCATTTATAGGCGCCCTTCTCGCAAAGGCCCTACATGGCAATACGAAAGACAAAATCTTGGTTATGTGCTACACGAATCATGCGTTGGACCAGTTCCTGGAAGACTTACTAGACATTGGTATCGATTCCTCTGCCATCGTCAGACTCGGATCCAAATCGTCACAACGCACTGAGCCGCTTGGATTGTTTAAGCAGCAATCATCCTACAGGAGGGACCACACCACTTGGAGCACCATCAATGCACTCGAAGCGGAAGGAAATGATCAAAAGGACATTTTGGATGATTCCTTCCAAGCTTACAAGAAGCTTACAGCTGATGCTGGGTCTATTTTGGACTATCTGGAGTTTGAAGAACCAGAGTACTTTGAAGCTCTGTCCATACCAGAGGATAAAAGCGGCATGGTTATGGTCACCAAGCGTGGAAGACCAACCAAAAGCTACCTTTATGCACGATGGGTCAACAATCAAGACGCAGGAGTGTATTCTAATATTCTTCCCGCTCATTACCGCGATATCTGGAAACTGGATAAGAAAATACGGGAGGAGAAAGACAGGTCTTGGAAGAGAGCTCTGCTGAATGAACAGGCGGAGTCTTTGAGCGTCAGCATAGCATTGTTTGACAAATGCCAAAACCGACTGAGCGCTACCCTTGGTGAGAGAAACCGGGAAATTTTGAAATCAAAGCGAATCATCGGTTGTACCACTACAGCTGCGGCAATGTATTCGGAGGACATTCGACATGCTGCCCCTGGCATCGTGCTTTTGGAAGAAGCGGGCGAGATCCTTGAATCCCACGTGCTCACCGCAATGACACCAGAGACCAAGCATTTGATCTTGATAGGAGATCATCAACAGCTACGACCGAAGATCAACAGCTACAGCTTGAGCATAGAGAAAGGAGATGGTTATGACCTAAACGTCTCCCTTTTCGAAAGACTCATACATGCCGGGTTTCCACATACGACATTGAGCAAGCAGCATAGAATGTGTCCCGAGATCTCAAGTCTTGTACGCAATCTCACCTATCCTGCGCTGGAGGATGACCAAAAGACCAAAGGCCGCCCTCAGCCATTAGGACTGTGCGATAGAGTGATATTTTTCCATCATCAAAATCCCGAAGACATTTTTGTCGAGGTCTCTGACCGACGTGATGAGAACTCAAAAGGGAGCAGGAGGAATTCTTTCGAGGCAGAAATTGTCCTCAAGATCGTGAAGTATCTCGGACAGCAGGGATATGGAACAGACAAGTTGGTGGTGTTGACTCCGTATTTGGGTCAGTTGAGTCTACTGAGGCAGACTCTAAGCAAACAGAACGATCCGGTTCTGAATGACCTCGATTCCCACGACCTTGTCAAAGCTGGTCTTCTGTCGCAAGCTGGTGCTTCCCACTCTAAGCGTCAAATCAAGCTGTCTACAATTGGTAAGTAGGGAGAGAAAAATAGGCGCAAGGAAAAGTCTAACTTAGGAAAATAGATAATTTCCAAGGAGAAGAGAGTGAAATAGTCATAGCCTCACTCACTCGCAGCAACAAAACTGGCGATATAGGATTCATGGCAGCCCCCGAGCGCCTCAACGTCCTTCTTTCTCGGGCCCGAAATGTCCTCATTCTGGTGGGAAACTCGGAAACATTCGTCTCTAGTCGAAAGGGTCAAAAGTACTGGAAGCCATTCATTGACCAACTGAAAACAGAGGGGCATCTATACGATGGACTGCCCGTCCAATGCGAACAACATCCGCAGACAAATGCCATTCTCCGAACTGTGGAGGACTTCAATAGAGAGTGCCCGGATGGAGGATGCTCTGCACCCTGGTAAGTTCAACAACGCTTCTGCTGATAATTTGATGCTGACTATTTCCCAATAGTGGCGTGAAACTGAGTTGTGGAGTACACGAATGCCCATCAAAATGTCATCAGCTTGCGGACCATTCGAAAATGAAGTGCACAAAAATGGTGAAATGGAAGTGTCCCCGGGGCCATAGCTTATCCCTATCCTGTTCCCAGGCCAAGGGTTCGTGTCGTTTCTGCATCCAAGAAGATCAGGTCAAAGAGCGCAAGCGCAAACGTGATCTCGAGTTGGAGCGAGAACGACAGAGAAAGCAGAATGAGTACGCCCAGCAGCTTGCAGAGGCTCAGGCGGAAGCTTCCCATCTCAAGCGTCTGCGACGCGATGAATTCGATGATGCGGAGCGAGCGAGGGTTCTTGAACAACACCGCCAGGAAATTGAGGATCTGAAGAATCCCCCGCGACCAGCATCTCCTCAGCGGAAATTGAGCTCTGGCACAATTGCGAGCACACCCTCAACCATCACGGAAGCAAGCTCGGATTCCGGCGTTACAGTCACTCAAAGCCGCAGTGTTGAGCCTACAAGTCGACAGGTATTGCCGCCACGAAAGATATCAGCGGCTAAAGCAGACTGGGACTATCAAAAAAAGTTCCTGAACGCTCAAAGCCAGGAGATTGACAAGTTAATTGACATGATCGGACTTGAATCAGTGAAAACAAAGTTCTTGTCTATCAAAGCGAAAGTGGACGTTGCGGTCAGACAGAACATCGATTTGAGCAGTGATCGGTATGGATCTGTATTGATTGGGAATCCTGGTAGCGGAAAAACAACCGTTGCCCGTCTTTATGCAAAGTTCCTATCATCCATGGGGATCATTCCTGGCGACAAATTCATCGAGACAACCGGCTCCAGGCTTGCGAATGATGGTGTTTCGGGATGTCAAAAGATCATCGAAACTCTCTTGAAAGATGGCGGCGGTGCCATATTCATTGATGAAGCGTACCAACTCGTCGGCAGCAGCTTCGGTGGTACCCAGGTTCTGGACTTCCTCTTGGCCGAGGTTGAAAACCTCACGGGCAAAGTGGTCTTCATTCTTGCGGGATATCAACGTCCGATGGAGAAGTTCTTCGCGCACAATCAAGGGCTGCTTAGTCGTTTCCCGCATGAGCTCAAGTTTGAAGATTTCGACGATACGGAGTTGATGCAGATTTTGGTCGGATGCATTGAGAAGACCTACAGAAAGCAGATGAAGGTCGAGGATAACCTTGGAGGACTTTACTGTCGCATTGTAGCTCGTCGAGTTGGCTGCGGACGTGGTCGTGAGGGCTTTGCCAATGCGAGAGCCGTTGAGAATGCCATGGCCAAGATTTCTGAGCGACAAGCTGCACGCCTCAGTCTAGAAAGACGGCAGGGTGGCAGCAAGATTGATGATTTCTTCCTAAGCAAGGAAGACATGATCGGCCTAGATCCATCGCAGGCTTTGAAATCATCCAATGCTTGGCAGAAGCTGCAGACTATGATTGGTTTGGATTCTGTGAAGAATACGGTGGAGGCCATCTTGGACACCATGCGCTACAACTACCAGCGTGAGCTAGATGAGCAGCCCCTGGTTGCGTACAGTCTCAACAAAGTTTTCTTGGGAAACCCAGGGACGGGGAAAACTTCCATCGCGAAGATCTACGGTCAGATACTTGTCGATATCGGGTTTTTGTCTAATGGCGAAGGTATGCGAGCTCCCCCGCTGTTCATAAGGTTTACTAACAATTGCAGTGGTGGTGAAGAACCCGTCAGATTTTGTTGGTAGCGTGATGGGAGAGTCCGAAAAGAATACCAAAGGGATACTCGCATCTACATTGGGAAAGGTTCTAGTTATCGACGAGGCATATGGAATGTTCTCTGGAGGTACCTCTGATGGGGCAAGTTCTAAGAGTGACCCATACAGAGCTGCCGTGATCGACACCATTGTGGCAGAAGTACAGAGCACACCTGGTGATGATAGGTGCGTCTTGCTTCTGGGTTACAAGGATCTTATGCAAGAGATGTTCCAGAAGGTCAACCCTGGCCTCAGCCGACGCTTTCCAATGGAGCAGGCATTTGTCTTTGAAGACTTCACCTCAAATGAAATGGATGCGATCTTGAATCTGAAACTGAAAGAACAAGGATTTGGAATAACTGATCGTGGCCGGCGTGTGGTATTGGAGATGCTCGAGCGTGCTCGCAACCGTCCACATTTTGGCAACGCAGGCGAGATTGATAATCTACTCAACACTGCCAAGATGCGGTATCAAAAGCGGCTCTCTTCCACCAAACGCCCCGGTTCTGTTCCAGATTCTATTCTCGATGCTCCTGATTTCGATGAAGATTTTGATCGCGCGGATAAGAAGGAAAGCGTTGCGAAGATGTTTGAAGGCGTCATCGGATGTGAGAGTATCGTTGCCAAACTGGAAGGTTATCGGCAAATGGTTCAGAAACTCAGACTACTAGACTTGGATCCTCGCGAGCAATTGCCATTTAACTTTGTTTTCCGTGGTCCTCCAGGTATACAAACCTCTCGACCCGTCTTTTGCCCATCGAAACATTGCTTACATATAACCCTCCTTAGGTACGGGAAAGACAAGCACAGCCAGAAAGATGGGTCAGGTCTACTATGACATGGGCATGTTGGCTTCGAGTGAAGTGGTCGAAACTTCAGCGACGGACCTAGTGGGTCAATATGTAGGCCAGACAGGGCCGAAGACTCAGCAAGTCCTAGAACGCGGCCTTGGAAAGGTTTTGTTCATTGACGAAGCCTATCGGCTCGCTGAGGGACATTTCGCGAAAGAGGCCATGGATGAGATTGTCGACGGCATTACCAAACCCAGGTTTGCTCAGAAGCTGATCATTATTCTAGCCGGTTATGATGCAGACATCAACCGTCTCATGTCAATAAATCCGGGGCTCACGAGTCGTTTCCCAGAGTCTCTTCAATTTGACCCACTGTCCTCAGCAGACTGCATCAAGTTAATTTGCGAGCTCTTGTTGAAAGAGAAAAGAGATCTCTTGACCAAATCCCAGGCCCAATTCGACTTGGTCTGCTTGGAGAGCCCAGACTTCGAGTTTATGAAGGCAATGTCGCAGCGCTTTGACAGACTTTCGAAAACTGCAGGCTGGGCAAATGCACGAGATGTTGGAACCCTCACGAAGACAATCTTTGGCAAATCTCTTCAGTCATCCAGCGGAAAGAAGCTCGTACTAAGCAAAGACACGGTGATTGAAGCCCTTGACTCAATGATCAATGAGCGGTCCAGCAGGGAAGTCTACCCGCAAAACCCTCCATCAACTGTAACGGACCTAGCTATACGCACTCAACATTTGAGTAAGCCTGTTACCAAGCTGGAGAATCAAGGCTCAGTCGACAAGGACATGGCCTCTGGCAAGGAACCAGACACGATGGAGCCTAAAACAGACACATGCACTGCCACCACGAAGCGAGATGCTGGTGTCACAGACGAAGTGTGGCATCAACTTGAGAAAGACCAAGCTCTGGCAGAAGCCAATGAAAAAGAATACCTGCGTTTGAAAGAGGAAGAAGAGAAGCAAAATAAGAAGACATTGAAATTGAAGGCGGAGGAGGAAAAGGCATCACGGGAGCTGGAAGCTGCAAAAAGGAAAGCAGACGAAGACGCGAAAAGACGCCACGAACAAGCCCGACTGCAGCATGAGTTGGAGCGCAAGAGACAGGAAGCAATTTTGGAGAAACTCCGCAAGCAGCAAGAGGCTTTGGCTGAGGCACGTCGTAAGGAACAAGCTAATCAGATGAAGCTGAGGTCCATGGGAGTCTGTGTTGCTGGCTTTATATGGATTAAACAAAGCGGCGGATATCGATGTGCTGGTGGTTCGCATTGGGTGTCGGATGCTCAGCTCGGAAGTCCGTGAGCTTGGGATATTGATTTGAGATTGTTGGAATGTCTTTAACATTCGACGAAATACGCAGAGGCATTGGGGTCTTGTCTTTCCAAGAGATACCTCGGCATGATTGTTGCAGCTGGGTGGAAGCGCGGGGCATAGAACAATAGGAATCTGGTGACATGGATGCTGATACTTGGTGATGTCGTGTCTCGACGTCATTCATCATTTGATATTCGAAATGAACTTTTTCTGAAACCATTGTGCTATCATCGTAGTGTCACAGAGTCGATAATCCAACGCATCACGAACCTCGAACAAGCATTTTAGAGGCGACTACCGACTAGGTTCAAAAGTCTTGTTTTCTGTGTGTCACGCAAAACGTGTTTCAGGCATACAATTTGGAGTTGGTCTAAACATCAAACCGCAATAACAACAGAACCTTGTCTTCATTATGCCAGACATGAATTGACAACACAACTGACCTCCAAGATTCCCACCAATCCCAATCCCAACCTCAATACGGAGTCCCCAACACCAACACCTATAACAATACCAAGCCAGCCAAAATTCCAACCCAACGAGCTTAGCCTCCGACCCCGACAACCTCAAACGTAACACAGCTGACCCGATCAGCAGGATACACGGGAATTAGGTCACATCGACAAGCACAGAGTCAGCTAAAACGGTTTGGCGAGATGATGCAATTACTCAATAATAATAACATCCAAAGCCTAAGTGCCTAAGTATTAATCCCGGTACCCGAGGACCGGATAAGCAGGGAAGTGCTGCAAGCCCCTAGAGCTGGAACTCCAAGGCCTTGTATGACTACATACGTCGTCAAGGACCGTATCAATTCAATCCCTGCTCCCGGTTGAATAATAATGCAGCCCCGGCTCTGAGCCGCCAACCGCTAAGCAGATTGCCGGGTCTCGACCCGGCGACTATGATAATCATGTGTCATGGTGCTGCGCTATTATCTAATAATGGGAATAGCGGGGGGGTATTAGGTAGTTTTTAGTGTAAAGATGGAATGGACTAGGTATGAATTGGGATTGGATATGTAAGATGGATAATGCCGGGTTTTAGTTTAATCGCGCATTTAGACTATACGATATAGTTGTGTTTGATATGTGAGGGGTGATAGAATGCCATCCCCCTGAAGAATCTCAAGTCAGGTGCATAGTCATGGTCCAATTGGGAGATGGGGATGTTATTTTGCGTACCTGACAATCTCCAGGGCTGACAATATTACAGCCGTGTCACTCCCAGACGAAGACACGTATTTCCTAATGAACCCCACGTGAGGTCACAGCGGAATTGGTGCGTTTTACCTACGCGGGGTTCCCGAGGCATCAATATTCCAATGTAAGCGGGAACTGTTCAGGAAAGGTCATGCCCCGAAAGATGCATGACTCCGGCAGGTCCCAAAATGTTGGGGAAAGAGAAAATCTGGGGAAATGGGAAACGCACAGACACCGAAGGCGTTGATTTGTTTCATTCGCCGCTCGGATCTCTCGGCCAGTCAGCGCACATGAGCGCCAAAATTTTCTTTTTTCTTTTTTTCCTTTTTCTTAAAATTTTTTTTTTCAACGTCATTCAGCATCTGGGGAACGGTACTTGGCCTATTCCGTCTCGGACTGCTCGGCTCACTGAGCTGAAAGACAAGCCAAGGGGGCAACTTTGGACACCTATTATCGGCATGCTAGGCATCGCCCAGTACTCCTATGTTGTACGGTGAGTGAATTATTCTCCAATACAGGTACCATGTGCAACTAGCCGATGCCCTAGACTTGGATCTACGGGGGCCGCTAAGGAAAAATTATCCCGCAAATTTCACCGATGGAGTCATCGTACATAGCGATCTGCGTCCTGAAATTTCAGTGGTGTATAGTGTATTTATTGATCTGAGATTTTACTGATCTGATATTGATATTCATGATCCTCAGATCGGTATATATCGTGCAGTATAATTATGTATAGAATTGCATTTTATAGCACTTTGTACAACGTAACCATTTGACGTCCACGGGTACTTCCCACCTAAAACACTGAAAATGAAAAATGTGTTGCACGAATTGCTGTTCTCTGGAAATAGAAAGTGGACACGGGCCGGTGAATGATGCAATTGTTGGAGCAGTAAAATACCTTTTTCTCTTAGTATTCTGTACTCCATAATACATCGTGTGTATTTTAAAATTTTCTACTTCCAGCTCATTCCTATAATGCCTAATGCCTAATACCTATGTTGTAATCCAAATGCCTCAAATGATCAGAATTGCGCGACACCTGACGTGCTCAAGAAATGGCCCCTATTGCGGTGTGTGATTACAAGGGATAATAACGTGAGTTATACTGTGCATTGTAACGAGATCTGGACACTCGATGATCCTGAAATGAGAGGTTTTCCTACATTTCCTGGGGGTAATGGAAATCCTCATTGGTGGCTAAGGCAGTTTCTGTTACGTCTTGCTAGTCACTAGCCCCAGTCAGATGACCTTGGTTGCCCAGTGGACAATTATCTAAAAGCGGCCAGAGTTATGGTCGTCTGGGGAAGAATCAGGGCCAATCACTTTCCTTAACCAGATCACAGGGGTGGTTTGAGGACACGTGCGGGTGCTGACACAGCACCTAAAATGGAAATATCTCTGGCTGTTACACTCCGATGACGAAGGAAATGAGGGATAAAATGAAAATTCAAAAAAATGAAAATTCAAAAATGCAAAAATAATAATAAAAAATAAAAAATACCCCCACAGCACCTTGTGACTGGATGTCGTGCCTGGATCTGGAAATGACTCCAAAAAGGTCCGGACTATATAACATGAAAGCCCCCGCTGTTTGTTAGGCTCCATAGCAAATTTTGCAACTGGATGGAGTTTTCATAGTCACTACAGCATAGACTGTTTATACCTCTATACTTCAGATCTACTCTTAATATTCACAAACCAACCATGTCTACATCAAATTACCGCGTTGTCGAGCCGCACCCTTCGGTGCCCCATGCCGGCCGCCCAGCCGTCTACACCGGCCGTGGAGGATGCGGGAATATCGTCAACCTGAAGAATACCAAGACCACCGACTCGCGCAGCGCAACCGGTCCCGCCTCTCTCGCCCGCCTCGACTCCCGTGTCCCAACAACCTTCATCTCCGGCCGCGGTGGTGCCGGCAACGTCCACAGCAGCAGCGAACGTGCCATCTTCAGTTTCGACGAAGAACTCGAACGTGATCTGCGCCAGGCTGCCCCCGTCTACCACGTAGGACGTGGTGGTGCCGGTAACACAATGTACCGCGACGACTGCAGCAATTCCAGCCTCAGTCGCAAGTACTCTGCCGCCAGCACAGCTACCAATTCCAGTACTGGTTCTGTGGCTGATCGTGCCCGTGACATTGCCCGTCGTGGTCTCGAGAAGGGTTGGGGCAAGCTGAAGGGTACTGCCTAGATGCATTACTCTTCTTTTCTACACTGCTCGTCCCCGCGAAATCAAATATCAACATCAACGACATAACGACAACCAAAAAGTTTCTTGCCTTTCTCTTGACCACTTCTCATTTTTAATCATACGGGAATTCCACCGGATTACCCAGACCGAAACATCAACATCGAGGACAACAACCCATTGATACCCTCTTCTTACCTGTGTTTCTTTCTGCATGTGTCTGCGAGATACCCCAACTTCCAATTCTCAATCATCATCCACACGTCTTCCTCGCAAGGAAACCCTCATCTCTTTGATTCGCATTGAACCACTCTTCACTCAAACATGGACAAACCGGCGCTTTGTGTTCTTTGTGGTTAATTTGCGCCTCTGGCCAGACCACACCTGCATCACACGCCAGGTTCTGGAAACCGGGCTCTCTTTTCTACGGAGTAGTTTCATTCAACACATTACCCAAGATCGCGCCATCGAACAACAATTGTCTGGCTGCATCATTCTCGGAGTTCCCCTTTATTGTCTCATTGTGTCGCAACTTTCCTGTGTTTCTTTTCCTGTTTTCAACATATTCCCCCCATATCGCGCCACTTTGAGCTACTACTTCCTAGCCATGGGTTTAACAATGAATATTACATGCTTGGGATCTTCCCTGGCTGGATACATCTCAACAAAATATTTCCAATTACATCATTGTAGTAGTAGATTCGTATGTTAAGACGTGCTTGTTGTCATAGGTTCCACTCATGGCGAATCTAGACTTGCACATCAAAGGTTATACATAGAAAAGTCTTGCACAAAGTAACTATGCTTTTTTTCCCTTTTTTCTGCCGTCTAGCTAAGAAACCGAGGAAGGGGGAGAAAATATCTACAAAAACAGACATCTAAAAAAGCTAACTGAGAAGATAACTGAGAAGACATTTAAAAAAGACATCTAAAAAGACTACCTCAGAAGACTACCTGAGAAGACTACTAAAAAATATTTGACAAGGCCGCATAAGCGGCCAACTATTCTTGTGTCGTAGAGTCGAGTCGTAGTGTAATGTTGGACCCGCGGATAGGCGATGACAGCCGGGGCAAGATATTTTGTTGGGATGTCCCCGGATGTCTGGAGAAAGGTATTCTTTGTGGTTTATGGGCTGGAATATTCTACTGGCTTTGTAATTATTTTCTTTGTTTCTCTTGTCCATGGACAAATGTTCTTGATTTGGTTTGCCATTCTATATTTTTTTCTTTGGTGTTTGTTCTGAATTCTAAGTCCACCGCCATTTGATAACTACGTGGCGATATAGTTATGTATTCTGTTTGATTACTCATGTATCTTTACATAATATGTATCATTAAGGCAAGCAAGCCTTGACAAGACAAAAATGAGATTCCTTTGTATAAAACAAAGAAATTGCCTCCCACGCTTACCAAGTGAAGCCCATCCATTTGTGTCCGGGTATGTCGAGTACACATGACCAGTTGAGTCATATAAATGGGAGGCGAATTGGAGAATGAACAAATGTATCTTCATTATTATTGCCCCTTATCCAAAGGTAGAATGAAGATTGAGCGCCACTCAAAGATCTCTAATTAGACTGCATACATATATCTATCGAGGTAATTCAGTCAAGCTACGCAGATAGGATAGAAAATATATGGCGAGAACTCGTGTATGCAGGTATGTCCGAGTAAAATTATGTCTAGAGTAGAACCATCCCCAAGACGCAAAAGAGACTGTATTTGCAATAAAGTCAGAGCCAATGCCAAGACGACATGAGCTGGATAGGAAATTGGAAACTGGGGTATCAAGAGTCCGGGATGCGACTCGGATTTGTGATGTTGGTCGATCACTTCTTGGTATGCACTACTAATTGCATGATGATCGATCCAGGTTGACAAGATCTGTTTCTTGTGTTACTTGTTCTGGGGATTGGAGATGGTGCCTTAGGGATCGTGTTGGAGGCAGTGGATGTGATCAGTCCGAGAGCACCATGATATCAAAGACTTTTGCCATAGGCAAGTTCTTTATGCGAATCGCTTGTGGATCACCTCGGGATCCTCGTGCCATTCGTCTGCGCTTACCCACATCTAGAGAGTATTTAGTTAGTTGTGATGCATTGGCATGAGGGAGGGATTTGCATACCTTTCTAAACGTGCTTAGCCCGGCAAGAATGCTACCACCAATCCACGTGGTGTACTTGCGCTCAGCAGGCGCAGAAATGCGGATTTTCATGTCCTCGACTGCTAGTTTTTTGATCTCGCGCATCAACCGATCAGGGAAGTTCTTGCACAGTGTTGAACCTCCAGAAAGCACAATATTGAGGTATAGGGATTTTCGCAGGTCGAGATCTGTGCGAGTTATGGCGTCCTGCACGATCTGGTGCACACCGGGATACTCGAGGCCGATGAGCTCGGGATCGAAGAGGATCTCAGGCGCACGGTAACGTTCTTGACCGATCTTGAGAGGTAAGTTCATTAGCATTGTTGTAACCCCATGACGGACCGTATTCCGTAGACAATGCATACCTTGATCTTGTGACCGTCCGGAAGAGCGTAGTCCATCGCTTTAGCATCAGACTTGTGGTAGCTGTTCATCCACTCCTTCTCTTCCCGCTTCGGATCCAGCGACACGTAGCACACCTTCTCCTTAATCATCCGCACCACCTCCTTCTCAGCGCTAGTGTGCAGCACATGCCCAGCTTTCCGCAGCAGCAACTGCATTTGTTCCGTAACATCACGCCCAGCAACATCAATTCTCCGAATACTGTTCGGAATGGCGAAACCCTCGAAAACAGGCACCGCGTGGGAGACACCATCACCAGAATCCAAGACGACACCCGTGGTCCGGCCAGACGCATAGAGCGACAACACGGCCTGAATCGACATGTACAGGGCCGGCACGTTGAAAGCCTCGAACATGAGTTGGGCAGCGATATCACGGTTGGCGCGCGGGTTCAGCGGTGGCTCCGTGAGCAGGACGGGGTGTTCTTCGGGGAGGGTCTTGAGTTCGTTTTCGTAGACGTAGTGCCAAATCGATTCCATATCTTCCCAATTCGTGACAATGCCGTGTTCCAGAGGATACCTGATCTTCAACAGTCCGCGGAGTTCTTGTGCACGGGACCCGATGAACGAGTCTCCTTCCAGACCACCGGCCATCACCCGTGGGTGCTTGGGACGACCGACAAACGACGGGAAATAACATGATGGAATCTCCTCTCCGGCGAAGCCTGCTCGGATTGTGCCACTGCCATTGTCGATGACAATTGGCACGTTGTGAAGAGTTGCCTCAGCCATTGCGGGGAGTGTGGTGTGGATGGGAGGTGAGGTCGGATAAGGACAAGCGCGGGTATAGACGGCCTCTCGGCCTAGAATGGGCGACTCGGAGGATCAACGGAGTGGAAGTCGAATTGAAGGCGCATATAATGTTTCGGTGGTTGGGCGTTGATGTTCTTGTCACTGATTCAGGAGTGGACGCGAAGCCGCAAATCCGCAAATCGGGAATTGTCAACAAGGAGCTTGGGCCACTCTTAGTCCACGCCTGGTAAATTGGACTTGCAGCGATAGAATTGAAGTTTAAAGAATTATCATAATACAAGAATAGACGGCCGCTTATGCGGCCTTGTCAAGTATTTTTTGGTAGTCTTTTATGGTAGTCTTCTCAGATCGTCATTTTAGATGTCATTTTAGTGGTCTTTTTTGGTAGTCTCCTCAGGTAGTCTTTTTATACGTCTTCTCAGAAATTCTTCTCGGTAATGGTTGAGAGGGTTTAGAAAGTAATTGATTTTCTTCATGGTCTATCAGATGAGACTTCGACATCTACTCAATAGACCGAACAGACCGAATTCGGACCGATTGCTTGATCGATGCGTATTTCAATTTCATAAAACGTCATAATTCGTGATAAAAGGCAGCTCCCAAGCCCATTGTTCAGTCAAGAAAAGCGGATTGGGGGAAATCGGTCCTCGTAGGTCACCAGAGGGGTTCCTTTAGTCCAAAAAGCTTAACTCGTCAGACATACTTTCCGCAAGATTTGTATTTCCAGGTCGCATAGACAATACCTCAGCTTTCTGAGTCTCTGCTCTGCTAATTGCACTGCCCACATCCCTGATCAGAGGTCAGCCAGACTGCCCGAGTAGACAAAGGAGGATAGATCATTTACTTGACCGAACTACTAATCACGTAGTTCCCTTCCTCTAGCTCATCAGCCAGTTCCTGTTGGTGATTATCGGCAAGATCGGGATTTGGGACCACAATCAAGGGCACACCCAAACGGAGTCCTGCCAAAACAGTCCCACTTCCTGTAAGATGGTAAGTGGATCAAGGCCTCACATACTTGATACGTGAAATAGTGAGTATCATACCGGCGTGGCAAATGATTAGGCCGCGCTCTTGATCAAGAGCCTCTCTTTCCACGGTCATCATCATTTGGGCCTCAATGCTCGGCTGGAAGTCGAATCCCCCAAGGGTGATACCGTGGTGGGGCTGGTCACTGTCGATGAAGTTCTGGAAAAGTTCCTGGCCATCTTTACCGTACTGAATAAGAAGATGGGTGTAGCCACGTTTGGATAGAGTCTCGAGGAATTGTGAACTAAGTATTTGTTCAAGTAGTTTATGAAAGGAAGCCGTGGCCCCCACAGTCACAAAGCATAGCTTCATCGTGGAGATGTTGTTGAGTTGAAGTAGGCAGAGAAATCAACCTTGGAAGGTTCTCTGGCAGTCAATTATCATCCTCACATAAGGGACTTGTAAATTGATGCATTATCGAGATGAAAGAATAGTCCAAAGATCAAGATGCAATCATATACCATGGTATCACGTGTGGATGGACAACGCTAGTCTGAATTTGGAATAGCGTACGGCGGTGAACCTCGCAAAAGTGGAAGCGGAAAACATCGTGGTTGAGATCCTGTCCCTACCCACGCTATACCCTTAACAATGGCTTCAGCAGCTCGGTTCTTGACTCGCCCGGCCAGGAATATGGTCCAGAGGGGCCTCATGGCCCCCTCTGCTCGGTACTTCTCCGCCTCGCCGCTCAATCGCGTCCAGGATGACCCCGTGATTCCTCCTCCGCCGAAGGAACTCAAAGCGGAGGATTTCCCCCAATGCCTGAATACTCAGTTGATCTCTTGACCAAGGAGCAGCGATCAATGTACGATATGATGTCTCCCGAGGAGCGCGCGGCATTCGACGAAGAGAACACCCGCATGGTTGCCGAATTTAACGACCCCGGGAAGCGCGCCGCGGCCTTCGAGGAACTCGAGCAGAGCATTCTAAAGATTGATAAAGAAGAGGATCTCCGATTCGAAGAGATTCGCCGCCCCCGTCGGGCTGGTTTCTGGTCTGAGGATGAGCCTGACGACTTGGTGAATATGCTCGAGGATGGAGATGAGGAAATCAATGACGACGAAATCACGTCCATGGCACACGCAGAGATGGAATTGCACCGTGAAATGAGAGAATATGCCCGCATTACAGCATGGGACATGCCAATGCTGAGCAGTAAGATCAATTGCTGATAAAGACTACACTTTCCATACTGACCTTAAACTACAGAGCTCGCCAAACCATTCACTCTTCCTCCCCCCACCCACGTCCTCCGCTTCCGCTACACTACCTACATGGGTGAACAGCACCCGGCTGAGCCCAAGGTCGTCGTGGAGCTTTCATCCCAAGATCTGACCCCCAAGTACCTCACCGAAGCCCAGCGCCAAACATTCCTCAAGCTGGCCGGTACGCGCTACAACCCGCAGACCGATATCATCCGCATGTCGAGCGAGAAGTTCGGCTCGCGTGCTCAGAACAAGCGCTACCTGGCCGATCTCGTTAACTCGATGATCAAGGAGGCCAAGGAAGGTGACGCCTTCGCCGATATCCCGCTCGACCTCCGCCACCACAAGTACAAGACCAGACTGCAATTCCCCGAATCCTGGAACATGACCGAAACCCGTCGGAGTCAGCTGGCTGCGCGCCGCAAGGAGCGTCTATCTGCCGAGGAGACGCGAGCTGCCCTTGTGGACGGTAATTCGGTTGTCTCTGATGCTATTAAGGCTCTGCCTTCGCTCAACCCTGCTCTCCAGGCCAAGGCTGCTGACGAGCGGGAGCGCGTTGCTGTCAAGGTTGGTGCGCGGAAAAAGGTGGCTCGTCGGTAATAGATGTTCGTCAACTGTATATTGGGTGTGTTTGAGAAGCTGTTGTCAGACATTTGCGAGGCGCGGGCGCATATTTCAGGATTTTTGGCATCTTTTCTTTCGATTGTACTATAGTCATTTTATTCCATGCATTGGCGGCTCGCTGTTACTCCGTTCCTTCTTGTAGTTCGCCCCTTGACTTACCACCCTACGAGTATGCTATTTTCTACGGAGCTCTATTCCAATGCTCACAAGCATGTAGATACTACTGGAGAATCGAAAAGGCAATGGAAAAAAAAAACAACAACGCCTTTAATTTGTGATAGATATCTGCCAAGACCAAGGGAGTAGTCAGCAGAACCAACTGCAACCCCCGATATCAGCCAACTTCAGTCTCATCTGTACTCGAACCAACAACGACATCCTATCCATGCATGACAGATGGGACAAGGCCTTGCTGCAGTTCCAGGACTGAAAATAAAAATCACAAATTGAAAATCACAAACTCCATATGGGCACATATCTTCCATATCATCCAGGCCCATCAACGGGTGTAACAAATTCCCAAACCCGCGCAAAAGAAACACAAAATAAAGCAAAAAAAATAAAGAAACTAAAAACAAAGTATCTCGAAGAAAATAAAAATGTATCCGCAATTGCCTCCCACCTCTCACTCATGGTGTATTGTCGTCTTGTTGTATGTCTGGACCATTTTCCATGCTTGTGGGTATAGTCTTGTCTTTGTGGTATGATATCGCATAATTTTATCTGGTAGGTTGACATCGAAAGGAAACCACGTCGATGCACCAGATCTCATAAGTGCACGGAAAAAGATAAAAATGATCAGTGAGTGGTAACATGCAGGGAGTCATGAGTACCACACCCCAGGCCAGGCATGCCTGAGTGAAAGTTTTCAAACGATCCAATTAGCTGCTGTGGTGGCTGTTTGAGTAAGGTCCAAACATGTGCGCAATGTTCTCGACAGGAGGCGAAGTGCGCTTGAGAATGGGACCTCCAATGGCACCCCAAGTGACACGGGTGTCGGCCGAGTTTAGGGGCACGTTGTCGGTAATCTGAAGATCTCCAATCTGGGGAGTGGAAGGTCCATAGTTCACCTGAACGGTAGCATGAGAGCCACTGGAGTCTGACTGCTTGCGAGAAGGAATATCACCACGAGTGAAAGCACCGAAGTTCGACTCGTAGGTCACGGCGGGCTCCTTGGGGAGCATGACGCCGCCATCAGAAGAAGGGTTCGAGCTGTGTTGGTACATGTGGCGAGGCTGGACACGGTGGTGGAGTTCAACCGGCTTGTTCGAGGCATCTTCGAACACATCTTGGTTACACTCGGTCAGCTCATTGAGCTTCCAGTACGCATTCCGGTTGTGGGAGTTACCGTCATCCAAAAGAAATTGGTGGGCAGCCATGGGAGCAGCAACATGACCAGTAGCTGAGACAGTGATTGGAACCGAGGCCGGAACAGCGGCCGGGGTAGTCGGAGTGCAAACTTGGTTGCCGCCAAATCCGTGAGATCCATAATCGTAGCTGGCTGGGGCGGATTCCATGCCGGGGGAACACTCGCCGCTGCGCTCGCCATCACGCTCGCCGCTAATGCCATGACGAACAGAGCCCATGTTTCGGTTACGGCCACCCCGCTGGGTACCTTTCCAGTTGTTGCCATGATGTCCATTCGGGGCCCCGTTGCGACCTCCTCGATGCTGATTGTGATTACCAAAACCACTGTGGCCTCCACGGTTGGCCGGTCCGCGGGGAGGGGACTTGTTAAACTGGGGAGGGGACTTATTCAGCTTTGGGTTCGCATGGATAGTGGACATTTTGCTGGCGCAGCTCTCGTTGGTGGGCGAAGCTGGGGATGGCAGGGCCCGCATGGGCGGCTGATCCGCAATGGTAAGCTGTGGACGGTTTTGGCTTGGGTGCAAAACACTAGCAACGTTGTACTTTTCGCGGTACCAGCGGGGAATATCGCGGAGACCAAGTTTCTCAATCATGTGCATCTCAGTGGGCATTTCATGCTTATACAGACAACCTATGCGACACAGCGTCAGTCAAGACCTCATGGGGTCTCGGCCGTCAAGCCAACTTACCTTGCTGAGAATAGTCACACTCGCCATGACGAATCCAGTATGAGCAGTACTCCTTCTTGGAACTCGGAGCCTATGTCGAAAAAGTTAGAAACATGAACGAAAACATGCCAGGAGCGCTCAAGCATACATGCTTATTGCCCGTCTGGGGATTCTTTGCATAAAAGGTTGGTGCAATTGGAGACAGTCCACTAGTAGGAGTGCCTTGGCCAGCAGGTCCGCTAGCGCAGTCGATTCCCTGGAAGAGAATGGCTTGCGCAGATGCCCGCATGGGCTCAGGGACATTTTTGTTGGTGATAATTTGCAGCAAGAGGCTGTGCATATCAGGCAAAGGTTCCTTCCCAACCTCACGCTCAGAGGACTGGGTAACCCCGTCGACAGTCCAAGGTTCAGGACGTTGGGGAGCCAGGCCACAACTGGTCATACCCTGGGTTTCTCCAGCATTGAGGGTGCGAGAGACACCACGGATGGTGACATTAGTGGGTAGCTCATCGACAGCCACAAGGGGGGTCAAGGTCCCATCAGGGCGGGTACAGAAAAATTGAGGGCGACTAGGAGTCGCCATCTTGACAAAAGGCAAATCTCAAGATAAGAATGAGAGATTGAAATAGACAAGATTGTGCAATAAGAATGGTCTGTGTGATACAGAAAGGAGGAAGAGGGATGAAGAAGGAAGGTTGTGGGAAGAGGACGTTTGTGGGAGAAGAGGGTTATGGGAGAGGTGACAAGCAACAGAAGGGGCAGGTGACAGGTGACAGCCCTGGGAGGTGACAAACAAGACAACACCTGGGCAAATTGGGATGAAGATGAGATGAGAAACTGAAGTTCGGGGGAAACACAATCTCATATATGGGAGAGCCTTTGAGATTGTGCTAATTATCTACATATCAAAGAGACATCTGAGGTTAAACCACTCCAATGAACTAGACTATCCTAGATTCAATAGATATACTGCGTACACTAGGTACACAATGGGGGTTTATCTATCTTTAAGCTCACAATAAGATTCCCATGGAGACAAAGAAACCCTGGGCTATCAGATCAGGAAATGAAGGTACGGTATTGCAGATCATATGGAGACATCGTTTCTCTGCATATCAAAGATCAGAAGAATCTAAAACAGTGTATGAATAGACTACTGAAAGGCACGAATAAGCTGTGTACCATTCGGAGTCCAATGCTTTTGGCTTGTAAAGGCATCGTGAACGTGTGCCTTGGCAGGGTTGACCGGCTGCCTGAAGAACATGCTTAGTCCAATTCTAAACTTGATCTTCCACGCTGCTTCCGCGTGTTCCTTGCCTTAAGATGCGCTCATATCAATGCTATGCATGTTTAAGGCTTCCCAATAGTCATTGTCTTTGGTGTTGTGTCCACAGGTAGAGGGCAGGACAAGAATGATCCCAGCCCATACCCCTGCCACGCCCAGTCAAAAACACTGAAGTCTTAATCTATGAGGATAACACAAGTATTTTGTCTCTTAATCTATTGCTATAGGCATGTGCGAGGAATCTTCCCTCCCAAGGATACTTCTTCGACCCGACTCATCTCAATACCAGCGTCCTTGGCTACCTTACGTCAATCATATCACCTCTAGAACTACAGTACACATCTTTCTGTCGATATACTAAGAGTAAATACTAGTCATTTCTCTTCCATATTTAGGAAAACAAGAATAGTCGGCCGCTTATGCGGCCGTGTCAAGTCTTTTTTGGTAGTCTTTTATAATAATCTTCTCAGATGGTCTTTTAGATGTCTTTTTAGATGTTTTTTTTTCGGTGGTTATTTTTGGTAGTCTTTTCAGATGTATGTTTTTATAGATATTGTCTCCTCCTTCTCAGTTGTTAGCTAGGCGGAGAAAAAGGGAAAAAAAGCATGCTTTGTGTTCGAGACTTTTCTATGTATAACCTTTAACTTGTATTGCTTGTTTGAAAATAGGACAAAGTGCATTCAGTTGGCTGCCACCACAACCCATCCAACCTGCGAATAGCCCAAACAGATAGAGATATTCAGAGCCATAAAACCAAAATCGATCACAGAAATAAACAGAAAACATAACAAAAATGAAACAAATATCCTTTCGTGCTGTTCTCCTTTTCTGCCATGTCGGATGCCGTTCATAGCTGCGCTCAGGTCAAGGCCCCGTGACTTAGCTTGACCTAACTCGACCGTCCAAGCCAACGACTATTGGCTGCAGAATACAATCTCCCAAAGTTGAAACACCTTTCCAACCGACAATACACCAAATCTAGCATAAATTCCAACCAAAATAAACACCTTCCATAGAAACAAAAACAAATGAAATGACAAATTTTCTCAACTGCGATTCTGCCGAGGCTATCCTGGCGACCTTGGCCTATGGTATGCTCCACTCCTATGGCTCATCCCAGGAACTTGACAATTAGGCCTCTTGCTTGAGCTGGACCTCTTGCTTGGGCCGGGCCTCTTCCTTGAGCTGGACCTCTTCCTTGAGCTGGACCTCTTCCTTGAGCTGGACCTCTTCCTTGAGCTGGACCTCTTCCTTGAGCTGGACCTCTTCCTTGAGCCGGGCCTCTTCCTTGGGCTGGACCTCTTGCTTGGGCTGATCATCTTGCTTCAGTTGGGCCTTGAATTCCTGCATTTGCAGACTTTCTTTCATTTTACGTCTCCGTGCTCGTGCTCGGGATTGCGAGTTGATTATATCTGCGTTCTTCCGTTGGTGTTCTCGTTTCGTCGCCTTAATTTTGTCTGCGTTTTTCCGTTGGTATTCTCGCTGGTATTCTCGGCTTCTCGACTTCACTCTGTCTGCGTTTTTCTGTTGGTATTCTCGTCGGTATAACTTGAGTCTGTCTTTGTTCTTCCGTTTGTATTCTCGTTTGTACGCCTTCACTCTGTCTGCGTTTTTCTGTTGGTATTCTCGTCGGTATAACTTGAGTCTGTCTTTGTTCTTCCGTTTGTATTCTCGTTTGTACGCCTTCACTCTGTCTGCGTTTTTCTGTTGGTATTCTCGTCGGTATAACTTGAGTCTGTCTTTGTTCTTCCGTTCGTATTCTCGTTTGTACGCCTTCACTCTGTCTGCGTTTTTCTGTTGGTATTCTCGTCGGTATAACTTAAGTCTGTCTTTGTTCTTCCGTTCGTATTCTCGGCTTCTCGAATTGAGTCTGTCTGCGTTCTTCTGATAATATTCTCGGCTTCTCGACTTGAGTCTGTCTGCGTTCTTCTGATAATACTCTCGACGGTACGCCTTGATTCTATCTGCGTTCTTCCGTTGGTGTTCTCTTTTTTGAGATTTGATTCTGTCTGCGTTCTTCCGTCGCCATTCTCGCATGTACAGCCTCTTTCTCTCTTTTCTCTCTGCATTCTTCAAGTCCAATTGTGGGCATGATGCGCTGAGCCCGGTGGATGGTCGATGAACTTTGCTGGAAACATTCTGGTATGCATCGTAGAACCGTTTCTTTTCTTCGGTAGCTTCGCCCACATCCAAGGCATTGTTCATCTCTTGCTTCAATTGCAACAGGTCTCCTGTCAGATCAGATGGGAGCTAGCATCAAGTTAGCTGGGCTATAGTTGTTGAGGCCAGTGTATGCTTACTATCTCACATTCAGAATGCTCCCCCAAGCAATGGCCACAATTGGAAGAACTTCCATGGGTAATTTGGCAGTCCAGTAACCTCTCGCCGGGCTTCAGTTGCTTTCCCCATTGCTTGAAACATACGAGGCAGAGCTGGCCTTGTGGCTTTGTGCCTGAAGACTCAGGGGAGCTCGGAGTACGTGGCTCTTCTAAAATATCTTTGGAATCGAAGGGGGTGAGATTGCGCTTAGAGTCAGAATGGTCAAAACTGGCCGTCGGCTCATTTGGGTCAATTTTGGGCGCCAATGGCATCTCAGTATCCTCGCAAGATGGCTCTTGTTTGACACCAGCAGCGGAATTCCATTCGCTCATGCTAGCTGCCAAATCAGGGTCAGGCTTTTCAACCTTGATACATGGCTCAATTGGATCGACCTTGGGGGCCAATGGCATCTCAGTATCCTCACAAGATGGATGTTGTTTGATACCAGTAGCTGCCTTCTGGTCGTCAAGACCAGTTGTCAAATCAGAATCAGGGTTTTCAACCTTGATCGATGACTCAGTTGGGTCGATTGTAGGGGCCAACGGCATTTCAGTATCCTCGCAAGATGGATCTTGTTTGACACCAGTAGCTGCCTTCTGGTCTTGAACAGCTGCCAAATCAGAATCAGGTTTCTCAACCTTGATCGATGGCTCAGTTGGATCGATTTTCGGGGCCAAGGGCATATCGGTATCCTCGGACGATGGTTTTTGATCGACACCAGTAGCGGCCTTCTGGTCTTCAAGACCAGCTACCAAATCAAGGTGAGGTTTCTCAACCTTGATCAACGACTCTTTCGCTACGTCATCCATATAGCTGTTAATGTGTGCTCTTTTCATAGGGGAAATAGCTTTTCTATGGTTTCGCAGACTAACCTTGTTCATCATCATCATCTGGCGTTTTGACTGGAGCATCTCTAGCTCGAGGCTGAATGATGTTTTCCGAGATGCCAGGCTCCTCGAACTCCTGTGTGGTCTTGGGCATCACTTGCGGTGTAGCATTGGGGTCTTGCTTCATCTCTCCGAGCCCCTGCTTAAGGCGATGCTTTCGCTGATGATGCTTTTTGGGGGGATCCATGTTGTGAACCCGGGTTGATGAAGGTAGGGAATGAGGGTGTGTGGAGTGATGAAGAAGAAGGATGTCCGTATGCCCGTCTTTGTTTCTTTAAATATTGGTTTGTTGCTAGTCATGCCACGACTAACAATCCTCTTGGATTGCATAGTGAGATTCTTGCAGCTGGATTGTGTAGCAGCTTTTTCAACTGTAGACGTCTGCCTGATTGGATTGCTTTCTGGTCGTGTACTACGTATGTACCTGCATCCAGGATACAATACAGTAATGTGTTTGCTCAAAAGTCCATAAAAACCAAAGGAAACAAATCTGAAGAACTAAAAGTTATCTATATCCCTGGATATCTCTACTTTCTACTTTTCGGCAATGCCATCGCCTTGTATCAAGATGAACCTACTTGTTCTACATGCAATATTGTAATCATACAACTTCAGGTTGATCTCTCTCAATCTAACAAAACAAAGCTGGGTATCTTTCGCTCATAATGCCCATAACGCCCTTTTTTCTTTGGTTTTTTCTTGGGTCTTTTGGGGTTTTCCCTATTTCCCTTTTTTTCTTTTCAAAAGACAACTCCTCCCAATGCAAATTCATACACTGACAATGTACACAAACAAAAAAATAAAACAAAACAGAAAGAAAAGAAAGAAAGAGAGTAGCTGGAGCTCATCTCACACGGTGAACCCAAAGTAATCCAAAAATGCCCTTACTGGGGCCACAGCAGCAGAACTTTGAGGTGAGACTTACGACACAGCACCTGCCTCTGTCAAATCAATGACATCGGCACGGCTCGCCCCGCCAACTGAGGGGGAGGTGAGCTGAATCTGAGGCTCCGGCTGAGCCGCAAGCGAAGCCTTCTTGCGCTCATCCCGAGCGGTTCGCGCAACCGCTTTAAGAATACCCTGAAGGTATTTCTTCGCCCCCAAGATGAGGGACGGGGCCTCCGCGCTCTTATCCAGCGCCTCTAGCATGCGGCTGATTTGCACGCCTGATTGCAGGTGGGGGCAGGCCCGGCGACCTCCCCAGTGTGCCAGACCGCACAGGCCACAGAACTCGACGCCGGCGAGACGGAGTGGGCAACGCCCAGGGACATGGCGTTGTTGGCAGGCCACACAGGGCGGGAAAACACCTTGGGCACTGTCGGTGCCTATTGGTGCCAATGGCGGCGGGGAATCAATGCGGCGGAATGTGCGTGCTGCTGTGGAATCATGTATATCAACAAAATGTGGCTTTATGCAAGCAATAAGAAACGATAGGGTAGAAATTAAAACCAAAAAGAAAAAGCAGTAACTAGAATGTGCATGGAATTGGAATGAATTAGTTCTTACCTCGCAGTTCTGCGTACACGTCAGGCGCAACTGCGACATCATCTACAGTACCCATTTGCACAGCTCCAGGCTCAGACTCCGTCTCCTCGCCCCCATTTGCAGGGCCCATTGCCTCACCTTCGTGCTCGGATTCGGTCCCAGTATCGTCGCCATCCTCTGGCTGCTGGAACTCATAGTCGTTGTCAGCAGCGCCCTTTCGCATCTTGCTATGCGGCTTTCGGATGGGACTAGGGTTCTCATCGTCGTCGACTCCTTCGATGACGGTACTGTAGCGGGGTGCACCGCGCTTTCTTTTACCGCGACCAAGACCCTCAGCTTGACGGTTAGCCTCCTCTTGCGCTTCACGCTCACGCTCCTGCAAGATTTTTTCCCACGCCGTAACATCCACAGGGGTATCCTCGGTCTCAGTCACTTCTTCAAGGCTACCTCGATCCTTTTGCCACACCCGGGCGAAGTTAAACTGCGCCTGCTCTTTCGTACTTCCCTCGCTGGCCACTTGCTCGGCCTGCTCGGCCTGGCTACGGTCCAACAGCTTGTCAATGGAGGGGATATCGTAAGTAATGTCTGCCGAGTCATCATCATTGAACAGTGCCTGCGCACCATGCTTGAGGATTGACTCCAAGTCCTCCTCATCTTCATCGGCTTCGATGCGATCGATAAGTACGTGATCAAGCGCCATCTTGGTTTTACCTTTCTGCATGATTTTTTCCTCCACTGACGCTCGCACTACCAGGTGGAACACAAGAACGGTATTCTTCTGCCCGATTCGATGGGCACGCGATAGAGCTTGCATGTCTTGCTTTGGATTGAAATCAGGATCCATGATAATGACCGTATCGGCAGTGGCGAGGTTGATACCAACACCACCCGACCGTGTCGAAAGCAAGAAGGCAAAGAAGGGGGAATCCGGCGCGTTGAACTGGTCGATCTGCTGTTGTTTCTCTCTCGAGGACAAATTTCCATCCAGGCGACGGTACTGGAGTCCCAGACCAGTGAGGAAGTCTTCAACGATGTCGAGGTTCTCTAAGAATTGACTGAAGATGAGGACGCGATGTCCACGCCCTTGAAGCCGCGGTAGCATCAAGTTCAGCAACCGAAGTTTTCCGGATGCTTCGACTAAACGCCGAAGGGAAAGTCGGGCATCCATGGTTTGCTCTTCAATGTCCCGGTTGTAAATGAACGGGTGGCAGAGACACTTCCGCAACTGCATGAGGATATTGTTCAAATTATGACGCTCTGCTTTCTTCAACTGCCCAGTTTGCTTCTTGCAAATGGCCTTGATGAGCTGCGGGTTCTTTTGAAGAATTGATTTGTACAGCTTCTTCTGCACAACGGACATCGAAATCGGGATGATGATTTGCACCATCGGGGGGAGGAACGGCAGGACCTCTGCCTTCGTTCGACGCAGGAGACATGGCCGAATCATGTCATGGAGCTCGCGGATGGCTTCCTTATCGAGGGCTCCTCCGTATTGGGCCTCCAACTTCTCGGCATTATGAGTTGGATCGATGAATTGAACCAAATTGAACAGCTCTCTGATATTATTCTGAAGCGGTGTGCCAGTGAGCAGCAACTTGAAACCGAATTTCATGCGACGAAGACGCTCATACAGCTGGGTCTTGTCATTCTTCAGGCGCTGGCCTTCATCAACCACCAAGCCGGCCCAGTTAACACTAGACAAGACTCGCTTGGCCCCATCATCGGCCATGCTCTCGTACGAAGCAATGACCACATGACAACATAGAGTGCCATTCTTGTGGAACATCTCGTGATCCCTGGTCATCTCGCGAGCCAACGCACTGCCATAATAGGTGACAACCCGGACGTCCGGCGACCAGCTCTTGATCTCTCGGCGCCAGTTTGGCACAGTCGCATTTGGGACAACGACCAAGAATGGGAAACAGTCCAGCTTTTCGATCAATGCGGAGAACAAGGTGATGACCTGGATTGTCTTTCCGAGGCCCATATCGTCGGCAAGGATAGCATTCTTTTGCTTGAAGAACATGTAAAGCAGCCAGTTCACGCCATCCATCTGATACTCCATGAGCTCACCACCGGTCACCAATGCAGGCTGAGCGGTCAGAATTAGGCTCTGGTCAAACTCCTCACTGCGAGCATCTCTGAGACGGCTTCGAAGATCTTTTGGCTTCGGGGGGTGGATATCCTCTCGGAGAACTCTGTCGATAAGGGCAGTCTGGAAATCCTCCCAACGAGCTATGTCGGTCTGACTTGGGGATTCTTCCCAAACTGAGTCTTCGTAGGGCAACCCTTTGTACTTGACATATGCCCGCTTAACCATCTCGGCGTTTGCTCGATCCTCTTGAGATTCGGGCTCGCTGTGATATTCCACATCAAAGATAATGTCCACTCGCAGATTGTTTTCGGGGACAGCTTCGACTGTTGTCATGATCGGTTTGGTGGATCTGTCCGATTTGAGGAACGCCTTCATCTGGCCGGCGGGAGCCTTGGACCAGACCCAGTCTCCAGTCAACCAGGTGACACGGAAGTAGGACATCTTGTTCCACTTGACGAGATATTCTTTATCGATCTCTGGAATCATTTCAACCAATCGCGGGACGAGTTTGACTTCGGAATTCTTTGGTCTCCAAGCAACGATCACGTGGATTGGGTTGGCTCCAGGGGGGATTCAGAGCATTCGTTGCACTGCCAATAAGCAGGATCAATGTCGGCACGGTCCCTCTCTGTCATGTTTGGTAGATGCTGGACATGGAAGGCTCGCTTGCAGCTATGACTGCCACCAAGGCATCTGATGAGGACATTGTCGACATTGTTGACACGGGACATATCGACGTGGGTAATCGGATCTATGCCATCGTTGGCTTCACGCAATTGTTGCTCAGTCTGGGAAGAAAGAGTCTCTCGCAAAGGCTGCGCCATGGGCCCTTCATCTCTGCACACGGCACAGTGGCCTAAATGAGGCTTCATGTCATGCTCTTGGTGCTTGATCCCCAAACACCGACTGCATTGGAGAATGAAATCGCCCTCGTTAACCTTGGTGACCAAGTGCTTTCGGCTGCTTCGATCGCCAAGACAACCTTGATGGTATGACACAGTACAACCTTGACAGAAAACCAAAGACCCTTTTTCGATGTCATGATCTTCATAGCCGCATTGGGCACATGACTGGCAGTGGCACAGTCTGAACTCATTATCATCTGGGAGTTCACGGAACTGCTCCCTCGCGCCCGAGAACTTTTGCTTAGGCTGCTCAACTTCGCGCTCGGAATATTCGTCGTCTTCAAGGCGTTCTTTCATGTTGCGCCGACGGGTTTGTCGCAGGCGAGATGATGCTCGTTTGCCTGTATCGGAGGCAGAAGACTGTTCGGACCATTGACGGGTACGTTGCTTTCGGCCCTTCTGCTGTACACCTCTTCTCAGGTAGCGGCGTTTGGTTAGAGGATCATCCTCATCACTGGACTCCTCTGAGTCTTCAATCTGCACGCTGCTGCTTGCTTCACGGCGGCTTTGATGGTCGTTATCGTCGTCCTCATCGCCACTGCGGAAGAAATGATCGTATGAGATTGGTGGTCCACGCCGTTGGCGCCTTCGTGCAATTCCCCAATCCATGTCTGAATCATAGTCTGCAGGACCATCTCCACCTGAGTAAACGAGATCTGAAATGGGTTCATGGTCCATTGCCAGGGGATCAGGGCTCTGTGAGTCGCGATTGAATTCACGCAAAGCCTCCCGTCCGTTCTTGAGGCTTTTCAATTCTTTGATGGTCATCTAGTGAAAGTCATGGTCAGTTGAATGGAGCTTGAGATTGATTGATTGATTGATTGTGTTCACTTACAGTTTGACGTTCACCACTTTTGAGTCTCACAATGAGCTTTGGCTCGTGCATATCGACTGCAAGAATGCGATGAATCTCGAAGTGACCGGGCAAATACTCATAGTCCTCAGGGTTGTTAACCGCTGGGACGATTATCTCAAAAGAGATGGTTGATTCATGTGAGTTTCCAGTGACATGTTGCACTGGCTGAAGGGCATTTTTGGAACCCTCAGGTGGGATGATAGGAGGAGTCGTGAGAGAGGAAGCGCTCTGGAATTGCGCTAGCAATTGTGCAGCCATCGCATCAGGATCATCAGACCCTGGAGAGTTGTCTCTAGATTGAGACATGGTGATTTTCTGATCAGAAGCAGAATCAGAGAATGAAGATGGAGCCGTAGGAACCGCACATGCGGCTCCTACAGTTGGAGATCGAAGTCAAATGAACTGAGATGAGGTTGGAACGATGGTGGAATTGAAGACAGCCAAGCAAGCCTTGCGTTGATTGGATGTCAAATGAAAGATGAGTACGAAGGTACAGGGACAGGGACGAAGGGAAAAGAGAGAGAGAATGAATGAAGATCAGGAAGGAAAGAAGAATGAAGTCGAAATCGACAAGACTGCGCATACACAAAGATCGCGTTAGGGCGCGTTTGAACTCCGATAACGATAAGCTCGGTGGCGGGCAGACGCCTATCGCGCAATCGATATTGAAGTCTGCGGAAAACGGGAAACAGGAGAACCTACGAAGACGGAACTTCTTCGCAATGCTCAGCACTATCTCAAGAACGGGCTTGAATAGTCTTTCAAGAGTTATCAGTTCCTCCCATTCTACAGTCTTGGCTATTCGGCATGCATCATTGAATTCAGCAATTGGAGAGGGTATTCGCAGATCTCAGACCGCAGACAGAGATAATCGTCGCGGCAACGAGTCTCGCTTTCCTAAGCGCGAACGACAATACGAGGGGCAATACGCAGCGCGACAATACGAGAGATCAGGTGAATCAAATTTCAATAGCCGTCAAACAAACGGAGCGCGACAGGACTACGGAAAATCAGACCAATCCAACTTCAACGACCGTCGAACAAACGGAGCGCGACAGGACTACGGAAGATCAGACCAATCCAACTTCAACGACCGTCGAACAAATAGGGCGCGGCAATATGAAGAAGAAAAGCCCGAGAGATCAGGATTCAACTCTAGCATTCAACGAAATTATGGCCAGCGTGAGCGAGAATACGGAGCAAAGAAAGCCTGGACATCAGACGGTGTAGGTCGTAAAGACTATGACCGCCGACAATCGTCATGGAATGACACCTCCCCATCCCCACGACAAAGCCGAAAGGAAGAAAAGTTTGAGTTCGACGAGGATGAGTTCATTCGTTCTGGTGATTTCCGAGGACTTCCCCGTGAACATCAATCCCGATTCCAATCCCGATTCCAATCGCGCACACAAGATGGTCCATTCACACAATCGGGCCGAGGAAGGCCTTCGATGGACGAACCACGGGAGAAGGAGCCAGCAAGACCTAGGGCTCACCGGGTCACGCACAGCATGCCAGAGCGGGTGAAGGACAACGTCAAAGTGCCGGATACAATCCCCTACACTACACCGGCATCTGAGTTCATTTACGGCACCAGTGCCGTGGAGGCGGCGCTACGCTGCAGTCGGCGTCAGCTATACAAGCTCTATATCTATCAGAGCACGGAGGAAGAGCTAAGTGCAGCAAAGGTCACAATCCGCAAACTGGCATTGTCAAAGAACATTGCAGTAAAAATGGCATTTGCAGGGTGGGATCGACTCATGGACAAGATGAGTGCTGGGCGACCTCACAATGGGTGCATTTTGGAGGCATCCCCTCTACCAAAATTGCCTGTGCGTGGTCTCCAAGCTGTTCCATCTATATCCGAGGAGTATTTCCGGACGGAGCTTGCGCCACAAACCCGGGAAGAAGCTGCGGTAAATGGCACCGACGATCGTATCCGAATCCATCATCCTTCCCCGCCCCCGCATGAAACTGAACAACACCATCGATACCCAATTGTCTTGCTATTGGATGGAGTGGTCGATACCGGTAATATGGGCGCCATCATCCGCTCATCATATTTCCTGGGCGTCGATGCAATTGTTCTAGCTGGTCGCAACTCCGCACCATTGTCTCCTATCACCATCAAATGTTCTGCTGGTGCAGCAGAGAATATGCCTATTCTTCACGTGAAGAATGAAGTCGATTTTATTCAGCGATCCCAGCAGAACGGGTGGCGATTCTATGCTGCAGATGCACCACTTCCCGGCTCCATGCACTTGGATCACATCCCGGCTGATGGCGATCAAAGTGGGGCGAAATTGCCCATCACTACTGCGCCGAGTGTCATAATGATGGGCAGTGAGGCTACTGGATTGAGCTCGCATATCAAGTCGCATGCAAATGCAATCATCAGTATTCCAGGCGCCCGGCAGAGTTCCATCCTGGGCGTTGAATCGGATCCTGCCCGCATCGACAGTCTGAATGTGAGTGTCGCCGCCGCGCTACTGATGGAGAAGTTCCTGCGAACCCCCATTACTGTGGGTGAGATTGTCAAGAAAGAAAAGAACACGGAAAAGAACGTGGGAAAGGAGAAAATGTGGTAATTTGACTGTAAAATCTATGTATTCTAGCACACTGCATCTTTGTACAATAGCACATAATTGGAGTTTTTTGATTTGAAGTTCTTTGTTCTCGATTTGTTCTGAATTAGGGTTAACTACACCGCATCTTGAGGGAGTAATCGAGGAATCCTCCTCATTTTTGAGACTAATGACGTTTCATTCAAAGCAAAACAAAACCAAAGCTCAAAACATAGATCCACGCACATTCAGATAAAAACTTTCCGGTTGAGATATACCGAAACTCGTCGCCGAAGTCGGTTTGTGGGGAACAAAACCGGGATCTGCGGGGGAAGATCCGAAGTCTCTTTGAGAAAGTTCCTTAAGAAGTCAGTTCCCTTCAACCCTAACTCGAAGGTGTATGTATTTATATTTAGCTTGTGGACTCACTAGCAAATTATCACTCCATAGGAAGATCCCTGTCGCATATTCATCGAACCATCCCCACCATGATCCCAGAAAAACAGATCCCAACCACAGCATTCGTGGTTGAGAAGCCAGGAGCTCCTTTTGTTCTTCAAGAGGTTGTTCTTGATGAAGTCCGGACGAATGAAGTTTTGGTTGAAATGAAATATACCGGCCTTTGCCATACAGTATGTATCAGCCAATCCGCAATGAACTTCTCCAAGTAAACGATACTAACAAAATAACCTTAGGACATCGTCGTCCAACAGGGCGCAATCCCTATCGGTGATTATCCTGCCGTACTAGGCCACGAGGGTGCCGGAATCGTCCGTCGCGTCGGCAGTGGCGTCAAAGACAAGTCCCTCCAAGAAGGCGACCTCGTCTTCCTAAGCTTCAGTTCCTGTCACGAAGCATCATGCAGTCCCTGCAGCAAAGGCCGAAATGGATTCTGCGGCCAGGTGACACCGATTAACTTCGCCGGTGCTCGAGGTCTCAGCGCTGACGAGTCGCCCATCTCTTTCCCTGGTGGAAAGGGCCCAATCCGCGGCCAGTTCTTCGGCCAGTCCTCCATGAGCAAGCTGGCTGTAGTTGACGAGCGGTCGGTCGTCAAGTCTCCTTCGGGGTCTGGAGTCACGGTTGAGGACATGGCGGTCCTTGCCCCTCTTGGCTGTGGATATCTCACTGGTGCTGGCACCGTCTTCAATGTTCTCAAGCCCACACCGAAAAGTAGCTTTGCTGTTCTTGGTATGGGCGCTGTTGGGGTGGCGGCTATGTTGGCTGCCCGGTCTCTGGGAGTTGAAACCGTTATCGCGGTTGATATTGTTGACGCGAAACTCGAGCTGGCGAAGGCTCTTGGTGCATCGCATACGTTGAACACGAGGAGTGTATCGGACCTTGCACAGGGGCTGTTGGATATATTCCCAGATGGTGTTGACTGTATTCTCGACACCACGGGTGTAGTTCCTCTTCTCGAGGCTGCGGTCAAAGCTTTGGGCCATGAAGGTACCCTAGCTATTGTGGGTGTTGCTCGTGCTGGATCATCCCTCAATATCGATCCTTTGGCACTCATGATGTCTTGCAAGCGTGTTGCTGGTGTGATTGAGGGCTGCGCGAATCCCGCTGTGGTGAGTCTTTTTTTTTACAGTCTCTTGAGTCGTGGCTAATTTGTCGTCGTCGCTGTTTGTCCAGATTGTCCCACAACTGATTGATCTATATAAGCAAGGGAAATTCCCGGTCGATAAGCTTGCTAAGATCTATGCCCCGGAAGACTTTGAGCAAGCCATGGCAGATTTACACTCAGGAAGTGTAAGTGCTCCACAATCAATGTTTCGATGAGACAAGCTAACAGATTCACTTCCTGCAGGTTATCAAGCCCATCATCAAATGGGCAGACCTGTGATGCCATAACTCGAATATGTATATGAAGGCGCTTTTCACTAGGAGGTGGTTGGGATTGTTTTCTATAATTAGATCGTAGCATGTTTCTCTTCCTGTTCATATAGCGGCAAGTAAATCCCATAGTAAATGAACATCTGGAATTTCTGGGTGTGTATCACAAGCAAGTCCTACCTATAGCCCGATATTACATTACGCATATGTCTAACTAGACTCAGAAGGCACAGAGAGATTCTGATGCAGCTCCTTTCGCTGCACAGCACCAAAGCGAAGATTGCCGGCATCGAAGACCTAACCATCGTATTAGCTTATGCGACTGTGAACTCGCAAAAATATATCACTCACTGCATATATAGCCTTCAGGAAGGTATCCCCTAGAATGTCCATGGTCATAGTACCACGACTCTGGATACCTCCATAGACATAACCAGACTTAGCCTCAGCAAATCCTAGATCTTCCTTCTGCACAACAAATTGCTTATCACCAACAGCAAATGATATAACAGGCAATTTATCAGCCGTTGTGTTGGATGGAAAGATCCATCCCTGGCTGTCATTGTCATACTCTGCCCCGGGGATAGCATCATAAATGGCCTGACAAGTTTCATCATCCACCAACGCCAAGGTAGTCCCCGTATCAGCAATTGCCTTGTTCCCAGTCCGGGAAACCGACTTCCCATTCACCGTCGCCGAGGCAGAATCGAACATCCAAAACCCCTGACTGTTATCAACAGGCGTGTAGGTGATCTCTGCCTCAGCGGCCTTCACCGTGTCCTGATCAATATAACCAAAAGTATAGAACGACTCGCCCTTATCCGGCTCATCAGAATCTCGCCATGAGCCCAGCTTCGCGGTGAAGAGCTCAGCCGACTTCGGGATATCGGCCTGCGAGATCATATTCTCCACAGGCGTGCTCACTGCCTGAGGCTTGACGGTATTGATATTACCGAACGCAAGCCCCAGCAGCCCATCTCCAGCACCTTGTGCGAATTGATCAGACAATATATCAGCGACCTCAACAGCCTGGCCTTTGACCACTAGCCCGCCAATGTTGACATTATCGTTGCCGACCGTGCCAGAGGCAGAAGAGCCATCGCCGTACTTGATCTGCCATGTCGAGCCGTCTTTCTCTTTGAACGTGCTCGATTTGGTCGGATCGAAAACTGTGTGATTCTTGTTCTCTGATAAAGTCTTAGACGGTAACTCCGTGGACCAGACCTAGACAATCTTAGCAACCTTCACATCACACCGAGAGTAACGAAAGAAATTTACTTACCCACAGATCCGCAGAACCAGTATCGAAGTCCAAATTGAGCGTCTGCGCAGGTGTGCCAATACCAATTTCTGCAAGATACATCGAGTCATTCTGCACATCGTGGGCACCCACTTGCCCAACTTCATCGCTAACAGCGTCCTTCTTCTGCAGGACCTGCTGCAACCGAGCACGGCCTCCCACGGGCTTATTAGTGAACTGCCGGCCAGTTTGAACCATTGTGGTCCCGAGGAAATATGGGCCGTCCTTAGTTGGGGTGAATCGATACTTGCGCATGGCGTGCAAGTACGACTTCGTGCCAGACTTCTGGTAGTGCGGGTTCGCGATGAGGTTGATTCTAGTCATGGTGGGGTGTTTGGATTGTTATGATTTGAGAAGTTTGAGGATGGATTGCTAGAGCTTGGGGGCTCCTTAAGTATTTATGCTAGAATATGATCATGCAATGAACTGGGGTGTTTGAAACAAGCGTCGTCATGGCTTTTAAATAATGCGATGTCTAGCGAGGAGGCTAATCATTTGCCAGTTTAAGGGAGGCGAAGTCCAGAAACCTGCATTCCGTCATTGCGGATGACTTAGAGCTAGTGTTGTTTCAGCGTGATGGCGCCAGGTGGTATCCGATCTGCACGGTGATGCGGACTCCGGTCAGGCGGGGGATTTCTGAATATGCAGGGATTAGACAGGGATTATACAGGGATTATACAGGAAATATACGATAAGCCTTTGGAAGTAAAACGAGTAACTCTATTTCAATTACAAAAGTACATTAAAAGATCATCTGCGCCGATCCTGACGAAACCGCCCCCAATATCCGAATCACCAATAACAACCTTAGCAAACTGGGAACGTACACACACCCGTGGACCTTCAATCCACACGATTACCTCTTGCGACTTTTAGACTTGGTTGCAGCAGCACTGGGAGCTCGAGAACTTGCGGCAGAGGCAGTCTTGCTACCACCCTTGGTGGCTTTGACCTGTTTGGTCGGCTGTAAAAAAAAAGTTAGAAACAAAATAATAGATAATCCATCAGATAAAACTTACAGCAGCTCCATTCTTGGCCTTCTTCTTAGCAGGGGGCGCTTCTTCCACCTCTTCCTCCTCATCACGCTCACGACCGCGGCCTTTGCCCTCACTGCTGGGCTCGAATTCCTTCGCCACGGTGTTCAGCAGAGTAGTGCAGCGGCGACCAATTTCCACCGGTGTACGACTGAGCATGAAGAAATCGAATCGGAACAGAGGCGATTCACGGATCTCTTCACGGATGTTTTCATACAAATTCTCACCCTCGACTCCATACTTGTCTAGCATGATTAACAAGAATCGGTCCTCATCCTCGGTGTAAACCTTTTTGTTGGTAGTGGACACGGTGTAGTTGATCTTGAGCTGCTGAAGCGGCACGCGGTACATCTCCAACTTCTTGCGGAGCATCTTCCGCTGGTGATCTATCTTCCGCACCTTCTCCTCACCCTGATCGATGACTCGGAGGTACTTAGGATAGTCCTGGATCTCGGTGTATCGGCGCCAGAAGACTTCGGCATATTCTTTAATCTCATTGGGCTCCTTGCTGTCCACTTCAGTAGCAATACCCTTGTAGTCGGTGCGACCAAACTTGGCAGATCCATTGATAAATTGCTGGAAATCGCGACGGTTCCAGGTTGCAAAGCCTTCTTCTGACATACGAGCTTTCTCGGCTTGTTCTTCCTCAGTAAGCGGGATAGAGTTGTCAATCTCCTGTTGTTCAAGGTCCCGCTCAGCCTCTCGCTCACTGAGCTCCTCTTCGGGGCCTTCAGGCAATTGAGCCTTGTAACCAATTTCCTTGTGGAAATAGGCGGTCTCCTTCTCTTGAAGCTCGTGGAGACCAGGAGGGAAGAATTGCCAGTCGTGGACAGTGATTTGTTTAGGAGCACGTGGGACCTTGGGCTTTGTATCGGCGGTTCGGCCTCCAGTGGCCAAGGCTTGACGGTAATATTTGTCGATGGAATAGAATTGCTCTTTGCGCTCACGCTTGGCTGGATTGATCCAAGTGATGCCAATATCCTTCTTCCGCTCGGTGAAATCTTTGCCGTTCCATTCATATGCACTCTCAGAGGAGAACTTCTGCAAGTCATCAATGCCGAGGGTCTCGTACTTCTTGCTGAGCTCTGCGGTTCGTTCTTCACCTTTACGCAGGATAGTCTCGATATCCTCATCTTCGGCCATCTCGGTTGCATCTCCACCCTTGGTGTTGAAGACGTTGGCAGCACCGTGCTGAATCATGCCAAGGAGGTCGTCTTTCGAAGACGCTTTGCCGGCCTGTTGTCCGGAACGACCTTGTTGAATGACAAGCTGATCCAAGCGCAGTTTCTGAGCTGCTCGCTCCAAAACCTTCTCTTCGATGGCGTTCTCTGTGATAAAGCGGAAAACTTTAACCTGCTTGGTTTGACCAATGCGGTGAGCTCGGTCCATGGCCTGCAAATCAGCTTGCGGGTTCCAGTCACTGTCGAAGAGAACGACGATATCGGCCGAGGTCAAGTTGATACCCAGACCACCCGCTCTGGTGGTAAGAAGGAAAACGAATTTGTCGGATCCAGGTTTGTTGTAGTCATCAATGGCAGCAATGCGGTCCTCATGTGCCGTGGTACCATCGATACGGCAGTAGTTGTAGTCTCGGAAACAACAGTAATCTTCCAAGATATCCAGTACACGACTCATCTGAGAGAAGATAAGCACACGACTACCATCCGCTTGCATGCGCTTCAAAAGTTTGTCCAGAATGGCCATCTTTCCCGAGTTAAAAACAAGATGCTCATCGGTCGTATACGGAGGACCTGGTTCAGCTCCCTCGAACAGGTAGGGATGGTTGCAACACTTCCGCAGTTGCATCACAATGTTCAAGAGGCGGGTCTTGGACTCGCGCTTGCCAGCGGCGCCGTTAACGGCGTCAATATCTTTCTCTAGAATTTTCTGGTACCACCTCCGTTGCATTTCAGACATTGGGACATATAGATTTAGTTCCTTCTTCGGCAGCAAACTCTTCTCGACATCACTCTTCACACGTCGAAGCAAGAAAGGACGGAGAACACGGTGGAGTTGCTGTACCACGGTGTCTTGGTCGGATTCTTGGTTTGAGAACCATTGGTCAAATGCATCCGAATCGCCGAAGACATCTGGGAGAAGGAAGTTGAGCAAAGCCCACAGTTCATGCAGATTGTTTTGTAGCGGAGTACCAGTAATCAACAACCGATTGCGGGAGTTGAAAAGACGGATGATTTGCGACAACGATGATTCTTCGTTTTTGATCCGATGAGCCTCATCGATGATGATGTATTCCCAAGCAAACTTCTTCAAGGCCGACTTCTCGCGGAGGATCATTTCATAACTGGTGATGCAGACATCGAACTCCTCCTCAACTAATCGCTCATTGATCAACTGCTGTCGTTCTTCTTTGTTACCTTGGAGCACCAGGACATCGATGTCAGGTGTCCACCTTGCGAACTCTCGCTTCCAGTTGTCCAGGGTTGACTTCGGCACGACGACCAAATGAGGCCCGTTGATATCACGGATGTAACGTAGATAGCCCAGGAACGAGATCGTCTGCAGGGTCTTGCCGAGACCCATCTCATCGGCCAGGATACCGGAGATACCGTTCTCGTGTAGGGAAACGAGCCAGTTCAAGCCTGCAACCTGGTAATCACGTAGCTCGCCGTGGATGAATGCTGGCGACTCTCGAAAGACGGTGGTGCTATCGCCCCCCTGCTTCTCATCTTGTAGCAGCTCTGCGTCTTCTTCTTGTTCGGTCCTGCGGCGCCGCTCACTGCCTGCACCCCCAGTGCGCTTAGTGCCCTTGCGGGCCTTTTCCTCTGTCTCTGCATTTTGTCGGTCGATTTCCGCCATAACCCCCTTGATCTGAGGGTTTGGGTTCGTCTCGATGAAGTGGCGAAACAGGTCAGTGAGACCGAGAAGGTATCGGAATCGGCGAATCGAATCATCCTCCTGCGAAACATCATGTATCAGCAAAGGGGTCGTCAGCAATCTTATGTTATCGCCCATACCTTCGTACTATCGAGTCGGCCATGCTTCTTGCCTAGGATGCTTTTTCTGAGGTGGTTGGCCTCGGATCTGCGCCTACGTCCATCGGCCGCGGCGTCGCCCGCAACGCTGCTTGCAGTGGTGTTGGCATTTGTGTCAGAGTCCTATTCAAATAATTAGCAACTTGCCCTATCGAATACAGCACTGTAGACCAAGGGTATCTTTACCGTGTAATCTGGGGTGTCTTGGCGGCTCTAGATTGCGAAAGAAAATTAGCATGAGCTTGAAGCGAAAAAGGCAAAGACACATATGGGAAATGATGCAGCAATTTGTTCTAGACAAGTGAGTAGGAACAACCTCACATACCATTTGCGCGTCGACACTATCCACAGGCACCGAAGGGATTGTGTCGTCATTTGTATCAGTCATGGGAGTATCAGCCTGCGAGACCGGATCAGACGCGAGGGCAGGAGCCATGATTTATCTTTGGTTAACAGAGTGCAGGTGTGTTGGCTGTTTAAACACGTCTTTGAACGTGCAACAAAGAATATCGGAAGCTCGCGACTAGTCGGATCGCGTAGTGCAGGAAGAAAGAACCAGCTGCGGTCGGAGTGGTGAGGAAGTGAGGGTGATTGTCCAAATATAGTCCAGGGTGAATTCAAAAGGTGGAGCAACTCATCAATGGGGGTCCCATAGATTGAATGCTATTGAACAATTCTAGACTAGGATTCTTGAGGGTATTCAAAGCGCGTTGATGGCAAATGAAGATACCGCCTTTCGGTAGGGCCCTACGGTATGGAATATAGTTATTCCGTCGGAAAGTGGGCTTCTCGTTACCGGGCCAGGGCGGTCATCTGCAACAACCTTGAAATTGAAAGTTCCTCCGTTGACACATCTTGGTGCTTATTGTTGCACAGCTGGGTGAACAACTACCTTGATATATCTGATTCTGGCTGCCTTGGCTCTTGCCTTTTTTCTTGTTAGAGTTCCTCTCATTCCCACTGCTCTCTTTCACCACCTCCAAGCTCTTCGGTATCGCCATTTGTCCACTAACGAACGACGAACCACGCACGGCATAAGAACTTGTTAACACAAACATTTTCGTCCTCAAAACCATTGCCCAACAGGGCCTCGACATTTTTCCCTGCCATGGACTCCATGAGGTCCCTCAACACCTCTCTTCCGACCTCGACACCCCGCCCGCAACCTCCGGAGCAACTCCTCCAGCAATTCAAGGCGGCGGCTCTGTCTGTCACCAACCTGTACAAGAATGCAGTATGTGAGCAAGCTCAGGCAAGGTCATCAGGATACCAGGATGCGTTAGAGGATCTGCTTCACTTCCTTGACCGTGAGAACCTCGGTCTCGGAGACGGAGAGGGGTGGAAGGTTCGACAATGGGCAACTGAAAAATGTGACGGAACTGGATCACAAAGCAGCGATGAAGACGCAGAGGCCGACAAGCGTGACCGAAGTGCTACTCCAGCTACTGCCCGCAAAGAAAAACCTACAGCCGAAATAATTCCTCGGCAGACCCCCACTTCAGCGCCCGTACCCGCATCCAAGCCAGAGTCGATCACTCCTCCCACACAACTCCACGAAACACCTTCTTTCGCCACACCTGCCGTCTTCACATTCTCTGCTGGTCCTACATACCCCCAGTGTCAAGAGCTTGACATGGATGTGCAGTCATCAGACAACTCATCTGCGACCATGCAGGACGGTGCTCCTGTGAGCGTCTCAGTGATGCCTCGCAACAGTCGACCACACCATCGTCACAACAATCACCCGCGATCGAATGCGCGCCTTTCGCCACGGGAGTCCCCCGCTAGTCTTGGGTCCAAGAGGAAATTCACTTTCCCTGATTTCTTCGATCTGTCAGGGCTTAACAACGGACGAGATATGTCAGGAGGGGTGGGAAACGAGGCCGCTTTACCTAGGGCTTGACCCGGATAAAGTATTATATGATGACGAAGTGACGACCATTCCCTTCTGATTGTCACGCAGTGGCTGGTTGAGATTTCGGGTATGAAGGTGCTTTTCGGGTGCATAACAAGGAAGGGACATTTTGCATATGGTTTCGTTTTGTTCTTCTCTTCCTTGGGTTTCTTTTGATGTCTTCTTGTCTCTTTTTCTTATTTTTTTCCCTTCCCCTTGTGATATAGCATATAGACGGATATGCCTGTGGTGATACCCGATACCCGGAGTGGCAATTATCATTGGCTTGCAACTAAATAACAATCAATATCTTACAAAGCTTCCAACCTGCACTTCGCTATCAAACAACTAGCCTGCCCGACCCCGGCCTTCATCACATCCCATATGCTTTAGTATGTGGTTAATGTACAATGCTCAATTAAACGCCCGCCACAGCCCCATTCCCACCAATGTCGCAGAGATCGAGGCAATCCCCAACTTGCGCGAGCCCATTTTGTATTTTGTAGCGCCTTGCATGATGGCCTTCTCTTGTTTCCGGAGATTGGTCATTCCAGTGTAGTAGCTGTAGACTCCGAGGCCAATAAAAGCAGCAGATCCTGTTGCGATGTGTCAGTACCAAATACTGGTAATACCAGCCCGAATCACAGGCTAAAAATAAACATACCAGTCACTCTGCAGGACAGACAGTCGTCGTACTTGTCCTCGGCCAGAGCCTGCTTGGCGTCTTTTGGCTGGGTATCCATGGTGCACTTAGCAGAGGAGATGTGTATATAGAGCTTATTCGATATCGTTCAGAGCGGGAACAAGAAATAAACGCGCACCGTATCACCAGAGCCCGGTTACTATAAGTTGATGTCTGGTGTCTCCAAAAAGTTATCGGAAGGCGGGAATCCGCGGCAAAACACGAGAGCTATGCAATCTACGGCGACACAGTAATCTCATCATCAGACAACTGCCACCATGAGCGGCGAGATTGATGCCGTTTACGTATATGACGAGCTAAAGTGGGATATTCCGCACCGGCTTGCAAGACCACACTAACCCGTCCTCCCTAGCGCCCCTCTCATCGAACATGTATATCGATCCCGCCCGCCCTCGGCCTCCGCCATCCTGCCCCTCTACCTTGCGCATGCCGAACCACGCCCTTCCTTGCTGTACATTCCCAGCGCTTCACCGCCGGTGACGGTATTCTCGACGGTAGAGTCGAATCTGTTGTTTCTTGCAATAAGCGAAGTCGATACGGAGCCGCTTCTAGCACTGGAGTTCCTGCATCGCGTGATCGATGTACTGGAGGACTTTGTTGGAGCGCCGCTGCTGTCAACTAAGATCCAGGCCAACTACGATGTTGTTGCGCAGCTCCTCAATGAAATGTGTGATGGGGGAACGGTATGCAACACCGAACCCAATGCATTGCAGGAGGTTGTTGAGGTTCCCGGGTGGATGGGGAAGCTGTTAGGCGGAATCGGAGTACCTGGGTGAGCAGCTCTTGACTTGACCAACGATATTATTTGGTATTAATGATTTCGCGTGCGCTTTAGTACATCTACGCCAACGCTAGGATCTACCAATCCTCTCAAGCAATCTCTCGCCACCGCCAGTGCATCACAAGGACCCGCCATTCCTTGGCGACGGCCCGGTGTACGGCATACCTCTAATGAGCTATATGTCGACATCATCGAATCTCTCTCTGTTACTATGGCTCCTTCGGGCCGACTGCTGTCTGCATTGGTATCCGGGACCATTGCATTCACTGCGAAGATATCGGGAGTCCCGGACCTACTGCTATCGTTATCCGCGCCGGGTGGCCAGCATGTGCTTGGCCGCAAGATCGAACTACCGGTCTTTCATCCGTGTGTTCGACTAGCTCGATGGAAGGAACGGCCGGGTGAGCTCAGCTTCATACCCCCCGATGGGCGGTTTATCTTGGCTGGATATGAAGTGGATCTCCTTCCCATTGATCCCGACCTGGATGAGCCACCAAGCCATATGGAAAAGCTTTTCCTACCTGCTGTTGTGGATATCCGTAAATCACTCGGGTCATCTGGCTCCGAGTTTGAGGTTCGACTGACTTTGAACTCAAATTTCCCGGGCCAAAGCTCATCTTCGCGGCCTGGAGCTACCCGAAGCGGATCCGGCACATCAACGCCGGCATTCCTAGGTGGGGGCGGAAGTGGAAGCTCCGGACCGGCACTTGAAGAGGTTGTTGTTAGCGTACCGATTTCAAAGTCCGTCCGCCATATCACGGACATGCAGGCCAGCCGTGGTGACGCTCAATTCACACCCTCAACCGGGCTCCTCGAGTGGCGGATTCCCACAGGCAAGGATGCCGGAACATTGACTGGCACTGCCACACTGCGTTGCAGTGTCTCAGGCTATCCATCCGCTGATGACGACCTTGATGACAGCGTCGAGGATGCCGACGAAGATGCCAATGCCAACCTCCTGCAAGGCTACTATGAGGCGCCTACCTCCTACAACGATGTATCCGCCAGTACATCGAAGAAAACCCGATCCTCGGACCCCTCCAAGCGCAAAAAGAAGAAGAAGAAGTCAACAAAGAAATCCTCCCGCTCCGCTGCCTTACAACCAGAAGACGCGGAAGAAGATCCCGTTGCAGCTACAGCTACCGCCCCATCCCCAAATCCCTCCATACCTCATACCACCACACCCCCTCTCCAATCACAATCCCAGTATAACGCCCACCTCCCTGCATTCTTCGCCCCGTCATCAACATCCCGCCCCGCGCGCAGAACAAAGGCCCAGGTCAACGCAAGCCTGATGCCTAACTCGGCGTCAGTATCCTTCTCCGTGCGAGGCTGGCTTCCCTCTGGTATCAAAGTGGACAGTCTCAACATCGACCAGCGTCGCAGTCGCGGCTTGGGCGAGAATGTCAAGCCGTACAAGGGTGTCAAGTACCTGTGTGTGAGTAATCGCGGCGTGGAACGGCGCTGCTAGAGCCGGATGTACTTGATTTAGTTTCTTCTTTTTCGGTCAGATGAACCGAGGCATTGGTCTGGTCTGGATAGCGCATTCGATAATCACTGCGTTTGACAGCATGAATGATGATATGAATGTTGGATCTGTCTATGTTTTTCAATGTGGGTTTACCTTGCTGTAATGTCGTAGGCTAGGCTCCCTTGCCCCTTCTATGCTTCCTCTATTGTGGAATATAAGGCCCCAATACCAATGCGATGATGTCTAGATAAACTACACACTCGCTTACAGGGCAATACACCTCCAAGACAGCCAAAAACATAAATGAATTGCAAATTAAATGGCTCAAATATTCGAAACAAAAGCATCACCTAGGATAAGAGAGCGATTAAATCCAAAAAGCACTCACCTACATGGCAAATTATTTTACTACAGTAGAAAGATCCCGAAGTCGTCCGCACATGCTACTAAATCCAAGCCGAAGTCCAACTTCTCCCATACCAAGACAAGGAGTGATCAGCACCGAAGCAGTAGATCCAAGCGGGGTATCCAAGTTCAGAAGCGTTCACGTTCACAATTTCGAAGATCGGCGTTCGAGGACCTGTAGGACGATGTAGGCAACTATTACGGGTTAGACTGTGATTTCCAAAAGGTTTGATAGGTATGATCTGCGGATTGATAGATTGGAACAAAGTGAAGACGCAATAGAATGACAGGGGACAAGAAAAAAAGGTAAGATTCATTAATATTCACAGATTATGAGCTTATTCTTTTTTCTCGATTCCGGGGGTATGACAGTATGTTCAAAGAAAGGAGGTAAAATGGTGAAAATGAAATGGTAAAGATAGACATCCTCGGAGGGGATAGAACAGTATTAAGCCAGTACATGAGACATGAGATTGGGGGTATATAGGATAGGCAGGGGATTATGCGTCTTCATCGGCTGAACCATATAAAGCCACAGACGGGGGTTGGTATAGGAATCTCAGATGTTAGTTCTCCTCCTGATCCGAAGGAGAAAAGTCTCCAAGACAGACTAAACCCACCCACGAGACAGATATGTGCAAGATGTGGAAAATATTCACAGAAATGGCAAAAGAAAGGTGCAGGAAAGTATAAAGGATTACTTACTGGCAGCAAGAGCAGTAGCTCTAGCGGCTCCAGCCTTCGCACTGCCTCCACCCAAAGTGAAGATGCAGCGCAGCCAGCCGAGACTCAGCTTGTTGCCGTTGCGGTCAAAGTCGGGGTGCAAGGTGCTGGCAGCATTGAACTTGCTGATCTTTCCGGCGTACGGTGGGTATCGGATAGCCAGGACAGACTCCAGCCAGCTTGGGGTGGAGGTGATGGGGCGGCGGTGCACCCAGACATCAAAGCTGGAGCGGCCGCGGTAAGCACCGTAGCCACTTTCGCCGACACCGCCGAAGGGCAGGGTTGGGATGTGCAGCGCAGCGTCATTGCAGGAAACGCCGCCAGAGCGGGTGGAAGACACAACTGGGAGAGAGGGTTAGTATAGCCGTCTTTACTGGGTATCGGATACAGGACAGGAAAAAAAAGAGAAACTTACTCTTCTCGACATCGGCCTTGTTACCGAAGGGGTAGAGACCCAGCGGCGTGCTCTGGACACCATTGGCCAGCCTGATAGCCTCGTCGAGGTTCTCCACAGGCAAGATGGGGATGAAGGGACCGAAGCTCTCCTGCGAGCACAGGGAGTCATCAACCGAGTCAACCTGGACAACGGTCGGCTCGATGAACAGCTCCTTCTCATCCATGGTGCCACCCATAAGGATCTGGCCCTTGGTATTATCAAGCATGGACTTGAGACGAGCGAAGGCGGTCTCGTTGACGATGCTCGCGTAATCAGGCGAGCCCTTAGCACCCTGGGGGTAGAACTCCTTGTACGCATTCTTGAACTCCTGTACGACCTCCGGAACGAGCGACTTGTCGACCAGGATGTAGTTCTGCGAGGTACAGAGCTGGCCGGCGTTCAGGAGCTTACCCCAGAGCATGCGGCGGGCGACGAGACGCGGGTTCGCGCTCTTGGACACGATGGCCGGGTTGATACCGCCTAGCTCGAGCACGACGGGGGTCATATGCTGGGCAGCGGCCTTGGCGATGATGCGTCCGACGGTGGCGCCACCTGTGAAGAAGATCTTGTCCCACCGTTCGGCAAGCAGGGCTTGTGTCTCGGGGATACCACCCTGGATGATTGTGTAGCACGAGGGGTCGAGACTCGCCTCGATGATCTTCTGCATGAGAGCCGCGCTGGCGGGAGCATTTTCGCTAGGCTTGATCACCACTGTGTTTCCGGCGGCGATGGCACCGATGGCGGGGCCGAGAGTCAATTGGAAGGGGAAGTTGAAGGCACTAGAGTGGAACGAGCAGCCTGTTAGCCTTCGAGGAATTCTCATGCGCATCGCCAGGGGGAGGGGAGCTTACCCAATGACCAGCACAGTGCCCAGAGGATCCTTTCTGATCTTGGGGCTCATGAACTTGAAGGCGAGATCGATATCGGAGGCCTTCTCATCCTTGGCCCATTTGTGCAGGTTGCGCGTCGTGAAGACAATGTCGTTCAGGAGCCATCCGCTCTCTCCCAGGTTGGTCTCGAACCGAGGCTTGTGCAGGTCCTGGGCGCAGGCCTCCATAATGGCCTCTTCATTATCTTTGATGCTGGGAAGGTGTTAGTTAACTGACAGGAAAGATAAAAGAGGTCAGTACTCACGCCCAGTACAGCTTGCGCAGCTGGACGAGGCGGAACTCCAAGTCGCGGGTCTTGTTCTCATTAAACGCCTTGCGGGCCGTGGAAACGCGCGCGGGAATCTCCTCAAGCGAAGTAGCTTTAAATTCCGGTAGTTCGACCATGATGAAGATAAATTAAGATAAATTAAGGTCAAAATAGAGAAGGGAAAAAGTGCGAGGTTGTCTACGGGTATATAAGTGGGTGTGGGCGCTCCCCGCTCCATACCTAACAGGATCTACAACAGCCATGCCCGGCTAAGTAAGTGCCTAGGCAATTCTATTAATTCTACTATGTGGCTCTGATATAACTAAATACTCGTACTATGTACTATACTACCGTACCCCTATTAGTTTCAGGCCCCGCACATGCTCCGAGCTCTCGGCATATCCTGGTTTTGGTCTTTGCGCCGGTCTTGACTCCTTTTTTTTTTCTTTCTATGTTTTTTTTTACTTTGAAGATATTAATTCAAGGAGTAATTTCAACGTCTATCTAGTGTTACCTCTAGGGTTGTACAATATATAGAAGTACATGCATATATGAAGGAACCGCGGCTTCACACGAACTCCCCCGCTCGAAACAATATGATCCGCATGAGCCCTGGGAGGTTTTCTGCAAATCCCGTTCTGTTCTAGACGAATCAAAAAAGTGGGGACAATCTTATTACCTAGGTAGCTTGGGTTCACGAAGTCTATTATTCGTAAGCATATCACCGACATATAAAAAGACATGTAAAAGGACTAGAAAAAGGATCATAAATCATTAAATTGGGGTATCAAAAAAAAAGCGTAGACGTAATCCACTTCCAAAAGGTTATAATAAAAAAAATGCGCCCCTCCTTCCAAGGCTGTTCAGGTGGTGAAAGATTCATGAAGTCAGCTATTGTTCTCCAGGGTCTGGATCCTGTCCATTCCGTCAGATGCGCACCAGCACAGCTGGGCAGAAACAAATTCTATGTACTGTTGATTGGTCCAGTTACCATCGTAAGGCATGCCTCATGCGCCGAGTTTCACGCTCAAAGCAAGTAGAGCGCTTGTTAGGGGTCTTTCCCCATGCCTCGGTCGCTTGCTCCGTTTTTGATTTGGCGACATAGATTCCAGCGGAGGACGTCTTTCTTGGAACTGTGCTCGCTCAAAATAAATGTACATTACCCGACCGCTGTCCTCATTCCAGACCATGTTCCCGGGAATTGGATCATTGTGGAGCACGCCTAATCCATGAATAGCATGTAACGAGACTTCGGCTTGTCGAATTAACCAATTTTGTTCAATTTCGTGTCGCTTAGCCAGCGTCCTTCCCGCATACCCCATCAACATCAAATGCACAATCTCCGCGATGCCGTCGTAAGAGAATGGTTGACGGAGAGGTAAGCCACCCGGTAGAACTGGCACGTGCACCCCTTGTATTGGACGAAGGCGCGAATATACGCACTCCTCATGTTGGGCGTGTTCAACAAACTCGATAGGCGCGCCTTTGCCAACGAAAGTATACCCGTGAGACAACAAAGTCACTTTAAAAAGGGCTCCGCATGTGCCATGAATAGGCAAGGACTCGCATCCTAACTCCAAGTCAGGCCGCGGGTCATACCCGGAGAGTTGCCGATCCAAGAGACGAATGACTGACGCCTGGCTGATTGAATGTCGGCCAATTCCATGGTCTAGCACATTGGGGCATTTCTGATCCAATGTCCCTCTCGTCGCCAAGCCTAAGAGGCACCGTTGCGTACAATACTGGCGTGCCCTTTGAGGAAGAGCCTTCTCGTGACATTGTTGCAGCTGATGATAGTGGTAAGGTTGAAAAATCGGTGAAGCGGGAATCGTGGGGCCTTCGACTGGGAGTATTTGAATCGGATCCGTTGGGGGAATCATCAGACTCGGATGAACTCAGAGCCCCCAACGGAGTGCAGGATGCGAAACTTGCAACAGTAGACTTTGATAGTGTCTTGACAGGAGACAGGCGACAGTATTTGTTTCTGCTCTGTGGGGACTTGAATGCTGAAGAGGGCACATCCAGCTCCGATATTTCGCCCACAAGATCGTCATATATCATTTCCCATGTGTCCAGTTTGTTCACTGCCGAGTTGCTCCACTGAATACCTCGCTGCGGTGTTTGCAAAGCTCGGAGAGTGAAGGCCAACACCTGGCCAAGTGCTGTCAAGTGTAATTTGTTGTCGTCATTTGGGTTACCGGTCCATCCAGTTGTATCACCAACGTCTTCTCTCGGCACCGATAGATAATAGTATACAGTGGAAGGATCATCGTGTGGAACAGGAAGAAATATGAATGCTTCGCCGGTACACACATACCCGTACTCCAGCCCTCCATTGATCATGTAGGCAAACGCCTGTGTGATAACTGCAGCCACAACGCGCCGACAAGTATCTTCTGGCTTCTCGGCCTCCTGATAACGTACCACCTGGTCGAGCTCCATGTCGAAAAGCCCAGCTTTGATATGCGCGAGCGTGAGCTTATGTGGCGCTTTGTATTCGACAATGAAGGCAGGAACCTTTTCCTCGGGGCCCTTGTTATTCACACAAAACTGATCCGCTCGGCACAGGCTTTTGGTGTTTCGCAACTGACTGAGCCGGAAGTGGAAGTCGAGACTTATGGGACTGTTTCGAGGCCAATCGTCCTGAGCGACGCCGTTGTTCCTGCGCCAAGCTCAGAGATCCCATATCGGCCACTATCTTTGATTCGTCCGTCAATGTATTCGCATGGTTTTCGAAGGCCACATTTCCATTAAGACGAAAGATTTGTCGGAGTTGAGGGCTTGCATAGAGTTGCTCAATTATCTCAGCGACCACGCGACTCGATCGTTAGCCGTTCAAAATAGCCGAGACCGAGCTCTGAACTCAACATTTTATGTCGGACATCTTCCCGTATCGCTGCAGCACGATCAACGGCAAAAAGTGGCGCTGGGTGACAAAATCGATGCTCATGAGATCCGCCCATATAGCTGTCTGCTCCTGCGGGAACCCCATCCACTCCCGGATCTTAGCCGGGCGAAGCTTATTGTCTGCATTTGCCGGGTCGCCTTTGGTCGATGAATCTGGATTTGGTTGTATAGCTAGGCCAAGAAATAAGTGAACGTGGCAAGCATCGATAAATTCGGGAAGTGTGGTTTCTTGAATTTGCTGTTGGGTCTGTCGACTCTGGAGCCTTTCTTCGCTTAGTTGTCGTCTGGCCTCGATTTCGCGTTCTTCGGCCTCTGCCAGACGTCGACGCAACTCGGATATCTCGTGCTCCATTCTTGGCCCTATTCTCAAGATGAGATGGCCTGTAAACGTAAGGCAAGTTAATCGGGTGATTTGTGCTAGACGCCCTTTCTAGGCGCAAACAAAGCACGAACCCTGCTTTCCCTAGCCAATCATATCCCGTACAGTCGCATAGGAAGTCTCATAAGTACCTAGGTAATGCCCTTGCGGACGTAAAGAGAGAAGAGATATCAAGAGTTCTTTTTTGATGTATTTCTGGGTGTCTTTTTGAGTGACTTTTTGAATGCCTCTTTTCCCATGTGAGTGGTATAGCCTGAAAGATAAGAACACAAACTCCAAAAATAGGAAACCGCATTGGACAGGTAGCCAGGAAACAACTAAAAGCACCACTTGAGAGTTTATTGCTTGGGCTTACGGCTTGCCATTTATTACCGTCTCTAAGAATAGGAGTTAATACGCCCCGTATCCAACGCATACTTCAAAAGAATTCACATTCATTCAAGATGTAAAACAATATGCTGTGATTTCCGAAATGCAAAATAAATCGGCCACCTCACCCTCCAACGGGAGAGCAAGACCGACAGGGAATCAAATCAAGACTGTATAGAAACGAAAAAGAAAACGCCACAATCAACAAAAACAAGACATCAAGCACATATATAGACAGACAGTCAAGACCATCAGGGTATCAACATGAGCCGCATCATAAATCAGTTCTTGAACTGATCCTCGGTCACACCCTTACCCATAGCAGCAGTACTGCTCACACCACCAGAAACCATCTTCAGCAGATTATCAACATAGTTGGCGCCACTCCACTTCTGGTGGGTGACGACGTCAACGCCCTGCTCCATCTCGGGCTCCTGGACGAGCTCGCCGTAGGCGCGCATGCCGTTCTGCGAGTACGCCTTCGCGAACTGGTGCGAGATAAGCGCAGTGGTGTGCAATCCAGCCAGAGTGATGAATTGCCACGAGTAGCCGAGCTGGCCGAGACGCGCGATGTAGGTCTCCTGCTCCTCGCGGGGCATGGCCTTCTTCCAGTTGAAGGAGGGTGAGAGGTTGTAGGCGAGTCTAGTGGGGTTTGTTAGTTTAAGGGCTCTAGTATACGGGAAAATCAAGGGGAGATAAAACTTACTTTTGCTCGGGCCACACGGCGTGAACGCCGTCGGCGAATTCCTTAGCCTGATTGTAGTCGGGCAGCTTGCTCTCCATCCAGATGAGATCGGCGAAGGGCGCGTATGCGATGGCGCGGTTGACGGCGCACTGAGTGCCACCCTGGTAGCGGTAGAAGCCCTCACGGGTACGGGGAGACTCCCAGTTCCAGAAGACGTCGACGCCGGTCAGGCTCTTGGCGATGGCGCGGGATTCGGTGTTGCTCTTGCCCTTGGATGAAGAGAGGTATTGGTCGATGAGGCTCTTCTTGTTGGCGTGGGAGCCGGAGTTGATAGTATCGATGACGGCTTCGCTGAAGAGCTTGAGGCCGGCCTGGGCGGTCCATTGGTCCTCAATTGCCTGGAGTTGGGCGCCGTTCTTGCCGGCCTGCTCAGCGGCCACCATCAGGTCGTTTAGAGGCTGGATGCTTGAGTTTGTGGAGCCAACGATGAAGGCGTGGTCGCGGTGGTCGATGGTCGATGTGATGAGGGTGGCGGCCTCGGAGTCGGTACGGGCAATGGCCAAGAGGTCGGAACCCATGATATCGGCCTGGGCGCGGATGGCAACCAGGCGGTTGATATGCTCGCTGATGGGAACGAGGACCTTGCCGGCCATGTGGCCGCACTTCTTTGTGCCGGGGGCCTGATCTTCGATGTGGATACCGGCGGCACCACGCTCGACGAACAGCTTGGTCAGCTTCATGACAGCGGTCAGACCGCCGTGTCCGGTGTCGGCATCGGCGATAATGGGTCGCAGGTAGTCGACGTTGGCGACGTTTCCTCGCTGGCCTGCGGGGGTAGTAACGCGCTCCTCGCGCTGTTTACGGTCATGGAAGAGCTGTGCCATGAACAGCTGGTTCACCTTGCGAGGCACGGTGTCCTGTGGAGTACTTGTAAGTATGCGCCAACTTTTGATATCGCCAGTATATGCAACGTACCATGGGGTAATCAGCCAGATCGGGGGAAGGCTCATCAGTTGACGAAGCTGTGGACGAACTCTGCCAGCCAGAGACGTAGATAGTATCGAGGAACTTGCACATTTGAGTGATCATGGTAGGCTCAAGACATCCGTAGGTGTAGCTGGCCTGCTTGTTCTGTTCGTGAAGTGTATAGTTAGTATCTATAGAATCGTGGACGGTCGATATTCCCCAGCTAAACTTACCTGGAAGTTTGACTCCACAATACCCCAGAGCTTCTTTGCTTGCACATTGGACGGGTAATCGATCTTCAGGTTACCGCGCTTGGCCACAATCTGCTCGGCTGTGAAAGGCCGCTTGGTGTAGCGCCATCGAGAGTCCTTCCACCAGTTTTGAACGGCCTGAACCTCCGCCGCAAACTGGCGGTCCTCGTCTTCGTGCAGACCCATGACTTTTTGGTATAATACAGAAAAAGGGTACAAATATAGTGAGATAGTATATTCAAACGTGCAGGAAGTGTCACGTATGGTCCAATGCTAGTCCAATTATAGACGAAAGAAATGTAGGAAAGGATACGAAAGCAAGAAGAATGAGAGGAAAGGCTATAATAAAAAAGAAGAAGCGATCACAAGCCAGAAAACCCGGGGTACTTATTAAACATTCAAATGCGTCACAGTCGGTAAACGCTCGGCTCACCGGGAGTCAGGCCAATACTTCCAACTGCCTAGGTATTCTTCATATCGCCCAGGAATCTTTCACGGGCAAAGCGCTCCGAAAGGCGGAAGGCGGGTACAGCTGGGTTCGGAAGAGAGGATCCAGGCTCTGATGATCCTCGGTCTAATGGGAGAGCCCTTTGCCACTGCTGACTTGGCCAAATCTTCCATTCGTGTCACGATAATCGGCATCTCACTAGAATATAGAGAGGATTTCATTCCAGGTGTTTTATGCCCTTTTCCTTCTTCATTGTTCAAGTTGGTGTGAGATGTTCAAATGTTTAATGTTCGATGCTGTTCAATAGAACCGGATGACGTTGAAGACACATGCAATTACCGTGACAATACGAGACATATCGTATGGTAATTTTCACGTGCATCAACTGCATTCGGAGCATGTTCATCAGTTGGGAATAGTCTCAAATAGACTAGAAAATCTCTGTAATACTTGGCTATACATGCTATAGTCTAGCCAATTGGCAAAAACTACCGCCAGTCGGAGGAAAACACTGTCCAGAAACAATGTCTGCCTGAGTCATCCTTGACGTCTTGTCATGCCCCGGTATTCGACGGGTCTCCACCGGGCAATCCCAAAGATCGTTCATCTATTGGGCGTTCCAACTTTGAAGGTTTATACCGCAATGTATGTAATGATTTCGGGGGTTTTCGGTGCTTGTATTGTGATTTGATATATATGCTATACGCGTAGACCTAGATCCAAATTATATACTCTCGAAGCAACAAGCTACACAGTCCGACCTCCTCTCGGTAATCCTTCGCTACATCGTGGACTACGCTATCCATATATGCGGATATATCACCGCACATCATCACCTAGACGAAATCAGACCGGGACACATGACACTCCCAAATTACCTGCACATGCATCTGTCCAATTACAGGAGGTCCACTCTGTTTATCGAAGGAAAAATGACTCAAACCGCCCTACGAGTTGGACCTCGGCACAACTGAGCTCTACCAAACTAACCGCATACAGCGCCGATAAGACTAGTAACTAGAACAGGAGCAACAATGTATACAATAAAAATAGAGTCTGGAACAAGAATATGAAACAAGGTATCTTTGGATCCTGTGTAAGAGATATATACTTCGTAGAGATCATTTCTGGTACCATACATGCACGTATAACCCGAAGAATCGCGTGCCTCTTCCCATGGATGAATATTGGGTATCAGATAAGCTTAGAAATGCTTAACGAGACAACCAACGACACTATCCACATACCTATACAAATATTTGAACAAAAATAATACTAAATGACTACCCAGAAACAATTAAATACACCCATACCACAATTCCTCAGCCCCAGAGCCCACGAAAACTACCTCGGGAAAACAAGGGATCCCCAGCTCCGCACCCGTCTATTATCGATCTCCTGTCTGCGGAGAGCCCTACAATGACGCCTTCGGGATCTCTGAAATGCGGTCTTTTTTCGGTCGGGGAGGTGTTGCTCTGCCGAGGCATCCATCGGCTTATTTTCGTTTTGGTTCGGGTTGTGGTTCTGGGGTATACTCCAAACAGTCAAGCTGGGTAGGCGGGGCTTTCATTTACTATAAGTATAATAGATCGCGGAATGCACGAAGCTTACATGTGCTGGCACATATCGTGAAGCAAAGATACACATTGACGTTCATTCTTTTTTTCTCGTTATTTTATTGATCTTCTTTTAGCAAAAAGGAAAGGCTGAGTGCCAAGTGATAACCGAAAACAAGCGCTAGACAGTAAACACTGTCTCATGATGTCCATAATCCAATATCTTGCCCACTTTTACCTGAATTTTCTATTTTCGTCTAGGCTGCTCACACTCACATAACCTGTGCAACAATTTTGATGGTAACAGCAACACAAAATTCAATCAATATGCATCCTGAGCAACAACTGCCTTATGGTACGTCTCATAGGGAGTGATTGTTCCCAACGAGCGTCTCATGTGGGCATTGAGAATCTCCAGCCCGTAGACATAACTGGCATTCACCCAGCCGAATCTGCAATCGAGTTAGCACCCAATGTATTCACCAGGAAAAAGAACAAGAACATACCCTTCACGCGGAGCTCCCTTGAAGTCTGTGCCTTGATTGCCATACTCGGCATCGACCCGGTGCGGATCAATAGGACGAGTGACATCATACTTCTCCACGACAACGCCGTTGAAGTCGACAAACGCCTTGGTGATCATGTAAACCCACTTGTACGCCAACCGCTCCGCATCCTCCTGATAGCCGTAGCGAAGGAAAGCCGTCCAGGCAAGCATCTGCTGTGGCGCCCAGCCATATGGGTAATCCCACTGCCGGTTAGGGCGCTCCAAGCCCACTGCACCGCGCGACTCCTCAGTGCCAGAGACCAAGCCGCCGAACGCCTCGAAGCGAGGCAGGGCCTTTTCGACCATTATAGCTGCTTGCGCGGGAGACGCGAGACCAGCCCACATTGCCCAGAAGGTTGTGGCGGTTTCATATTCTGTGCGCTCCTTCTTGACTGTGTCGTAGTCGAAGTACATGCCCTTCTCGGGGTTCCAGAGGAGCTGGTCCATGCGCTGCTTGCGCTTGCGCGCACGTCGGTCCCAGACTGCAGAGGACTCGGTTTCGATGTCTTCGGTTTGGGGTGTGCGGAACTCTGCTGGAATGGGGAGTTTGTCGTTGAAGTGTACGCGGATGACCCGTGCGATGTCGACTTCGTATTTGTACAGCAGGGAGTTGAGGTCGACTGTGGCGAGGTTTCCACACACACCCTCCAAGCGGTAGCTGGTGTCGTGGCCGGACTCGCGGACGGCTCGATCGTGCATGAAGTACTCGTCGAGTTTGGGCTCGACTATAGTCCGAGAGTTGTATGCCTTGACGAATTCCTCGAAAGTCATCCCGTGCTTCTTGGCGTATGGGCCGAGAATGTGCACGAAGTGAGAGGGCTCGGTCTCTGGGGGCACACCCCAACCTTCGGGGCGATACCTCGATAGACCAGACTCTGGGTCGAGGCGAGGCGCGGTAACCCAGACGCTGTTGTACTCCTTGATGGCAGCGAGGACAGCATTGCGCAGGAACTCCTTTGAATCGGGCTCCGTTTTGATTCTTTCGTAGACACGCAGTGCCATGTCGGTCAGGAAGGGCGGTTGCGAGCGAGTGAGGTAGTAAGATCGATTTGCGTTGAGGATCTTGCCGTAGTGCTTGATCTCGAAACAGAAATTGATTACCATGCCCTTAGCGAGGTCGACACGGTCGCTAACGAGCAGTCCCAAGGACTCCATGTAGCTATCCCAACCGTACAGCTCGTTGAACCGACCACCCGGCACTACAAACGGCACACCGACCAGATCAGTCTCCCCGGTCGATTCGTTGAGCTTCTTCTCCATAGCCAGTGCAAGGAGGCCGGGCTTGTCGTTAAGTTCCATCACATAATGGGGCGTGATTACAGCCGGCAGCATCTGCACATCAAGACGCAGCTCGGGGTGTTCTTTCGCAATCCGCTCGTAGTATTCGAACTGCGTTTGAGCACCCGGCGGGATATAGATCCGAGGTCGCGGATCCGCAGTCCAATCTTTGGGGTCTCGACCTGCCACTTCAATGTTGGAGCCATCGATACGTCTTGTGAGGGCTTTCCAAAAGGAGTTCTTGATTAGACGGGATAGCCGAGCTACTGGATTTTCGCTCAGTCGTGCTTCATCAAGGATAATGTGCTTGCGACCGTAGTCTTTGGCAATCGTAAGCTCTTGGAGGAGGTTGGAGAGCATGTATGTTCCCCGTACATCTACTCGCTTGTGTCCGGATGATGCTGCAGTCCCGACCGAGATCACCTACAACGATTAGCAGTCGTCCTTGGTGTTTGACACAATCGAGCATACCTTAGGTCCCAAGTCCTCGATGGTGATCTGCATATTCTGATCCGTATCTTCCTGCTTCAAGAGAGACGCAAGCGTCTCTTCCACCTCAATAAGGAACTTCCGAGGTTGTCCTGATGCCTCATCTGTCCGCTGTTGTCAGCTCTTGCACTGACCGCATATCCGACATATTTATAACAAGCATACCATGGCTACCGCGTCGAGAAGGTAAGGTTCCAAAGAATTGATTGATGTCTTCACGACTGTAGTCGTTCAAACCCTGTAGATCCCAGTCAAAGATAAGCTTGCTGTACCTTCTACCGCGGGGTAACGGTCAAGCGTTGTGGCTGCTTACCACCGAGAATGCACGTCTCCTCGACTTGAATTTATTGATATTAGTCTCCTTGCCATAGTAGACATCTGGATTGGAGAAAGGATCAGTGGAGCTGGAACCAGACCGGGTACGCCCATCTGGCGAGCTCATGGTCTGTGTGGCGGAAGAAGAAGAGAGGGCACAATTTGAAATTCAAATGTGCGTTACGCAAGGATGCGTCCACACCGACTATTCCCCGTAGTCGAGAAACTTAAAGCAGCAAGTACAGGCGCTCCAATGGGCCTGATATATGATGCTGGGTAATTGTATTCTGTACTCCGATGGTACTCGCGATCTGATCAGAAAAGTCAGGGGATCCTTGTCCGTCGATAAAGACAATCTCGGATTCAAGTGATATGTTGAAGCTTTAAAATGGATAGGAGATGGTAGTGATAGAGAACTTGATACAAAATAAGTTATGAACCTGGCAGAGGGGGAAAGGGAATGACGGCGTTCCCACAATTGATGATGTCGCCGCTCCACTTATGTTGCCGCTCAAGGGCTGATAAGCCTTTCGATAACAACTTTAGAAACAAT